AGGGATTTCGGATATGCAATTATAACTGCTAGAATGAGCTTCCTTCTAAGAAGATACATGTCCGAATCGAAAAAGGTAGATTGTTCACCGAGTTAACGAACGTAAAGAAAGGCCAAAGCCGGATAAGTTGGGGGGTTTGGCCGTAACAAACAGAGCAGATAAGCGGAAGTAGAATTTTCCCCCTATGACTAACAGGCGAAGGGGCCGGGATCAACCGAAAAGAGAAGGGAATGGAGCGCCTTGCTTCATGTAGCCTTCGCTCGTTCTAGGTACAGATTCAGGGCCGTCAGGCTACGGGGAAGGATAGGCCACATCCGGTAAATGCCAGGTAGGGTTTCATATCAGTAAGTATGGTTAAGGCCCGGTATTCCCGTAGTCGGCTGGCTAATTTTTGCGCGCCGGGAGAGCCAGAGAAACAGGAATATATGTGCCAGTTACTTGCCGTTCTGGCCTAACTGCATGTCCCAGGCTATCCTGGGATCAACTGGCAGGTCAGAGTCTTCTGGCTCACCGATGATTTCTGGTGGAATAGTTACTGGTATGCGCAGTCGGCGAGCAACCTCCTGGATAACCTTGATGCGATGGTCGAGTGTAGCTGCACCGCCAGCAAGTTCAGAAAGATCATCGGCAGAGACTGATTCATCTACCAGGGATGAAATCGAGGGCGCCAGCAGCTCTAGGTTTGCTCGAGAAAAGTGGTAATTGACAATTGCATTTGTGACAAGCTCTGATCTCACTGACATTGCGGTTTCAACCTGGCTCACTTGACACCGCAGCCCTTCCAGCTGCGACTCAGACCGTTTCAAGCTTGCTCTCAGCTTATCTATTTCATATTCGAGCTCAACCACACGTTCGCTTTCCCTTGAATCGTGCAGCAAGACCACTTTGCATGGCCGTTCGGCCTTGCTGGGACTCTTTTCTATTGCATCGGGCTTATCATCATCAGCTTCATCGTCAATAATAGTGGTATATACGGGCATCGACTTCATTGGTCGTCCGCAGCTTTGGTGCGTGAGATGATGACGCTGTGCCGGACGGGCCTGGGTCCCGATATTCCATGATATGCGGTTCCTCTTGAGCTTCCCGTCTGCGTTGAAGTCCGCTGGCCAGTATAGTCCAAGTAGCTCTTTTGCCATGTTCCCCTTGGAGCCCCATTTTGACAGAGCCAATGCCTGAGCATCGCAAAGCAGACGATAAAATGGCGGCAAGTTAGAGGACGAGAGTTTCTCCTCGGGTATGACATGCTGGAATGGCGGGAAATAGTCAAAGTCGAGTGTTGGGATGCCATCCATCCACTCTTCTCCTTGACGGTTGGTAACGATATTGGGTAGGGTAAACCTCGGCAATTTGGATGCTCGAATTCGTTTTTCTGACATGTTTAAGCCTTTAATTCTGGGGTAGAGAAGTATAGAGGAGAAGTGGGTAAAGAGTCAAAGGTGACTATTGAAGGAAACGGTCACTTTTGCTTTTGCTTGAGAGAAGCAGATAGCAAAGCTCGTTGGAGAAGGAATAATTTGCTTTATGGTATATTGAGAGTGTGTTAGAAGAAGTATCTAGTAGGACTAGATAGGCCGATGTAAAAAGAGAATTGATAACTTGGTGAAGTTATTGCAGTATTAGTTGTTCGATAGTAGGTATCCTTGAGGCCAGAGAAGTGATAGCTTCGTGAGAGCGGACTGAAGCAGTTCAAAGTCGGAAAGTGTCTTAAAGGAAGAAAAAGATGATTAAGATGATGAAAGAGAAGATGAAGATGATGATGAAGAAGAAGAAGAAGAAGAAGAAGAAGAAGAAGAAGAAGAAGAAGAAGAAGAAGAAGAAGAAGAAGAAGAAGAAGAAGAAGAAAACGAAGGCGTTTTGCGAGTAGTCCTTCTTGGGTTGAAGGGTGAAGGTGAAAGGTGAAGGTGGGAAGTTGAAGAAGTCGAAGTGAGACGAAAGAAATCAATCGTTTGACTCAGTCTCGTATTCTCAAACTTCCAAAAAGTAGCTCCATGAACTAAATAGCTAACAGGCAATCAACCAACTTGTTCAGCCATATCTCGCTACACGGTTGATCTTCACCTCTCTCTGTTCAAATGATTGTTAGTTGAAGCCTTTTGAGTCATCGCTAACTCGACTGCTCAGACTTCATGGCTCGTACAGACGAAGCTGAGTGGTGGTTTAACGCAGTGTACGAAGCCATCCAGCAGATCCCCTATGGCAAAGTCACTTCCTACGGCCATATAGCCCGTCTTCTAGGATGCCGTGAGTCCCGCAGCTAGGTCCATCCACTACTCCGTAGATATCAAGCTATCCTTGAGATTTACTTGAACGTATCTAATACGTAGCTAACTAGTTGTATAACTACAGCCCAGCGGTCTCGACAGGTGGGCATCTGCCTCAAACATCTCCCGTCGAGCCCGGACGAGTATTACAACAATGACAACGTACCCTGGCAGCGGGTTATCAATTCAAAAGGGATGATATCACATCGGTATGACGCTTTTGGACTCCGCATGCCAATCAAAAGCGATGCAAGTTAGAACTAACATGGTTTTCGTCCTATGCCTACAGCGGCCCTGGTTCGGCAGCGAGGCAGGCAGAAGCTCTGCAGCAAGAAGGCGTCACTGTACGCTCTGATAGCATGAATGAGTTCTACGTCGACATGGCGCAGTTCGGGTGGTTCCCGGATCGGCTGCCCAATGAGGACGAGGAAGAGGAAGAGCTGGGTGCGAGGAGTGTTGGGGGCGGCGACTTGGAGGGAGAGGTTGCCGCTGGAGGAGCGGGTTAAATTTAATTCAAAGTATATACTCCTCCGCACGCTGAACTAACTATTTATTATCCATACTGTGGCTATAAGCTATCAGCTCACTAACGAGCCCATGTAACGATGTAGCTTGAGGGCTGACTGGCCAGCTGCGCCATGTCTACATCCATCCCCCAGTAATCGGTCAGAAGCAGGCAGACAGCAACGGCGATTTCCGTTGCTCCCCGCATCGTTTGATGTTCAAAGCATGTCCCAACATGCAGGACAAGACATAGGATGCGCAATCTTGGGAGGGGGAAAGGAAGAGATTGAGTGCTTGGTGTAGCCTGGTGCTTGAACAAGACAAGCTGATTCGTGATGTTTGAATTTTTGGTACCCCGGGTGTTGAGCGAATATGACAGGGCCGAAGGGACAAAACACGGTCAAACCCGCCCAAAGCCGATCCAGAACAACGTCTGATCCCCCCGCAAATGGCCCTGCTAGTTGCTGCCATCGTCAAATGATAAGCGTGGAGAGCAGGTTGTGGGTGGACAAGGGCGCTTTGAGATGACTCCTCTGCGAGCGAGGCTGCCGACTGCTAAGAGTTAGCTAGCTATCGAACTGCGGCCAGGCATCCTCCCAAGGTAACTCATGCAGGACGGAATGGGGACCCGGCGCAAGCCAAACATAGCTCTTAGCACCTTTGACTCATCTGCAAGCTTCCGCCGCTGCCTTCTTCCGTCTGCTTATCCCTTATCCTTATCCACCTCCTTCACTTCCCTTCAGCTCTTCCAATATCTTCCGAGTCTCTTATCTCAAAAGATAAGATGACATAAGCTGTATTGGTGTAATTCGATACCAAAAATACACCCAAGGTAAAACCACGTGACGCTCGTAACCGCGTGTGTCGTCATCGCCCTTCGTTTCGCCGTTACCAGGGGCAGGGCAGGACGCAGGTGGATGATTCACCTTGTGACTCCGCCGGCGTTCATGAGAGCTGAGCGAGAGGAGGATATAAAAAGCAAGACTGTGACCCGGACCGGGTGCTCAGCCAGTCGACAGTTGACCTCCCATCCTCACTTTGGCATCTTATCTTAACACACCCAGACTGACTTACCTTCTCTTGCCCTGGAAAGCTGTTCAACCCAACCCAAGAAGACCCTTTGTGAAGGCATCTCGCCCTGACGGTAGCAGCCGGCTAACCACCGAGCCTCGACGTACACTACCAAGCAAGCCTCCTCCTGGCTCGCGGTGTTTCTTCCTCTCTTTTCCCTTCCCCTTCCCGTAGAGACCGACGTTCGTCTCGAACCATGACTCGGAACTCCCACGTCAGCCGTAGCAAAGAGAGTCGGAAGGCTGTCGCAGCACCACCCAAGACAAGCGTCAAATCGAAGAACACCAAAGTTCCAGAGTTTATGCCTAATATTCGCCCCGTGCGGGGGCAGAAGGAGGTCAAGGTCTGTCGTCCACGACCAAAACTCCTGCTAGAATACTCTGGGTATGTTCGCATTTCCCCATCGATGTTCCCCCACGTCTCTTAGATCGTGCTCCGGCTAACGGGGATCCGGCTCTTGCAGTGCTGCAGGATCTACCTCCAAAGTCCCCGTCAAGGTATCGATTCGACATGCCATCGACCAAGCCGTAAAGGAGACCCGTGGGGTAGAGTCTTCGTCCGACGAGGATGAGTTCGATGTGCCTGCCACTCCTGAAGGCCTAGACTCGCTATACTCCTTTGACGCCTACACCAGTCCTGACCAGGGAGGCCATGTCCTCAGCGCCGCCGTTGTCCGAGCAGTAGACCAGTTCGAGACCAAACAGACGGAGAAGCTTGCGCGAGAGTACGAGTTCGTCGGCTTGATCGACCCAGAGGACCTCGACGAGGGATACGGCGGCCACGACGACGGGATTCGAACTTATCGAGCCTGTGAACTATTAACTCTCTCTCTCTCTCACAGGTCTCTTATTCTCCTTCACCACCTTCTTCTTCCATTCCCCACTGTATATTGTTTTGTGATGATATCCTGGTAATTTGCCCCTGCAGTATTGATCTCTGGTCGATCCGATATATTGCTCAGTTTGAAAGGCGTTGTTTATGTGTTTCCCCTTGGTTTAACGACGACTGCTAGAGACGAACGTTTAATGAGACAGGAGAGCCCTTCTTATCTTCTTTTCTTTTTGTCTGCTTATACAGTTTTTGTTGCGTTGTTGTTCTTCATTCTTCCCCCTCCTGGTCAAGTATCATGAGAGGAACTTGTTGGACGACACAGGCGTTTCTTGATGACATGACTTGTACCAGTATACCCGGCATTGCATTCTGTGTGTTTCATCCTGACCCGAAGTCATTCACTTGATAGATAGCAATCAACTATCACCATTAGCCAGTGGCTGCCATGTTGTTTCTTCTGCTCTTCCTATTGATCCTGCACATTCCATCATCCCACCAGGCAAAAATGCTACCACGAGGACTCTGTGGGCTGACTAAGCGCGGATTAGCGATATAATCTTAGGTAAGCCTGCCACAGGGGAAATAAGTGAATTACAGTCGACGGGTGAAGAACCGTAATTCTTGGACTTAGCGGTTTTTTCAATTCACTTATTTCCCCTATGGTGCCTAGTGAGTATGTATATTCCGCGCCGTCGTGTCTGCGTCCACATCTCCTGTCTTCGCCTGCATCTCCATCTAATCCCGCGTCTGTGTCTTGTCTGCGTGCATCCGCCACATTTACTGTTGGACCACAAGGGACAAAAAGGCCTGATGCCTCAAGGTATCCTTGGCTAATGAGTGCGAGTCGTAGCTAAAGTGGAATATTCCAACATTTACGCAGCCATGCCCGTCCGGAACACTTGGGTTGAGTTTTCCTCAATGCCCAAGGTTACCCAAGGGGTTTTTTTTGCGGCCGACACGATGACAAACAAGCAATTTCTCAATACCCTTTCTATAGCATTCACGGCTGATGGTGGCTTCTTTGCTTTCAAATCTGGGTCAATGATGCCTATTGGAGAAAACGGCCAGATACTTGAACCACTTATATGCTCTCCCCTAAGATACCAGGGCAACCCATTACCCAAAGCAATGAGCATTGCTTCCCTTGGACACTATCCATGTCCGATACTTCAAGGGATAATACATTTAGGCTTGATGTACGGCACCGCGATGGTGGCTGCATGATTACACGCAGAATGAATCTGGAAGCCCCTAAGTGGCATTCGTGGGAAGCAGCTCATATATTTCCTCTTGCGCTGTCTTCGCGCTTTACTCAACTTGGGTTTGGAAATAATATACAAGATGATCGGGGAATTAACTCTCCCAGCAATGGGATTCTGCTAAGGGCTGATATCCATCAGGATTGGGACGGGTATGCAATCGCTGTAAATCCCGTAGACAATTACCGTGTTCAGAGCTTCACAGCGAACACACAGGAGTATCATAATCTTGTACTCCACCCAAACTATCAAGACCAAAACAATCCTCACTACGTCCTTGATACGCTCCTCCGTTGGCATTATGAACATGCTGTGCTCTTTAATATGCGAGGTGATGGCGAGGTTTCGTTTGACTTCGACTTTCCACCCGGCACCGGTATGATGGGAGAGATTAGAGAAGGTCCGCGCGCGGCATACCGGATGGAAGCAGAACTACTTGAACGGTTGTACGGCTACAATGATGAAAGATCTGTAGAATAGAATACGGGACTGTATACCTTAACTAGTGTTGCATTATTGTGCCTGTTTTCTTCCTTGACTCAAAGTCGTCCACTTAATGTTAGTAAGCTTACCTAATCCATTACATAACACTTACCTAATTAGCCGCGCGCGCTAAGCCTACAAGGGAACTTACAACCACCTGCGGCTGCTGATTGGCTGTGGCCGCCGCACCACCGCCGCGCGAGCCCCGAAGAGGGAGGACGAAGAGACGAAGTTTGCGCTTCCTCACTCTCTCTCGACGCCCGCAAGCAACCAAACTCGACCATCCTGTGCCCATCCAAAAGCCCGTCGCCCATCGCCCGTTGCCGTCGGTCGCCGCCTGAATGCCCAGCCTGGCTTGTTGGGCGAGCCGCTTCACCATCGATCCTTGCCCCTGAGGTGAGGGTGACCATGCAGCCCGAGGCGCAGAAACGGCGGTCGCGGTCAGGTTGCACTGAGTGCCGCCAGCGGCATCGCAAGTGTGACGAGAAGAAGCCTGCATGCACTGGATGCCAGCGCGCCGGCAAGCAATGCACCTACACCATGCGGCTCTCCTGGGGGGGCCGGCCCTTCTCCAAGTCCCGGTTTGGCGAGTGCATGAAGAGCGATCCCAGCCTCGTCCAGCTGCCGGTCGTCTCGTCTTCAGGTACGTCCTCGTGTGCTCCCTGCCCTGCCCTGCCCTAACTCCCCAGCCTAACGCACCTCCTCGCATCTGCATCCGCCCTGGTCTCCCTCCCCTTACCCGTTATTTGCTACTGTTTATTACCATACTACCAACCCTGACATGGCCCAGCCGCGTGGCCGGGCATGGCACGGCATGGGCTGACGCTGTGTTACCTTTTCCCCGATCTACTCAATGCTTTATCTACGTTTATGAGGCTAAATTTTCATCTCCCCTTTTTCTCCGTTTGCGAGTGCAGGAAATCCGGCGTTTATTTATGGGTCCAAGGCGGGAGAGCGCTCCTCTAGCTCTGTAGATGCCGTGGTGGAACAGTCGCAGGGGCAGCAGGCTTTACAATGTATGCGGCCCCACTCTTTACTTATATATATATATAGGGGGATACTCTCGCGGGCGTCGATGCCCCGAGGATCCTGGCTTAATATTAGGTCATTAATAATGTCTCCGTGGCCCCCTGGCTATAGTTGATATCGACAATAATGACGAGAAGGTCCCTTCGCCGGCGTCTCCGCCGCTCTCGTCAGCGTCGGCATCGGTTGCTGACGAGCCCCTCGAGTTCGAAAGCCGCCTGGTTAGATATACTCCACCGACCCCTGACGTGCAGCCAAACCCGTTCGAGTTGAGCTGGCTGCCCAAGCAGCAGCAGAGACTCCTCGACCACTTCATTTCATGCACCACCCTATCGATGTCTTGCCATTCGCCGATCCAGGATATGTTTTGCCGGGTTCTCGTACCCATGGCCACACAGACCCCTCATCTCCTCAGTGCCCTGCTAAGTCTTGCTGCTACTCACAGATTGACACTAGGCATGGACCAGAGCATGTCGGAGCTCAATCATCTCAAGGCTTCCAGTCTCCGCCAGCTGCAGGAGGCCCTGGCTAAGCCAGGAGCCAGCATGGACGAATCAGTAGTCGCGACTACCCTTACCCTCTGCCATTCTGACTTTGTTTCAGATGGCCGCAGCCCGGGCTCCTGGCGCTCTCATCTACAAGGCACTACAGCAATAATAGCCTCCTATCTAGAGAACTCAAAGTCTGGCCCAGAGTCACTCACCAACACCATGTCCCTTCTATGGCGGTGGTATCTGTCCATAGAAACCGTTGCTCTCTTAACAGGCAACCTTGTTATGCCAAACGATTCCCGCGCCCTTCTCCAAATGCGGAAACTGATCAGTGATGATAAAATCGATGACCTGGCTGGATTCTCTTCCTCGCTAGGACCGGTATTTAAGCAAATCAACCGTCTTGCTATAGAAGCCGATCTTGCTCTTAAACAAGATGACGGCCATGTACCCAGGGACTCAGACCCCAAGAATCGCATTCCGCTTTCGGTTCTTGATGAAAGTTACCAACTCATTAACGAGATACATTCGAAGATGGGCCCGCAAGAACGGAGATTCAGGCCAACTGTCGATGCTTCAGTTCACAAAAATGACTTTGCTATTGTCGACGAAGCCTTCCACCACGTCGCACTGGTTCAGATATACCGCCGTGTCCTCAACCTGACCTCGACAGACCCCTTGGTTCAGAGCTCGGTGAAGCATATCATCAGCCGAATATGCAAAGTACGGTTCCTGGGTGAACCGTGCCCTGGAATCGCCGTTCTTCAACCTCTCTTTACAGCGGGCTGTGAAGCGTCAAGCGGGTCAGACAGGGATAGTATCAACACTCTTCTTTTGAACTTTGAACATCGCTATGGCATGGGAAATGCAAGGAACTGTCGATCATTTTTACAGGACCTATGGGTCATGAGAGACAAGAGCGATGATGTAGAAGGGAAAACTAGGTGGGATAAGGTTATGGGTATGTTAAAATATCATTTTCATACCCCTTCAACCCTGTTGGTGTTACCCTGGCTAACACAGAGTAGTGGACAAGGGACTTGATATCCTTCCTTACTGAGAGTAACGGTTACGGGGTTCATAACCCCTACTTACTCACTGGTTTGTATGAAACCTTACTACGCTAGACTCACTGCTGTCCCCTGATGACATGTTAAACTCATGTCAAGGTCCTGCTTGAGCTGCTTTTTCGGCCCCGGCAACCCCTCACGACCAAAGTCAACGCGTACAATCGCATCCCTTGCACCGCCAAGTGATATAATACTATATACACCTCTCCACTTTGACATAAAGCTGGGGAGGAGAGGCTGTTCGGAATGAATACCTACGTAATGAATATAACCTCTGGGATAATACCCCCCACCCGTACAGAATATTTCAAAGCCCTATGTAGCGTTTCATTTAGGTTATAGTACTGCACATTAGCAGGTTTATTCGGTTAATATGTTTGGGGACTGGCATTTAGGGAGCCAGTATATACTTAATATTCAGGTGGCATTTTATCTTCCCATAGACTTATAGATTGCATTCAAAGTTTCATTTCAATGTTATGCTGCACATATCTAAAGCTGCTTTTTTGCCTTACCAAATCCCCAATCGAGCGAAACATACCTCAAGCAATCAAGCTGACGTCATGATTACATAAAAGAGGCTCATATCAGTCATCATATAAAGTCACATGATAATATCTTACTGATTAGTCATTTTAAGCTTTGACCAACAACATCAACAAAAAAGCAGAAGACAAATAAAATAAAAACAACGGAAGAATTAAAGGAACCAGAAGAAACCAAGAGCAAAGAAAGCGGACAGGATAAGAGGAACACAGGACTTGTGAAATTACTACTGACAGCCAACTCTTTGCTGCTCTGATCCGTGTATCTGAACGTTGTGGAGGCCGATTCCGCATCTTAACATGCTAATCGCAGCCCGTCATCATGCAGAACCGCTCCAACGAAGCTCCTATGGACTTTGAGTGGCAGACAAGAGCTCCAGGCGATGCCACCTCGCCCTTCTACCAGCTCGCCCTCAAGAACGATCAAACAAGTAAGCATGAACGACAAGATGGCTACATGTGCAGTATGTAACATCGCTGACCTGTCCGTCTGTCTTCTCCAGATTCCCGCCGGACGTTTGCGTCTCCTATCAAACCACAGACTCCCGCACCACGAGAGCCGTTAGCCCAATCGAACAACCCCGCACAGCCCTCATTCGCAAATGTCAATCTCACCCGTGGCTCATCCTTTACCACCCCTCGGAAACTAGATGTGGACGCCTCCTCGGGAGCGGAAAACCTGTCGTCGCCAGAACATGCGGACAATGATGAGACCCCTGAACGGCCCTCGAAGGCCACACGACGCAATTCGCTCTTCAATCTCTATGGTATATACGCACCGGCTGCCCCTAGTTCAGGGCGTGGAGAGGTACCGCGCTCAAACAAGTTCTCTCATTCCCTCGTGAAAAAGGTTCAGAAGCGGAGGAAACGAGATCGGGAACTCAGACATCTTCGCCATGCCAGCGAGGACAGCAGTGATGACCGGCCGAGCAGCCGTGAGCTAGGCCGAAAGCCAGAAAAAACAGAAAAAACAGAAAAAATACAACCAAACAACCAAATTGAAAACACAAGCCACATACCTTACCTCTCACGCCTCTTTACGTTCCTCGAAACTCACCCGCATATTCCTCGAATACTTTCATACTACGCCCAATTCACATTTAATTTGATAATTGCCTTTCTGATTTTATACGTTATTGTTGCCTTCTTGCTTGCCATTAAACACGACGTTGAGATCGCTAGTGAAAGCCAGTCCGCAGATATTCTTGCGGAGATAGCCACATGCACGAAAAATTACGTCGAGAATCGCTGTGGTGACCCCGATGGGAGAAGACTACCTGCACTGGAAACAGTTTGCGACAACTGGGAGAGGTGTATGCATAGAGACCCTGCAAAAGTCGGCCGAGCAAGGGTATCCGCACAGACCCTTGCGGAGATATTCAACGGCTTTATCGAACCAATTAGTTTCAAGGCAATGGTACGAACCGTCCCTACCCGGCATCTTTGAAAATAATAGTATGTTATATAACTAACTGCGCATAGTTCTTTTTCATGTCCTCAATAGCGACTTGCGTTGCTGTTTCCAACCTCACGTTTTCGTTCTTCCGCAATAAATCGAATAACCCGCCTTCGATGCCGCCTGGTTATACAGGATACAACCCACCACCTCAGATGCCCTCCCAACAGACCCATGCGGGCTACACATCAGGTCATACACGAGTAGAAACAGACAATCCTTTTTTCAATCATACCCCTCACCAGAATGTTTTCAGATTTGACCAGGGACCAGAAAGTCGATCTCAGAGGCAGCTAGAAATAGGGCCGTCCTATGCTTCCCAGGATCATCTGCGGACCCCAAGTCCGGTGAAACAGAGGAAATTTATGTGATCCCTTTTAATTCTGATTCTTTCCCTTGCCTAACATCCCTTTCTAATATTCCGACCTGATTCTATTTCAAATTAACCAATAGCGCTGGGCGCTTTGACAAACCATGTATTTTGCCTTCTTTTAAGCCTTAACCCCTACCGCGATGGCGCATTGAGACTTTACTCCCTTTGTCCTACTTTACTTGCCACTCTTGTTTGTAATTGGTTCCTGTCGGCGTTAAATATGTAGATTAGCGCAATGATTCACGAGGTATAAAATATACAAAAACGTATCATAAATCATACTATATATATATTCGATAAGTAATATATGTAGTTTCTATATGCAACGTAGGCAAGGGAATATTGGGCTGTTAACCGATAATTATATCCTTAATCCTAGTCCAAAGAGTTCTCTTAGAGAGATCAGCCTCTGTAATATCTTCATCGTACTCCCGTCTTCCACTCCAGATATCCATCTCCTCTAGCTTGACGATCTTAGTCTTTTTGGCGAATTTCCAGGCAAGAACCAGAATAATGAACACAGGAAGGAGGATATAGTTGATAACGAAATCTTCAGCGTTAAATGGGTTGAGGAAAGCAGTGTATCCCTGGAAGAAGATCAAAAATATGTTTGCTGCGAGGGCGATATATGTTCCCCAAGGGTAGAACATGGCTTGGAACGGTAACACGGAGATATCTTCGCCTTGGATGGCGAGTGCCTGTCGGAAACGGAGGTGGGTTATGGCTATCACTGCCCAAACGATGAATGTACACACTTGAAATATGATGTCAGTATATGCAGGCCATTGGCTGGGGATTTGGGTTCATACCTCCCGACAGGGTAATCAGTGCGGAATATAACTTCCCCGCGCTGGAAGATAATGACAGGAAAGAAATGCAAGCAACTAGATTGGTAAATAGCAAGGCAACCCACGGCACACCAGCTTTGTTTGTTCGGCCTAGAATAGCCGGTGCCTTTCCAGATCGTCCCATGTATAATATTGTGCGAGAGGCCACATATAGGGAACTATTGCCAGCAGAGATCACGGATATGACGATCAATCCATTGATTAGGTGAGCGGCTGGAAGGATACCTGCATCGGAGAGCGCGATGGTAAGTGGGGACTGTGCTGTCTTGGATCCAGAGGACAAAAGACGCTTGTCATCATATGGCAGTAGAATACCAATGAAGAACATCATTCCTAGTACCATGTTAGTATCATCGGCAATATTTGAGAGCTCTTATCAAAGAGGTACACACCAACGTAGAAAATCAAAATACGCCAAAAGACCTGGCGGATAGCAGTTGGAACGGCAGTTCGAGGGTTCGCCGACTCGCCAGCAGTGATACCAACCCTAGGACATGTAAGTTATATCTTCAGGGAATCAATATGGTGGATGCCGTATCATACATTTCAGTCCCAGCATAGAGTGTACCCGCAATGACAAATGTCTTTGCAACTCCGTTGATAGAGTCGGCAAACGCACCAGGGTTGCTCCAATACTTGAACCCGATTGTTCTGCCGCCAATACCACCGGCACTGATGCATGTTGCAAGAATGAAGAATACCGTGAGAGAGATAACTTTGATCCTATACATAAGCTTCGTTTAGGCCATGCTGTGCAAATCGTGGAATCGGATATACTTACAAGGCAAGCCAGAACTCAACCTCACCGTATGTTAGGACTCCAAGGTTGGACAGGCCCAGGAAGATGACCCAAAACATAAGAATCCATGCCCACTGCGGAACAACATCTGTCCAATAACCCATAACAAGAGCCAATGCATTGTATTCGTTTGAAAGGACCTGCGAATTGTCAGTTGTCATGACACCAAGAAGGAAAATGGCGGTGGGGACGAGCGGAACACTAACAGTAACCCATAAATACCAATACGCCCAGCCAAGACCGAAAGCCAGCGAAGGGTCAACAAAACGAGCTGAATATTCTGTGAATGACCCGGAAACAGGGATAAGAGTAGCCATTTCGCCCAGAGATTGCCTAGAGAGGGTAAGAATTATGACCGGGTTACAAGTATAGTTATGTCATATGAGAAGCACTTACATTATGAAGAAAACAAGGATTCCAACAAGAGTGAAGCTGATGAGAATTCCGGCAGGCCCAGCAACATGTAGGGCATTTCCGGATCCAACGAGTAAACCAGGACCGATGATACCTGTTCCAAAGGCACATTAGTTAGTTATTAACCGGGCATAAAAAACACTCAAAGCGAAACTCACCTCCGATGGCAATCATCTGAAGATGCCTGGACTTCAGTGTCCGGTGCAACGGGGCATTCTGGGAAGTCTCCTCAGGAACTGCGCTCTCCAGCAGAACTGGATCACCCTGTGGCTTGCCATGCGCACTCGTGGGAATGATCATGTCCGCACCGTCAGTATGGGTTTCCGTAACAGCCATCGTGGAGGGAAGTTCCTGTGTCGCTCCGTCTTCGTTTTCCTTTCCTGTTTTTCTGTCTCGAGAGCTTTTCCGTACCGCTAGTTCGGCTATGTTAAAGGCGGCAGACGGCGATGTTCTCGGGCCGCAATTCCAAAAGAGACTGTAGTTACCTAATCCTGAAGCTAGGTAACTACTAGAGATGGAGTCCTTCACTTAGAACGTCTCTCTTCCAATGCGAAATGCAAACAGAAGGAAAGTCGTTGGACAACAGAGAAGAAGAAGAGGCCCTCCACAGGTCAGGAACCCGGGAGACAGGAAGATAAATAGGTCTCCTAAGAGAGCTTCGGCACAACAACACCTCTTTCTGGCGGGGAAGAGGGTCAGAGACACGAGTAATGCGAAGCTCTTGAGACAAACCAACCATCGTACTCTCCATGGTCAGGGATTCAAACGTATCGCACCATGTCCGATGTCGCAAAAACGCAAGAAAGCTGTGGCGGATGGCACCATTTTCTCCGCCGCCAAGCAGAGATCGCTCATTGGGTGAAACGACAGACTGGCTGAGAGTTCCTCCAAAGTACCGATGTCACCACCCTGGCGCTGGTTCGTTCGTTTCTTACGAGAATCGTTTGGTAGATATCCAGCTATCATGTTTCAGCAGTCAGATTAGAGTTGCTTTGTCATCATAGCTTATCTAAACTCTACTTACGCTTAAATGCTAAACTGTAAAATTTATCTTTCTGATAAGATAAAAAAAACATCGCAAAGAAACAGGTAATTATAACATCAGCCGGAGGGAATCTAGCATCATCTCTTCCCTTTGTCTTCGGTTTCTCCCGAGGACGCTGATACTGGGCCCAGAGTTTTCTGCGGCCCATGGAACCATTTTTTCGCTGACACAAAGTAATAGAGCAGCGAGCCGGCCCAGACACATCCGTTGATCACGACAGTGTAATTCATACTGTCAGCTGTGGGGATATTGGCGTTAATATGGGATACATTATGCTGGAAAAGAGCGGCAGAAGGTACTTACGCGTTGGTGCTGGTCCGGCGGTGGGGAACATCGATAGGGTGACTGAGAAGAATAGATACACCAGTGCCAGGATGGCGATTGGGGTGCTGAGCCAGCCTGTGTAAAATGCGCCCGGCTTGAACTTGTCCTGGCCCCAGAATACACGACAGAATATCGGTGTCGCCCAAGCAACATTGTTTCCAGCAACTGTCAGCGAGAACAGTGCGTTTGTAGCAGCACTGTTGATAAGACAAAGCAAGCCAAGGATGACTGATGTGATGGTGACTCCTACTACGGCACGCGCAGGCTGGTAGCGAAATCTCGTACTGACTACTTTCATGTAATTCGAAAAGGGGAGAGCACCATCACGGGAGAAGGCCCATGTCTGTCGGGATGCTGCGATCACCTGAATATATCGTTAGCCAGCCTTTTTTTACCTAGGCAATCAGTCGAAGGGCCGCTTACAATGCTTAACCCCATGAAAAACTGTACTGTTGCCATGGCCACCATGAACCCTATGGCTGCATTCCTCCCCAGAGCATCGTAGTATATCTATGAATGAGCCATATTAATATGATACCCACAAAATACGGCAGTACATGCGACGTTACCTGGGCGATTGGTTGGCCGAATCGGCTCTCGAGAACTGAGCTTAAATCGGTGCTTATACAAGCAGCGATAATACAGAGAGATAAGAATCCAAGGCCCCAGCATGCGCCAATCGCTCCCAAAATTCCATAGGGAACGGCTTTGGCAGCATTCATGGCCTCCTCGCTCATATGGACGCAAGAGTCAAAAGCACCAACTGACCAGATGGGCGAAAGCCATGCGAGCATAAATGCCCATCCAGTTGGCCACGAAGTGTGGTTCTCTATGTGACCGAAAATATAGGCGGCAGAGTTGATACCGTCGGCGGTTCTTGACCTCCCGATTGGCAATGCAATGACCGTTGCCAGCACTAACCCGACATTGGCAACGATACAGGCTGATTGTATACGATGCATTATTGGCGCCGCTAGTATGGCAAGCACGCCGTGGACTATTATGGTAACGGCATAAACACCATATATTTGATTCCTTGAGGCCATCCACTCCCCATCACGAATGAAAGAGACAATGGCAAATACCATTAGCACAAAGCTATCTAAGGCTTGTCAGCATGCTATTAGTGGTGACTGCTGGAGAAAAGCAACGTACAATCGACAGAACATATACCACCAATGAGGCCTATGGTATTGCTATAGCCAACGAGAAAGCTAAGAGGATTCTTCCATTTGTCTGCTGCAAAGTGATGCGTCCACCAATACAATCCTCCGGATGTTGGTAATGCAGAGCCCAGGTCAGCCTATTAGAATTTAGCAATGCCGCCTATATACGCCAAAAGACATCATTTATGACATACCAGTGCAATTCCAACTATAAATATGAAAAAGCAGGCAGTGAACCAGCCCTATATGGCAAGGCACGGCCATTAGCCAGAGCTCGATCGACTTGTATTATCATCGGGAAGAACTTGAATTAGGGAGGCGAAGTACCCAAACCATGGCCGCTGGACCCGCAGGTACCGAAAATGACAGCGTTGATGCAATTGATGGCAGCAGCCCCATGATACTAAAGGCAATTGCAAACACCTGGATCGTGGAGTAATGTCGACGAAGTTCCTGCTTATAGCCCATGGCCGCTGGACAGATACTACTTCAGTATATTTGCCCCTCCTTTTTCTTTCTCTCCGAGGGGCTTTGAAAACTCCTCCGATTCTTCAACTTACCCAGTAATTCCAGGTCAGGGGCCTCTGCTAGCTCAGCGCCCTGCAGAGGAGTCTCATGCATCCCCCCAGGAGATAGACTATCCGAAGAGCTATCCATGGTGATGATGTTGAGTATGATTATGATGATGAGAGCTAAAATTAAGATGAGTATGATAGATGGGAAGAAAAGTGCTGTGTGCCCTCCAGCGGGCTGAATGCAATGCAGAGTGAAGCAAGCAGATGACACTGCTTTTCATGCGGGAAAACAAGGAGAGATGCCGGCCTGCCTTCCGTGGAGGCTTGCAGCCAACTAGAGAAGATCTTAACTTTGGGGTAACCTTAATTAACTAGTTATTATGGGGCCGCTTAAGCTTAATGTGTGCTTAGTAACATGATTAGTCATTAGCCCTCTCCTTTCTTGCGCTTTTGCGGCTTCTAGCAGCCAAAAGGCAAAAGGGCTGAAATTATTGTTGAGAGGCGCATTTAGTGAAGCACAAGACAATGAGAGCGCAAGGTGTTGCTAACTGCATAGAGTTTTGGCGATGCTCTAAGTCTTGACTCCTTATCTCCCCTCCACGAATCACAAATACAGAAGGCAAAGGCCCGATCTCCCGACACGAACCAGAAAAGGCGACCATGCACCCTTCTAGAAACATTACTTACATTGCAGAAATGAACTAAAAATGTTGCGCATCAGTAACGCTCTGCATACTGGAGACAAGTAGCTCCCTATCCTGAAATGCCTTTCGCTCAAGAATCCACAGCGAGAGTCCTCTTCCATCAAATAAGGTGGTATGGTCTAGTGGTATGACGTGGCATTGTGGCTGCCCCAGCCTGGGTTCGATTCCCAGTACCGCCAGCAACTCAAAAGAGTTTCTTTTTTGCTCACCACCCATCCGGTGTGTGCCTCTGGTCTACTGATATTGATTTTTTAAGTTTTCTTTTTATTTTTCCTTCGTTATCTCACTCGCCCCAAATCTGCAGGATCTTATCGCTACATCTCTCCACAGGCTTCCTTATGTCGTCTCAAGCTTTCTTTCATGTATACTACGTACCTTGCCACTCGCCCGCCGCCCTAAATACATCACGTGATATAATTATACGATGACTAAGTAGACCCAACTTGGCTAGCGCCTTCATCTCCCGCTGCTTTGTTGCTGCCTTCCAAGTTCTTATCTTCTAAAAGCTCTACACCTTTCATTTATCTTCCCATGGGATAACTGGTCTCGCTGTAGGAACGTATACATGAACATTACGAGTGTTCCCTATTTGCAACGAATGCTCAAACAACCACATTAGGCGAGAAGATGCCATTTTATGTCGTGGCTATTATATCACTTCCCTTACTTTCCGGGGGGAGATAAAGCGAAATGATTGATGCTAGATGCTAGAACTTGTATTGATTTATTGTCTAGACGTCTTTTTGGGCCGGACTTCGTTCCAGTGGCCTCATAGGAATTGAATTACTGGGAGATTATATCGAACGAGCGAATTCGCTCCCGGACCATTGATATCACGTCCTTGGTATTAAGAGATTATTTGCGCTCTTTAGCAATTATCCCAGATAATACAGGTATAACGCTCCGAATACAAGCATTTCGTTACTCGCCGATACCCATCGATACCCATCGATGGAGGGGTAGCTATTAAGTGGCTGTAAACGCTAACAATAGCGCTCGTATTCCGATATAATTCTGGCAGGCATAGGCAGTTATTCACTCTGCCTGCAGGCACCCTCATTGTGTCCTCGAAGCCTTGCTCAAGTGGAATTTTGAGCAAACAGTGCTCCGTAGCATGTGTAATGCCGGAGAGTTGGCCTTTGGATTTAACTTTCCCCCGAGGAAGGAAAGTATTAGGCGATATCTGAGAAGAACCACTGGCTTCAGTGGGATGAAGATAGGGCTGTTCGGGCGGCTTCATGGGATGAATAAAGATGTAGATAATTTAATGGAATGTTGGGCTGGATCAGTTTGGCTTGGATCAACTGCTCGCAGCCCTTTGGTCTTCAGTGAGCCCCTTTTCTAGCGAGATATCGTCAAGTTGGCCATGTACACCTCCACTGGCATATGGTTCACCGACCACCTCGTCGACATAAGGGTTGCAGCTTAGAGGGTTTAATGGGTTTTGTGATCCGCGTGAGTCCCGGGACCCCCCTTCGCTGCTGCAAGGAACGTGGACTGGTCGGGCTTTTGTACCAGCATATGACTTTCTGGTAGCGTTGCGATCAAACCTAAGACTCGGGATATACTTGGCAACAAGCGGTCGATAGAACGGAAGACAGGCGTTTATTGTGCCCAATTCTACTTCCAAGCCGCCAAAAGTTATATCCTTGATCATAGAATGTGAGTAATCGTTAACATTAAGTGTCAAGACAGCATATATTCGAAGGCCAGAGAAAATGCAAACACTAGCCAAGGGCGTCAGCATCACAGGGCTGCAGTCAACAGGAAAGGGGTGCATTGCACTTACACTAAGCCAACGCCAAATATACTACACAGTGCTACTCTCTTAGTCCTGTTCATCTGCAGTTTCCATAGCACGGGAATTGGAAGGAGGTATATGGACAAGTCGACGATCAAGTTGGTCACGGCCACTGCCAGATAGGCCTTTGTTGCATTGCCACACGTTCCATTTACCGATTTGTCCCAGGTATAGCTGAACGGACGGCAGAGCAAGAATGGTTCTAAGACTCCAGCCAGGTAGAGTGCTATAGTGATGATGCTCTCAATATAGACAGCTATTCTCATCGAGTGTTTTGAGCCAAATACTTTGTGATAGAAGGATAGGATGGAAAGTTTTGTGAAAGTCGTAGCCGTAGACCAAATTACAGGCCCTGCAACGAATGTCTAGCACATATCCCGAGGTAAATGAATGTCCTAAAACACGTAATGGGCTGCAGTAGGAAGCGGACTATCATGTTCATACCTTCAGTAACATCAGTAGCTGATGTTCATTCGCTTGGTACATGTGTAGACCTGCGCCGCCATCAATGACCGCTAGATAGTTGCAATAAAACGTTAGCAACCGTCATACTCGAGGTTTGGTATGCTTCATAACTTACCCACCATAGCGAGGACTGCCGTGCCAATAGTAAATATCTGGAGATAGCATTCGAAGCCATCATTAGCCATATATCGGTATATTTTAGGTGTAAGGTTTGCAGTCATACTAGACCTAGGACTATAAGATAATCACTCAAATAGTAGCTCCTGCCAATGACATTGATAGCGTAGAACCGGAGGATCACCGCGATGATTGCAAGAGTGGTAAATGTAGTATTGATAATGATGACTATCACTCCGCCAGGAGGGAACGCCATTTTAACGGTTTTCTGGTCAACGATAGGCTTCGGTAACCAGTAATATAGCCGTAGCGCCGTTGATACCAAGTATAAGACGCTACTCGATATCTTCTGGCCCTGACCTACTCCTCTAACCAGCAGGAATCAAGTAATATGTCGAATAGAGACGTGAGACCAGTAGAGGGATGACCATTGCGGCCTGCACTTTGTATGAGTCCGACACCATGCAGAATGCCGTTGTAGCGGTAGGGAAAAGATAACTAATAAGAGTGCTAAATAATTGGTAATCCTTCAATGTCTTTTAAAGGAAAGAAGACAACGAAATGTGATCCGTAGTATGGTTGTCTGTATGTATATATAGTTATCAAATCCGCTTTTTTCACAAGCTTCGGTCGTTTGGACTTGGTTCAACCTCCACGGACAAGAAAGTAGACTTAGCACTTAACTTTATATTATGCTTTGTCTTCTTTCTTCTAGACAAAGGAGAAGCCTTGCCATGCGCTTGGATGTGCCTGCTACTCGTGGCGTAAGGTGAGGGCTGGAGCTGCAGCTAGTCTTGTATACATTGACATGCGGGATCTCGGAGTAGCCAGATCCCCTTTTGAGGGCTATGAATGAAGAACGCTGCCAGAAAGGGAAAGCCGTATACACCTCCATGACCAGTCCGAGCGCCTTAGGTCAAGACCCTTTGTGCAGAAGAGTAACTTCGCCCTGGCACCGGCTGCGAGGAGAATTCCCAGATGCCCGCCAGGGGATGGAGGCAAAGGCATAAGGTCATACATTGCTGAGGTCATGGTATCTCGCCTCAAGGGGAATCGATTCTGGCTATCATGGGCTCCGTAGGTCTAAGGAACGGAACAAACCAGCCAAGTAGTTAACTAGCTGCACACAGGTTTTCGACCGTAAAAACCGTCGGTTCTCTCTTCTTTGTCTCTCTCGCCTACCTTTCCTTGATATCAGGACACCGTAAACCTTTACACAAGGTTAGACTTCAGACTTAATGAATGGATGGACCAGTCACCGTCGTACGTGGAAAACTCTGTAGGCTCATGAAGTCCAAAGGCGGTTAAACAGTTGACTAAATGGCCAACTGCCTCGATGGCCCAACTCGCCCTCTCCGCCCTCGCCGTCCCCAGCTCAACGGTTCCAAGGGTAAGCCGTTCTTCACAGCCTCATTCCGTCGGCTGGCTCGTTAAATATACGGGGAGGTTGGCCGTCAAGGTTAACTACAGCAATCATCACCGAAAGCTATCATCACAGGCCAGCCCTGGGGACCAGCGGTGGCAAAGCAGGAGTCATCAGGGCCAGCTCAGGAGACAATTTGTGGTGAGGCTCTCCGGGTCAGCCGGACATGGCAAGCCAGTTGGCTTCTCCAAGTCTAATGTATCCAAACCTGTTGTATTGATGAGGCGAAACGGCCGTTTGATGGCCTTAATTTCAACTTCGTCGACTGGTGATTGTAGAAGTATCCAAAATGACAAAAAAGTACTCTATGGATGGCCGGTATTATATTGCAGTATCCCAAATGTAAAAGCTGTGGTAATCAACTGGCTGATCAGTATTAGACCTAGTAGATGAGTGTCAATGCCGAATTATTGACCATGGCCGGCCAGGTTGTTCAACGCATCTCCGGAGACGCACATCCCTAGCCACTCGTCCTTTGGCGCCGCTCCAATCGACTTGTAGAATTTAATACTGGGCTCATTCCACTTCAAAACAGACCATTCAAGTCGCTTCCCCCCAATACGAATGACTTCTTCGGCGAGCGTCCGTAACAGCTTGAAGCCGTAACCTTTACCTCGATAAGCCGGCTGAACGTATAGATCCTCTAGATAGACGCCGGGCGCCGACCTCCACGTCGAGTAGTTGTAGAAGAAAAGTGCCATCCCCACGGGCTTCGGGCTGCTATCGGCTTCAGTGGCGGGTGGAATGATAAGGAACGTATAGACAGACCCTCGCTTGGGCGAGTCGAGGAACGAGAGTGTTTCCTTCAGCGAGGCGAGGGTAGCCTGGACTTCATGCTGTGCCTTTTCGTACTCAGCCAGCTCATTGATAAACTGCAGGATGATTGGGATGTCTGCTTAGCCGTCTGGTCAGAGCTATCCTCTCCGCCAAAGGAGCAAGCCAAAAGTGCGTTCGTACCGTCTTCAGTTGCAAGCCTTGTAGTTGGTTGATCAGACATGCTGACGGTTTGCTGCTCTGCCGTAGTTACTTGAGCACTTGTAAGTTAACCAAACCCCTTCCTTGTCTTCAAAGAGAATAATAGGTTTGGTGTCACTGAAAGAATCCCGAATGTTTGGGTTATATACACCAAATGACTGGTGGCAAACGCCCTTTATCGGCAACCAGATTCACGCCCTTTGACGGGGAATCCGAGGTTTGTTAAGACCGACCATTTTCTATATGGGGAACCGACTAGGTACCTAGGTACCATAGCGGAATATAGAGTTTGTGCGGCACAGAGAGACCCGACACGGTAACCCGCCTGTGATACGTATAAATAAAGAGGGACGGTATAGCAGTCGTTACTTTATTAAGAACGTTTACCGCCTCAGAACGTGTTTGAGCGGACACCCTCGGGCTACGGAAGATAGTAGTGCCGGAGAATATCATGTGATCTATCACGTGCCACACACTTCGCTTAAGCACGGCGCTTCTGCAGCTTCCAACAGCCGCCGTTTCCTTGCATGTTCGGTTCTACCATCATCTTCACCAAAACTGAGAACTCGACCTCCATTGGAACTCATCCATTGTCTCTCCTAAGAACTGCTTCCGCGACGTATGGATTCACTCACGGCTTCGCTCATCTCGGTACTTGGGCACAACCGGGCAAGCACCACTTCGTTTGTTATTTGACAAAGCTTAGGTAAAAGTCATTTGATTGCTGGGGTTGTGAGTATAGCTAATCATTATTTGAAAGATCAAAGTCAGCTTCTTGTACTACATAACTTCGCAGCATGGAGAGCCGAAACCTCTGGGTGGAGTTTGCGTCTCATCCCGGTGTTGTCCAGGGAGGCTTATATGCAGCGAACAATCTGACCCAACGCCAGCTCTTGAACATGCTTAATATCGCATTCAGTCCAAGAGGTGGCTTCGATGTATCTCGACGCGGTTCAACGACTCCACTGGCTGTGACAGATGACCTTGTTGAGCCTGGCTACTACGTTTTATCCTCAACTATTCCAGGACAAGATGTTACCCCAAGTGATGAGCGCTATTACCGACGGACTCTTTCACTTTACGATACAGGTAGAGATCACACTTTCCGACGTGATGTTAGGCAGCGAGATGGCCGCTGTGTTATTACTGGCTTAGTAAATGATGCTGCTGGCCTAGATTATTGGCTCGGTTTTGAGGCGGCCCATATCTTTCCTCTTGCTTTATCGATGATATTCACGAGCTGCGGATTTTCGAACGTTATTACAGATGAAAGAGGGGTGAACTCCCCTAGTAACGGCCTTTTGCTCCGGTCAGATATCCATCAGTTATGGGATGGGTATGATCTTGCGGTTAACCCTGACGATGATTACCGTGTTTATAGCTTTAAGGTGAATACGAGGAGGTACCATGGATCTACTCTCGATAATATCTGCCGCCAGCCAGGAGACGCGCACAGGGTGTCTGACGTTTTGTTACGTTGGCATTTTGAGCAGACAGTGCTCAGTAATGTTCGTGGTGCAGCTGAGCCAGCCTTAGAATTTGATTTTCCTCCTGGAAATGACATGATGGGCGAGATTCGCGAGGGGCCTCTTGCCGCGGAAAGGATGGAAGCTGAACTATTCGGTCGTTTGTATGGTTATTACCAAGGAGAAGAAGCTGCTTGACGCTATAGAGCAGTTTTTCTTTAGACACTTTGAAAGCTGATTCAACCTGACCGTGAAAATTCGTCTGCTGCACCCAGTTCGTCCATGACAAGGGCCTTGAGGATGGAGAATCGAATCAAGCGTTTAGACGGCGATGTTTCACCCTATGGATCTAGCGATGACGATAGCGGAGATGAAAGCTGCGGTTGAATGAAAACACACCGCGCATCAATACTAAGAAGAAGACGACGAGGCAGAAGACGAGGCGGAGCAAACAAATCCATAAAACGGTGTTTTTTCGGAAGTAGTTTCTCTGAGGAGCTCAGGAGTATGCCTGCTATCCTGTTAGTAATACAGACTGTGGCCGAAAATTTTACATCGTGTTAGTTAGTGAGCCAGGCTCCATCGAAAAAGATACTAGATTACAGCTGAGGCTACATTTATCGTGATGTTATTGCTGACATCCATTTCTGCTCGTCCGTTCTGCGTAGAGAGAAGTGGTTAGTTGGATATTCAGCTCGACGGTTGGAGAACAACTTACGGATCAAAATGTAACAGCATCCCTAGAACTGGAATCAGCTGCTTCTGGTGGTTTCGGTCTTTCTGCTCCAGAAATTGTAGTAGTACGTTTTTGAGGTAAACGTAGTCAATTGGAGTAGGTGTATCGTTCCGTGATATTGAGCCGTTTCGACCGCTGTTTGGGCCTGGAGGCGGAGATGTGACGCCACGCTGCCTGGCTGATTCAAGAGAGGAGCGTGGTGACCGGTTACCAGAGTCGATCCCGCGCTTGTTCGGCAGCTGGGAAGCTTTCAAATCGCTAGCGAGAGACTTGTTGGTTCGCTTGAGCTTCTCAAGGCGTTGGTTCGTTTCCTCAATAGACCGGTGAAGGGCGGTCTTCTCCTTTTCTAGGTCCTTTGCATGACGCTCGCTCTCATCGAGTGCATCCCGCAAATGTGACATGGCATCTTTAACCTCATTGAGCTCTTGGTTAGAGCGTTCAAGCTGTGATTCCAGCTCGACTCGTCGCCGTTTCCATTCCCTTTGTGCGTGTTCTACCTCGTCTTTGTCTTCTTCCATCCTCCTCAGGGCCTTCTCAGCATCTCTTGCCTTCGTCCTTAACTCCTCAATCTCCCTGGCTCTTCTTCGGTTTGCCGAGTTAGCCTCATCTTCGGCTCGGTCCCGTTCTTCGATAACGGCTTCAAGTCTCTCTTTGTGTTCTCGAACTTTAATGTCTGCCTTTATCTCAATGTCTGAGAGCATCCGCCTCATTGTTTCTCCTTCGCGAGACCTCTCGGAGAGTAGGCGATGCGCATCGGCAACCTCCTCTTCTAGACCCTCGCATCTTTCGGTTGTCTCTTTTACCTGCATTGCCATTTCCGATGCCTGGTCTCGCATGCTACTCATCAGGCCTTGAGCGCTGGAATACTGGGCTGTCTTTAGCTTGATGTCGTCACGTAGCTGTTCAATATCTCTGTTAAGTTGGGATATTTGTCCTTCAAGATCGCGAAGCTTAGACTGTGATACTTGGAGATCCTCTTCAGTTTTCGAGAGGTCTCGTAGAGTCTTCTCGTTTGCCTCGATTGCCTCTTGCTTCTTCCCTTCAGAGTAGCGCAGGTCGGCCTGCCCTATCTCGAGAGCTTGCTCTGCTTTTAGTCTTCCATTACTCTCTTGGCTGATCTTCTGGCGGAGCGTTTTAACCTCAGAGTCTTTTTCCTGGATAGAGGATTGTAGGCTCCTCATTTCTGACCGTAGATCCTCATGTTTCTGCTCCAGGTCTGATACTTGTGATGTCTTCGTCTTCAATTCTTCTTTCACTGTCTTGAGCTCTGCCGACTCGGCTCGCAAAGAGCGTAACTCGGGTTGTATCTTCTGCAGAGACTCTCGAAGATCGGAGACATCTTTGAACCTAGTAGCAGCAAGCTGTTGAGCAGCATTTAGGTCCGTCTCAAGGATCAGTGCTTTTGACTTCAGGTCCTCAAATTCCACTGACAAATCTTTATGAGCCTTCTCGGCATCAGATGATTGCGTAGAACTCAAGCGTAGACTAGCTATCTCCTTCTCAAATTCTGCAGCACGATGCTCAAGAGCAGATTTGCCTGCAAGCAACTCTTTGACTTTGTCCTTTGCCTCAACATGGTCCTGCCCAAGGCTTATAACTTCATCCTGAAGAGTCTCTATTTCCTCACGAAGGTTCTCCTCTCCCTTGAGCTTCAAGCAGAGGCGATCAATTGCGGCATCCTTCTCCGCGATCTCTACCTCCAGTTTTTGAATCTTAAGCTCAAGGTCGCTTATAGCGCTGGAGTTTGGCAGCGGTGTATTGGCATTTACCACTTCAGCAGGTTCATCAGGTTCCTGTTTGGTACCTTTCTTCTTCTTCTTGTTTTTCTTTTTTGAACTTGAAGGTGCGGCATTAGCGGCAGCAGGGGCAGTATTAGTAGCAGAGGGAATATCGGTGTCTCCGGCGGGTTTCAAATGACCAGTACCTGTGATGCTCTTTTCGATTTCTGCAAAATCAACATGTTCGCCTTGCACAATTCGCTCTCTGACGGATTTCCAGGTCTCATTATCATCAAGGCCCTTATCAATGAAGCTAACCACAGAACTGAGACAATTTGTTTCTGCTTCCTTTGTAGACAACTCTGCCTTTAAGGACGATACCGTGTCTTCGGCTTCCTTCAGTTGAGACTTCAGATTCGTTACAACGCCTTGTAGAATTTCCAACCGTTTGCCAGCGCCTTTATTGTTCTCCTGGCTCTGCTCTTGGACATTCAAATCTGATTTAACCTGGTTGATTTCTTCTTCTTTCACTTTGATCTGGGACCTCAGCTCATCCACCTCTGCAGTAGATTTGTCTAGGTTCGAGGAAACCGACTCTAGTTTAGACTCCAAAGACGTAATTTTTTCCTTGAAAGATGACTCCAGGCTCGCAAGCTTAGCTTCCTGGTGATCTTTACTCTCACGCAACCCACTAAGCTTGCGGGTGGCAGATTCCAGGCTGTGAACCATGCCCTCAGTTGACTCGCGAGCCACGGCGAGATCGTCTGTCAATGATTTCACCTGAGACTTGAGCCCAGTAATCTCCTTGTCACGAGCCTTGATCTCAGACTCTAACCGCGGTATCTCATTGTCGAAGGAAAAGAACTCTTCAGCTTCCTCAACTGGTGGCGGTGAAGAGACTGGTTTCGTCTTTGGAGAAAATATGGATAGGCCAGGGATAGAAGTTGTCATCGAAGACATCGAAGGTGCCGGTGATTTCTTTGGGTTATCCGAAGTTTCCCCTTCATGTGGACTAATCGGTGGAGGAGTCGGCGTAGCTTGCTCCTTATCCTCTGCCTGGGAGTCTCCGGTGGAATTCTTTCTATTCTTCAGCTTGGACACTTCATCCAAAGCTTCCTTTGCGGATTTCTCGGCATTTTCTACCTTGGCCTTGAACTCATCGCGCTCTGACGACACCCGCTTCAACTCTTCCACCACCATATCACCTTTTAATGAAATCTGGTTTAGATATTCGGTCAAGGCACGAGGATCTGTAATAGACGTGAGAGGTGTATTTTCACGAAGAGCAGTTTCGAACGGTTCGATAGTAAGGACTCGGGCGTGTGCGGCTCGATAAGCCTTGAGCAACTCTTCATGCGATTGTTAACTTCACAGGTCCTTAATCGTGGAATTCTACCTATACATACCTTGATACCTAGCTTCCAGCTTATCCAGCCTTCGCAGTCTGACTCGGATATCGGTGGGTAACTCATTCACGGATCCATCCTTCGACCCAGTTGTAGAGGTCTCCTTAGCATCTCCCTTCGCCTGCTGCCCTGAGCTTTCTGACCCAGCTTTCTCTGGCCCTTGATTAGATGAGGCGGCCTCTGTTGCCGACTCATCATCTCCAATAATGGTGTCACCATCGAACTCGGCTGGGTCTGGTCCGCGACATGGGATTCCAGAACCATCTTGCTTCACTCGGCTTGTTCGTTGAGAAGGGGATGCATTGTTGGACTTCCGGGCGGCTGAGTTCGAGCGGGACAGAGCCTCCTGACTGGCTCGCTGCCGGGCTTGTTCTTCGGCTATCCTAGCATCAATGGCACCGCGGATACGCTGGAAAGGAGTTGTGTCAGCCCAAGTCGCAGTTCCTAGTCGCAGCCGCATGAGCTCACCTGGAACATTGTGGAAGTCTGCTTGTAGCAGCGAGCTTCTTTGGTTTATCCAAAAGACGGTTACGTACAGATTATTCCGTACATTCAAATGTAGAACCCTCTATGAGTAGCTGTCAGATACTATAGAGCTGTATAACAATGGGCAAAGACTGGATGTTGAGATCGTGTTGAGCATCGGCACCCCCTAGCAACAACTATTTCGACGAAACAGTCGGCCCCCTGACGCTTGTAGAACTACTGCAGCCTTGCCAACCTGCAGACCAGCACACTCATACCCCTCAAATCGCAACCAAAAGTCTCTGTCGTACTCCTGGGTGTGAATGTAAATGTCGTTGTAGCTGTATCAATATTTACTTGCTTGCGGTTCTTCCTGTTGGAAAGCCAACACGCAGCATCGTCGTCGTGATTAGTCAGCCATACTCCAACTGGCTCTTCTTGATGCCAGCAAAGCCGGCGATGGGTTCTAAAACATTTAACACACAAGAGACGCTCAAGAGGACGGCGGTGCAGCGTTGGCCGGCGGTTTTGATATGCTGATATGAAGCAAGTTCACTGATACTGAATCACCATGGTGTCCCTCTGGCCATGGAGAGTAAGTGGTTTTCCCTCTGCTGTATATGGACCAGGTCTACAACAGCTAACGATGAGTTGATAGGGCCCTGATAACTCTCCAGCGTCGTTTGAGAAGACGCTCGCAGGACTGTCTGAGAAGATCGCACAGTCAAATGGCAGCTTAGAGGTCCACAGGCAGCGTGCTCGCCGGTTCAAAGCACTATGGACGCTATATACTACATTTGCATACATATTGTATGCACTCATTGCAGTACTGGTGCTAGGCTGGGAACAGTGGGGGCCTGTAGAGTACACAGCTCTCTCAGGTAGCCCAGTAGTGTATGTTACGTCCCGTTTTAAAAATTTGTCTCTGGTGTATCACTGCTGATTTTTCTGGTATTTAGAATTTACACAGTTCGGCGGATAGGCGCAGCATTCTTCCAATACCGAATCACGAAGACACAGAAATACCTAGAAGAACTGCAGAGGCAACGCGACGAGACTATCGAGAAGCTGAAAGAAGCCACGAAATATAACTCTACGCTGCAGTTACTTGAAAAATATGGCGCAGAGCCTCCGAAATCTACCTCTCCACAACAAGGTGCTGGCGTGGAAGGGATGAATCAGCATGGAGGCTCAAAACGCAATGGCCCCGGTTCTCGGACCTCTCTCCCATCCTCCGGACAAACAACTAGAATGACACCTCCTCCTACCGCTAATATTCGACGGCCACAACCTGGCGGGTCCCTCCCGTCCAGCCCTATGAGTCAAGGACATGGCCGGCCACCTGTGCCTACTCTATCAAATCCACCCAGTCCGGCTAGCTTACGGTTAGCACAAATGCAACAGCAGGTACCGCATCAACCTGTCGATGAGCCAGGTTTCCACCCCAGTGCTTTCCCTCCAACCCAGCATATTGAACCCCGTCAGCCTCAGTGGTATGACAGGATACTTGATGTTCTCCTCGGTGAAGATGAAACGCTTCCAAAAAACCGCCTGGCACTAATATGTGCCCACTGCCGTTTGGTCAACGGACAAGCTGCACCTGGTATTCGCACTTTAGAAGAAGTTGGCCGATGGCGCTGTGTTGGGTGTGGGGGGTGGAATGGTGAGGAGAAGAAGGCTACTGCTGCTCATGATATGCTTCGCAAAGAACATATCCGTAGTCGGAGTGAGAGTATGCCTCAGAGACCATCGCAGCCAGTGGTAGTGGTACAGCCCTCGACCCCCACAGATGCTGACAGCCCTGGGAACAAATTTGACCGCAAGATGAGCGTAAGTAGCGAGCCACATGCTGGGGTCGTTTTGTCTGCAGGTGAAGACGCAGACTGGAGTAGCGATGCAGAACCGGAACCAGGGCAAAAGGGCCCGTCAAATATCAAAGAGGAGCAGTCTAGCTAAAGGGCAGTCACATTATTACTGGCATCATGGTTGGAGTTGCAGTGGATTTATTGGTTATTATTACTATTATGTATTGATCGTAATTTCAATTTGCTGTAAACTACGTGCACTGAGGACTCAACATATAACAATTCTAGTATTATAAGGTCACGAAAACCAATAAATGATGTAATATTTTACAGTATCATGTTGATGCTCCGTAGGTGAATTGAATGCATAAGAATGATTTATTCCGTGTATTTGGGTATCGCAGGCTGGGTATAAATAATGATGCTGAAGAATGAAAAAAGAGTTGCCTCCCTGATTTGATCATAATAATAGAAAAGGTAACTTGGGTGTAAATGTATATATATCCCCGGCATATCTGCTGCCTTGGATCCTTAAATACTTGCACGTCTTGGTGCCATGGTTCTCCGCATATTTTTCTTCTCTTCGGTCTCCTCTGGCATTGGCAGGGACCCTTCTTTCCTGAGCTTCTCTAGGAATCCCTTTCCATACTGGTAGCCTACTTGGTATATTTCATCAAATTTGCTAAATTCCAGGGTCCCGTAGCAGTCAATTGGCGGGCGCATATAAAGACAGCCTGGGGTGTTTTTCGCCCGCTGAAGTGCGTCCACGGACGAGACATAGGCAAGACGGGCTTGTATCTCGGATAGCGTAGGCGGGTTAGGAACGCCCGTGAATGGATTCCATCTGTTGAGAACTGTCCAAAACCCAGAGAGCGAGTCGCCGTATACCTGTGGCGTGTTGTCATCGATGGCACCCACGTCGACAGCAAATATCACATCCGCACCTAGAGATTTCATGCGTGAAACGGTCAAGTTGTCCACGTATCCACCGTCGAGAAGCAAGCTACCTTCGTCGCAGAGCGGCGGAAGGAGGCCTGCTAGTGACATTGATGCACGTACATAGCGCCATACATAGCCGGAAGAATGATAATCTGATCTAGACTGGCTGATATTTGTGGTGTTACAGTAGAACTCAAGCCACGAATCTTCAATCTGGCTGTCAGTGAACGCCTTGAAAAGCCCACGGTTGAACTCGTGGCCGGTTGTGTAGGAGACGGATGGGTATGTAAGATCCAGTGCAAAACGCCAGATACTGCCCATCTTGGCTGCGAATTTCTTTGCTCGGCCATACATAGGCACCACATCTGCATCCCGGGCGTAGAGCGCACCAATAAATGCACCAATCGATGTGCCGCCTACTATATCAATTGGAATTCCAGCTTCCTCCAAGGCCGTGATAACCCCTATATGGGCAATCCCACGAGCTCCGCCACCTCCGAGAACCAAACCAACTGACTTGCCGCATAATCTACGTGCTAGCCGGTGGAAATCGCCCTTGAACGGTGTCGTTGCCGAATATAAAGGCTCCTGGCGGATCCTTCGGGAGGTATACTTTTGTATTTCAGCCTGGATAACCTGCACACGTTGTTTAAGAACGGTGCCAAATCTTTTGATTTGTGGCAGGGCGGGTTCAGGGGTAGCACGATATGTCATCTGAATATGATGATGTCCCCCGTTAATCCACATGCGGTTTTTAAGCCATTGTCTTGTAAGACCAGGCGGTGAGTATCGTTCTGCATGCAACAGAACTAGCTCCTTTCTTGCTGTCGTCTTCATCCCTAAGAGAAAGCGTTCGTATTCGCCGATACTGGGTGAGCCCCCAGCAACGCCAACTAGAAGAATGCAGTCGGCCTGGCTAATGCAGGTTTGCGTCCATGGGGCGTTGACACTGGTATCAGCTACATATATAAGCATACCATAGCGCTCTTCAAGATCAGCGAGATATTGTGAAAGCTTTAGCTTGCCCATTCGGTTAAATGCATGGCGTCCTAGATGATTAAAGATATCCGCCTGATGTAAAGAGGCGACCCCGTCGGGAACTCCTATCTGGTTGAATGCGCTAAGAAGGCGGCTTGCGAACTCTACAACTGGTATCCCTGATGTCACCGGAAGGATTGCGACTGTCCTTAGATTTAATGTCGATGTAAGGCTGCTTGCTTCGTCATGAGCGTTTTCACCCCCAGTTTCAAGTAGCTTGGTGTTGATGAGGTGCTTCATACGCTGAGCAACCAGCTTCGATACCTGTATAGTTATTCCAGGATGCTCCTGTGCAAGGCTATTGAAAAGTGAGCGCGGAAATTTCGCTAGTTCTGTATCCCGTATGGCATGTAGAGTGGCAGGACGAGTTGTTTCAGTCAGAACTTCGAGCTCGCCCACACTTTCGCCCTGTCCATGCTCGCCAACAACGCTTACTTTGTTATCACCAGATTCAAGAACTGATCGTAGACGTCCATTCAGAACTATGTAGATAGAATCACTCTCATCCCCTTGATGATAGATGACCTGGCCGGCGCTGACCTGAACCCATTCCAGGGCAAAATCTATATGTAGCAGCAGACGAGGGAGGACATCGGTTAGTCGTTTTGCCATTGAGAGAAGAACGAGAGGGTACCGATCAGCAATTCTTTCAAGACATATCCGCGGTAGAAAGCCGACATACACGTCCGTCTTTGCGGTGACATCGGTGAAAGACCGATATGAAGTTATGGAGCCGATGTACCCCTCTAAATCACCTGGCTTGACCATGTATAGCGACCGACGGGAGGCTTTCTTCCTCTGATTTTGTGTAGACGCCTTACTCTGGGGCATTCCTGGAGGTCTTCGAAGAGGCAGTAATGGTTCCGTGGGGTGGATGCCACGCTTGGATGGACCTATCAGATCTTCTCCCTTGTCATTGACTGGGATACCAACATCCAAAAACCCATCAATAACATAGTATAAGCCTGGATTGCGCTCTCCCTGCTCTACTAAAACCGACCCCTTGGGGAAATAGACTATCTCGATCTCATTGCTCAGTTCAGCCTTCAGGTTGGCTATCGGTGGCGTCCCGCCCGTGCTTGTAACAGAAATGCTCATCTGAGATTCCGAATCACCATCCCCAAACGCCTCATACGGGTCTATGTAGCCAAACGCATTGTTAAACACTGCTTTTTGCTTCCGTGAGTCGTATGAAACCAGATGCGGAGAGCCATCGGCTGACCCAAAGCCTTTGGGAAGAGGAAGAGCTTCCTGGGTAGTTGCTGTCAGCCCTAGCGCCTTCACCATGCAGTCGAGTATCGATTCACGGAAAGCACTATCTTCGTTGACATGGACGGTGGCCGGAGAGTTAAAGAGGGAGTTTCCCGGGGAGCTGGAATCAGGGGAAGCATGCATCGGAGTTTTCATCCCAGGATTTGAGCTTGAGTCGTGAAAAGTGCTTCGTGCGGCAAGTCGGCGGTCGTTGCCATAGCGTGGACCAAATCTAGATAGCTGAATAGTGGAAAGTAAATCTCCCGGACTAATACCTGAGGCCTCTCTATCCATGATAGGGGGGCTCGGGGAGGCTGCCGCCTGACCATTTGCGGCAGACACCTTGGCCCGTAATGAAGCATCTTTGCGCAGAGAGCTACTTGACCTCCGCCTATTACTGACACCCGGGTTATGTAGAGCAATTCCCTTCGAGCCTTCTTCGGGCCCAAGACGCTGCACTGCTCTCTGGAACTTCTGTTTGAGTCTATCCAGTGGAGCTCCACGGAGATCATTGGGCAAATCAAAAGAAGTGAATTTGTTCATTTTCTTCTCTATACTCAAGACATCTGTTGTGAGGCCAAGATATGAATGAGCCGTGGCAAATGTCACACGTTGCAGTCTAGTCAGAATGACTTGTATAATATGCGCTGTGGCACGGGGATACAGTCGAGTAAGGCGGCGGAATGCACTGGCTGGGATGATGGCAATGGTGGTATCTACCACAGCGCGGGCAACTATGTCTGGATGAATGGAGTTGGTTCTTGAGCGTCTAGGAATACGCCGATTCTGTGCCGAGGAAGTTGGTGGGGTGTGGGCGGTAGAGAAATGAGCAGAGGAAGTGGTATCATCTAGTGTCATGGGTGGGACTGTAGGAAGACGTCCGCCGTTGGATTGGAGGGATATGTCGCGGTGGTGATGGTTGCGGTCTTGGAAGGAAGATCGAGGACTACTAGCGGCAAACGGTGTAGGGCTCACAGGGCTGGACGAACTAGGCTCTCCCCCCTCCTGATAGCGGAGCTTCACATCCTCGCTGAATAGAGATAGTATGGAGAAAAGAGAGGACATGGATGCGCCATTCTTCACCTCGGTCAACAATTGATACCCTTGGTGGTGGCGGTGCTGCTCGTCATCTTCTTCCATCGAATCTTCTACAGAGCTCTCTCCATCCTTACCACGCTCCCTAGCCGACTTGACGAATATCTGTACAAGGCCATCAACCACAAGGCAGAAACCCTTCTCCTCTTCTAGCAAGAGGGTCTCGCCCGCAATAAGCTTCCGCGTCTGCATCGTTCTGGTTAACTCATGGAAAACCGGTCGCTCCAGGTAACCGAAGACCTTTATGGCACTCAAAAATTCATCTAAATAATTGGCTAGGCCCGGCTTTGAGTCTCCCTCTTGGGTGTCCGGAAAAAGATCTATCTGAGGTTCCTGCCGCTGAGGTTCCGGCGGAAGGTGGGCGTACATATTCAGGAATCGATAGCGGATAAACCAGCTAATGGTCGAGACGAGGAAGAGGGTTATTAAGAGTCTAAGTCAAACGTTAGCCATCAAGTCGTACGCGTGTATCTGATAATGTCGGGAAACCGGGTACATACAAGGTCGTGAAATTCATCGTGAAGGTCAAGCTCATGGAGAAGAGGGTGAACAGAGCTGTCGGCACGGTGATAGTGGTAAAAGTGATGACCGAATAGAGCAGCCCCGGTAGGACCTGGACAAAGAAGAGGAAGATGGTGCCAGCGAAATCGGCCATTGTGTACTGCGAGTACGCCGGATGTTGCGGACAGGAGGGGAGGCACGAGGAGGTGAGTTGCTCAAGCTCGAGCTGGCGGGGTGAGGCCGCGGTAGCCATGGTTAAATCCGGGCAAGCCTGGGGAAAGATAAAGGCGCGATTGGCGCTGGACTCTATGTTGCTCTTTTCACGGACGAACTACCCGTTTTCACTCCTTGATAGGCCTCTCCTCTCCGCGCGACAGGTGCAGGAACGTGGGTGGATCGCTGGTCAAGCCAATTAGTAACGGCATATTTACTTGTGAACGGGGGCAGCAAGTGACAACCTTGCAACCTACCCTTGCCTCCGAAACAAGCTTGGGGTCGGCTGAGCCAAACCATCGACGAGAAGAGCTTTTCTTCACTGTTTGAGGCTCTTGGTGGCGGCGGCTCAAGATGAGAAAATGCAGAAAAAGAACGAAAGGAGAGAAAGAAGAAAAGACAGAAGAATAATTAAGGTTGACGGGAAGCTTCCGCTACAGTGATTGATTATATAAGCTCAAAAACGCACCGACCAACCTTTCTTTTCTTCAACGACGTCATCTCTGGCCTTTTATTCAATAGAAACGCAGTTCACGATCGGCTAGTTTGCGGCAGGCAGGCCGAGTTCTGGAGGGGTTCTGGAAAAAGCAGTATCTGACCTGGTCCTGGTCCTGGCCGTTTTGGAATTCCCTCATCCTAGTGCAATCACTAGTTAGTGGATATGCCTGGCAACTAAATACCATAACCCCAGCGAGTACTCCGCACTTTATATACAATTCATGAAGGCCAAGTTTATTGACGCAACTCTTGATTTTCTCTACTGCGCTAGTACGAGGGAATAGATGGCATTAGAATGACTACCGCGAAGGATTTGTGTTGATAACATCACTGTATGCGGCAAGTTGAAAATGAAGGTCCAACTTGTTTGTATTGGAGACGACTGCTGATTTTTCTGGCCACCAGTGCACAGTATATAGGTATATCAAGCTGAATATAATGCAGTCTAGCATTTGAACCCTCCATCCGTGACTCAACCATTAAATTACTGTCTTTGGGCTATTCTATACGCAGATAACCGTTACAATAGTTTGTTCATTCGGAAAGCTTAACGCCGAACCCTAGCCGGCAACCGAAACACATTCCTATTGGCTGATATCTGCTGACATCAGAACTGACTAACTAACTAGTTAAGTGACTAGCTGTGTTAGTCAGCTCTTTTTCTCATCGCTGCCCAACATCAAAGTTTGGCACCGAAAAGCAACTCTTGATACATTGTCGGTGATGAACAGGAAAGGGGGCTTTTTTGTCTAGCTAACTAAGAGAATCAACTAGCCAACTGTTTGTTAACTATTCCAACTAGTTAACACACTGTCGTCTGTCGATATGGGTTCTGAGCCTGTTCAACCACCAACGTTGCCCGCCGCTACGGGCAACTCAGGCTCTCAGTCGTACTTGATTATTGGTGCTGGTTGCTTTGGTGCCTCAACTGCGCTACACCTTGCTCGCTCTGATCCTTCATTAGCCTCTAAAATTACTTTGGTGGACCGTACTCCTTTCCCTTGCTCATCAGCAGCAGCCCATGACCTAAACAAGATCATTCGCGCAGAATATACTGATCCGTTTTATATGCGCCTCGCTATAGAAGCCATGGAACTGTGGAAATCCGATCCTATATTTAGCCCTTACTTTCACCAGGTAGGCTTGCTGTTACCCACAAAATTGGAGCAGGCGAATAAAATTGTGGAAAATTATACCAGTATTGCCTCGCAGCCTGCTCCCATTGAGTTAATTGAACCAGACGCTGCCAAGGACAGGTTTGGCGGCATTTTTCGCGATGCATGCCTGGACAATGTGGAAACTTGTCTGTTCAGCCCAGAGGCAGGGTGGGGAGACGCAGAGAGTGCACTCCGAAATGTGATTAAGTCTGCTGTCTCGTTGGGTGTGAAATATGCCCCTCTAGAAGTTGATAAGCTACTGTTTAATGAAACGGGGCACTGTCTTGGGGCACGAACAGTCACAGGAATCGATCTGCATGCACGGCATGTCATCCTCTGCACTGGAGCGAATACTGCTCAGCTATTAGCCAATAGTGATCCAGATAAACCAGCCCTACATGTCGGAGACAGGATGGTTGCTGCTGCAGCAATCATGGGTGCTTATCGTGTTCCTACGGAACAGATGAGAAAGTTTGATTTTGCACCCATTGTAGTGAACCCTGTTGGGACCACACCTGGTTTGTCCTGTCCCTAGCCTCTTGAAGCTGACCTGGATTGCTTGATTTTAATCATGCGTAGGAGAGAGTATCCCTCCTGGATCGGCCGGACTGCTCAAATGTACCCATGAACTAAGTTTCACCAATATGGTTCACCACGATAACTTGCATCGGCGCATTTCTACTCCACCGGATGGCCCAGCTTCTAGCACATGGACTCCGCATGTCCCATCCCAGCTGAAAAACGAGGTTAAAAATGTCAAGGATATGCTTTATGGGGAACATGTTGGAAGCCTTGTTCCTGAGTTCTACCGCATGTGTTGGTACGGTCTCTCGTTCTACTCCATGCAGAGTAAGCGGCTAACCCTTAGCAGGGATGCGGTAACTCCGAACCAAGATTTTATTATCTGCGCCCATCCTCATTCGCGGAATCTTTATATTGCAAGTGGAGGATCATTTCATGCATGGAAATTTATGACTAATATTGGGGGATACGTCGAAAAGATGATTAGGGGGAAGTTGGAGCCTGATATGGCTAAAAGATGGGCATGGGATAGGGCCAATGATGGAGGTGCATGTGCCATTTATCTACCCTCAAGAGACTTACAAGGAATATTGTAGATATTGGTTACTGGTCAATGAGAAGCCCTGTTCAACGGGATATCTACAATGTACTGCAGCATAATTCGAAGAGAGGCTCATGGCACGCATAAACCAGACTGCGGACTTCTGACAGCTCCACGGCTCATCCGATGACCTTCGATACGTGCAAATATTCTATACATAGTTCTCTCGCTTCAGCCATAAGCACAAGCCACTAGTTACTGTTCTATTTTCAGTTGTTATCTTGGTCCTGCCCATCGCCAATTATGTAAATGTACGTAAACGTAAAAAAAGGGATCCTTTCGTTGGGATCTGGGGCTTCGGTGTCCACCGTGAGTATTACTCATGTCCGGCCCACTAGTCGGCTTGAACGAGAGATGACATGCATAAAAAGATGTATCGCTAACCATGCAACGGGGTGGTAACAGGGATTCTTCCGCTTAACAGCCGCATCTCTCGTACACACGAACAGGGGTTACGAAGGGCTCGTGATAAGCAGGGAAGGGCCTGGGGCTCTCGACCACTACTGAATCGACAGTGGCTCCTTTCCCGGAAGACGGGCGTAAGCGCAAAAGGGCTGTTGATGAGTAAACTGAATTCCAAGGCAGTGAAGGCTCCCCTTCTGCCTCACCTTTATCAGTTTCACGCTAAACGCCCGAAGCCTAGTAAACGCAGGCTCTCCAATCATATTTCAAGGCGGCGAAGGCGGCCTCAATGCAGAGCTCTGCTCAGGCATGTTTTCAGTGCAAATCATTGTAATAATATACTTAAAACATGACAAGGAGAGGCGCGGAGATGCAAAAAGACTAGTTCCTTCTCCTTCGCCTTACCCCTAGATCCTGCTAAAGGCTTCCACAATGGTCATCTGGGTCTTTATGCCTTGCATTGTGGCTCAAGCGATCAGTGCTAAACAGCCGCCTAAATGGAGGTCGGTAGGATATAAAAGAGGTCAAAAATCTCCTAATTATCTCTGTATAATGTCGATTGCTATACTCACCACGATTTGTATTGATCTATGTTAATTCGCGTTGAATCCTATTAATTTAAATCAAGAGGACTCCTTTCAAAAGATCTATAGCATTGCCAATCCAGCTGCTCGAAAGAGAAAGACAAGCAATTGCCCGACTGTGTTCAATATGCCTTCTTTTTTCCCTCTCAAGGTAGGAGTCCTATATCCTATATATGAGCCTGCTTTGCTTCTCCTCAAATACCCAGGCTAACAGATATGTTGTATGACATATATAGGACACCCGCACGATCATGTGTGAGGCAGGGACAGTTATCGACATTGGAGGTGGCCGTCTGGAACGATCACTTAAGGAGTTAACAGAATATCAATTCCTGGGCTCAAACGATGGGAATCCCCGCGACCTGCCAACAGGACTGTTCTATAACACTAGGGGGTTGCAGATTTGGGGCGACATCACCCGTTTGCCAGAGTACCGCCAGACCCAGGATGAAATAGACCTTCTGAACTTGTTCAAAGGCCAGGTAGCAGACTGGATAGTTGAGGGATGCACGATCATTGACATGGGTAGCGGGTATGTTTTCATTGCATTCTTTTTTTGATCATAGTATCTTCGTGAATAAAATGGTAACATTTCGTTCTTAAAGGGACACTCGGAAGGTACTGCCTCTCCTAGAACACCTTGAGCAGCTGAGGGTGGAGGTGCAATATTTTGCTCTTGATCTTTCCAAGCAGGCATTGGAAAAGACAATGAAGCAGCTTGTCCCCGAATTCCATTATGTCCGATGCTTTGGTCTTTGGGGCGCCTTCAGCGACGGTCTGAATTGGTTAAGGGCTGTCAAGTCTCCCAAACTCATCCTTTCCCTGGGGTCCATGTTCGGGAACGACGAGTTTTCTCTCGCAGTCTCTAGGCTAGAAGAGTGGAAACAGGTCATGGGCCCCGGCGATCTCATGTTGCTAGGGTTGGACGCCTGCCAATACCTTCCAGAACTGTGGAACTCGTACCACGATCCTGACCGAGTTTGGGACAGCTTCATTAAAAACGGGCTAGAATACTCAAACGAGGTTTTGGGGTGTGAATGGTATAGAGAAGAAGACTGGGAGATTTCTGGCCGCATCGATAGATCGCCGGACACTGTCCACCGGTTTTCCATCATCGCTCGGCGGGACGTACACTGCCACCCGCTTGGCATGCACTTCTCCGCGGGCGAGCGTGTCGACTTTTTCGAGGCGTGGAAGTACGGGCCAGAGAGGATGCGAAGCCAGTTCAAGCTGGCCGGCTTCGACGAGGTAGAGAGGTGGCAGGCCCCCGGCAGCCGCCCGTTCTGTACGTGATTCCATGGAGTTGCAGTGCCATGCGGACCCCCCTTGCTAACTCGTTCCTGCTAACTAAATGTAGACGAATACCTTCTTGTGAATGCCGACTTCATTCAGTGCTAGCTAGCGACCGCGACCACCAAATCCCGCCCTTCCAGTTACCTCGTGCCAACACCCGACCGGCCTTGTATCTAGCTGTCTTCTCCTTTGCGCTTCCTTTAGTGGTGTTTTGATGCTTCGCCTCACATTTTTTTCTTGTGGTAATTCAACATTCTGAGCGTTGTTTGTCTTACTGTTGGCTTGATATAGAACTATAGCAGCATCCTTCGCGTAGTATTGATTTTGTATTTAGAAAGACGCTGGCCGTTGAACAATCATAGCTGAATTGCTCTGAACATGTCGCAAGTTTGTTAATTTTCGATTCAACGAGACGAATGAATGTGGGCTTGACTTCAAATAACCGCGAAACGGTTTAAATTAACCAGTTAATCAACGTCAACAGAATGTCCAATCAATGAAGTTACATCACTATCAACAATGGTGTCAACTGGGTGATCCTACGAGCGAGGTCAAAAGCAGAGATAGCATTGTGGCCAATCATTGATGCGGTTAGTCAAGGTGACCTGGGGCTGAGTAGTCACGTGTTTTATGATTACTGATTGCTTGGGCCCAGGCATTTTTACTCAATTTTTATTCAACGACGTTATTTCAGAAGAATATGATTGTACGGGTAACAGAACCCAGATTGCATTCGGAGATGTTCTGCGAAACTACGTTTTTATAAAAGGTAAAATTTATCCTTTCTTTGTCGTTTTCCTGTCCGGGACTAGCAAGGTGGAAGAACAACCCGAGGTGCCATGATGATTTGCCCACAATAATAAGGACTATATTTAACAAATATCTACATTATCCGGAGAGCGCTTTAACAGCAGCATTATGTTAAACTAACATAACCTACTGTCGCGATTAGATGATTGACCATATCTTCCCACCAGGGGGCCCTTTTATGCACTGGTACACTCTCATCGAAGATGTGGCTAACCCCAACCCCACCGCTATCCATCCAAACCCACATGGCCTGTACTGCCGCCCACACTGGTGGAACGCTCTGAAAAGCCAGAGTTAGTTTATCAATTGATGCTTCTTCACATATTGGGAGGTGTGGGAAGGATTGGAAACTGGGTAGTATAGGAAAACATCGGGGCTTCGGAGATGGCATACCGATCTGCATTTTCCTTTTAGGCCTACTGTTGTAAACCACTCCTCGGCTATCATCCTGTCCTTCTTCTCTATTGAAACGAGGGACGCGATGAAAATAGGACAGAAGGGAGCCTGAGAGGTGAATAAACTCCCCGAATAAGGCATCCGGGTGACACACTTCCATAAAGTTTTGGCGGTTCTCTGGACGTCTGGGTGATGGCGAGGTTTTCTATATTCATTTTCAGCCCTTATCCTATTAGAGGTAAATCGGGTTAACAGCAGTCTCACCTCAAAAGCCGGCAATGAAGGTATATTTGGGCAGCAGCAACCCAGGTTTCCCCGGTCAGCTCAGTCACTTTTGCGGCAGTCGTTACTTTGCCATTTGCGTCTCGATCGCATGATTGGAGCAGCTCCTCGGCATTTGGATACCCACTAGAAAGTTCTGACCATTGATGGAATGTTTTTAGCCCATCGCTGATCACTTTTGCTGCATAGATAGGCGCCATTGAGGAATCCTAAAAAGGGCGTCAGATACGAATTAGGGGGCAAGGTGTGCCAGCAGAATATATACACACATGCAGTATATTAACGTGGTGACTTACCTCTTTCACTAAGATAGATAGATATGTGATCTGCGAGATTATATGAAGTAATTTCGGACAAAGACCTGTACCGCCGTGGATCTTCCAACTCTCCTTCTGTGTTCCCGCGAGGAGCCAACCATAAGCATTCGGGTTTCCCCTGCACGCTAAGGGAGTCACAAGCTCGCTGAGAATGCATGCAAGAGCTACCCAGTTTGCATACCCGTGTCTTGCGGCACTATACTGGGTGTTGTCAGGCTGCCAATATCTATATCCAGGGTCCGAGTTGTCCAGTATAGATTTGGCTAACCTAGCAGCCAATATCCAGTTCGGTTCAGCATTGTTTATGCGCAACTCCCAGTTTACACACTAAGGTTGCATTGATTTTCCGTTAACTTTTGCTCTGCGAATCTAGAGAGATAGTGGGCGCCGGGATAAAAATGCTTGATAACTCACATCATCTACTAGCAGCAACATGATGGCGGCAACGAGGTTGTCACCCTGGCCAATGGCTTGGTTTTGCCTGCTTCTTAGGGCGACGCTTATCATCTCTTTGGCTTTATCGTAATGATAGTTGACACGGTCCCGAAGGTTTCGTTGCGGGTTATAATCGAGCAAATAGCTACCGCTTAAAGCTACCACGGCGTGCTTTACACATTGATCATGTTGGGCCATGGCTAATATTTCTTTTATCCAGAAATTGGTTCCAGTGAGAAGAGTTCTTCCGGAACAAAATGCCGCTTGGTCTATCCTCATTTTGGTCAATGAATATTCCTTGATAGCCGAAGATATTCATGAGATTGGGGATTGGGGTAAGCATACAAAATTTCAGGCACTGCCCGTCAAGCTGATCCTCAGGAAAGGCGCTATGCATGCCTACAGCTGGAGGTATGGTGGAGAGCATTAGTGGAAAGGCCCCATTAACTTGACGTGAATATGTTCCTGCATGTAGCTGAATTGCTGTTCGGTTGTTGGAGCAACCACGCTTAACGCTTGAGTGGTTCTGGTCATTATGCTGGCTTTTAGGTGCTCGAAGCTTTACTTTTATATAACTGCTAATTTCTCCGTCCATCGGTGGTATAATAATATTTCTGGAAAACCTATGTCTTCTGTCCTGATTGCGTGCAAAGGGATTCATAAGTTCTAGCTCAACTTTGCGGTTGGCGGCCATTGCCATAGAGGGGAGGGCTACAGGAGGACCTAGGAATGGTTGGTGCTCCATGGTACCACTGAAGCTGAACGCATGGCTATTGTTGGGGTCGGTTATCGTGGCGAAATATAGTTCTTCTGATTAGTTAGTTAGTGACGATGGAAAAACTGGTGGAACCGTCTTACCTGAAGTTAGAGTAAAGTCGCTTTGGTCAGGCTCCCGGAATGCAGCGTTGCTAATAAGTCTGTACCTAGGAGCAGCTTCCTGTATCCTTTTTGTGATATTAGACGCCGGCTTCGCGCTCCTTCCCCCAAGGTCCTGTTCAACTAACCCCATTAGAGTTTGCGAGTTGTAAAATATTGAATTCGGCGGATCGAAATAGCTGGTAAACTGCCTCTGTTGTGGATCCATGGATTCGTCACACCAACCACGCTTCTTGGCAAGGGACATGATTCTCCCCTTCGTATCGCAGGAATACAACCGATAATCAAGGCTTCACTCTAGTTTTCCACAAATTCTGGATGGGATGGCAAAGGATTCATGAAGGACACCAGAAGGAGGCGGATGAGGTGGAAAGAGCAAAGCCGCAAGCGCGCATTTTAGATGCGGCTGAACCGAGACTATTTATTCTGCCAGCGCCCCCGCTATGCCTTACTCGGAAAGCGGTGAAAGGCCCGTCCCGGATTGGAGTGCACGAGCCGCATCACGTGTATAATTAGTCATCACGCTTATGTCACGTGAAGTTTGCAAATCACGTAAAAAAAAGGCGCCGAAAAGAATCGACGAAAGTCACAGCAATCAGGCTTTGATAATGACAATATTATTGGAGCCAATAATACGCCGGGAAAAGAGAGCCAGACAAGGAAGAAGACGGATGCTAAACAAGCTGTGAGAGAGATAGGGACTCATGCAAGAACGCCAGACTGGCTCTAACAAGGGGCCTCGCTAAAAACACGATGCTGCAGTAATCTCTCTCCCTGCGCATCACTAAGCCTCCTCACCACTCAAATTGGTTAACTGAGTGACTGGGATCCTCTGATCTTGCCCACTGCGCCCAGGTTTCAATCTCTGCTCTCTGAAGCAGGACGCAAGGCTGAGTGACACTGCCTTGCCAGATGCCCGCCTGACATCCATATCCTGTCCGATCTTATATCCATTTAACCAGGAGAGGAAGCGAAATTCATAGCAGACCTGGTCGCACGCAGACTGTATTCATGACCAGGCTGGGCTTCATATTGGTCTTCTACCTTTCATCCAATCCCGCACGGCATTCTTGTAGGAGGCCATTTCTTCCATCCCACTCATATTGCTTAACCCTTACCCCCTAACTGTCTGCCGAACACGGGTGGAGAGGTATATTCCGAGAACGCCTACAGCGTGAAAGCCGCCCAGTGATGCTGTTTCTCTAAGCCGATGCATGCAAGATATGACTGCCATGCCGTCCAACGATCTTCCAGCAAACATCCTTCTGTCACGTTCTCAGCCTCTAAGCCCATGGCTTCAAGAGATCATCCGAACAAAGCTTAGCGAGCTAAACTTGTCCGATACTAACGACAATGAGCCCAAAGATGCCGCTGTTTCTGATGTAGGGCTTAGATCACGCCCTTTATCGACGCCCGGAGATAGCGGCTCTTGGGAAATCTTACAACAGCCTTCCGGTTCCACGCCTGCGCCTTCAAACCAGGCAGATGAAAAGTCCGTGCACGCTTCAAGCTGCAGATTAGTCGAGATTGGGGAGTTTCTTGTTGATTTGACGACTTTAACATCGAAGATAGCCTCTGCCTTGGTTGAGGCAGAAGATATAAAAACTTATATCGAGGCTCACATCCAACAATTAAATAAGATGCATCATCTTTCCGATATGGATATGGTTACATATATGAGTGAGAAGGAACGTGATCTCAAGTGAGTATCATTGAGCGTTTTCGTTTTTTGCCTAAGCACCACACCGCCCCCCAACAGCTCCAGCATTTGATATATTTGGTATGCTGCGCTCTTTGGGTATTTATGGGAATTCACGGTCACATAACTATCTCCCTCCTGGGTAACCACGGAAGGCTTACGATGGCGCACAGTCTACTTGCAACCAAACTTGAGGAAATGGCGAATGAGACTTCTATGGTTTGGAAGCGAAGCCCCAACCCGCCCTATCCCATGGGTGATCTACCACAGGCAACATCAACTGTGTTGGTTTCGCGCAGAACAAACAACAACTCCGCAAGTGTTAGTCAGATTAAGCCGAACAGTGCAATGGGCCCGGACTTCGCCTCAGAATCGCCTGCGGCTTCCTGGAGTTCGAGCACGAATAATGCAGCTGAAGAAACAGGCTTTCCTATGTCAATGGAAGCATTCCAAAGCATCTACCCTAACCTTAACAGGCGCGGGGTGGGTAACTGGGTATGCCCGTATGGCGAAAAATGTACCAAGGGCGGAGTCCGCGATGGGGAGGTAGTGATATTTGGGCGGAATTCTTCCTTTAAGTAAGTACCAAAGACCTAGCAGATCCTACTCCCCTTGCTGTATTTTAATTCCACTGGGGAAAGCTTTCCTGTCTCTATAACTGACGAGGTTTCCAGGGCACACTTGCAAAAGCATGAGAAAGCGTTCAAGTGCACTATACCTGGGTGTAAAAATACCGCTGGTTTTGCCAGGATTGACCAATTGAGGAGACATAAGATTGAGGTTCATCATTTAAAGCCCGAAGAGGTTGACCATGGAAAATGAAGTATACTAGTTATCCCGTTCCGTTTTCGGTTTCTTGTTGTGACAGTGAGCACCCATAACGTTAGAGATTACCTTATCTTTCGACATTTAGTTTGTTTCTTACTGTCATTCCTTCTAGCAAATAGTGAATCTGCATACCTGTCTGATGGTACCCCTACCTTTCACAGTTTCAAAAACACTTTGAGTTCTCTGAGGCTGTGCATACAGTATATACTTCAACCCTTTTCTCATAGCATAAAAAGAGAGAGCAGTTGATAAAGTTTCGCTGTATTTATCGAGAAATGTCAACGTTACGTCTGTGACTAAAGTGATGCTGAGGCTTGAACACTGCCACTTTTCCGTAAGCCTCGACATTGAGAACACAGCCCTCGGAGTTTTACCAGGGCCCTCGCTAGTCTTCACACATGTTACAGGGTAGTTACTGCTAATACTGGTGATTGCTATGCTTGGGAAAAAGGAGCCTGCGCTATCGTTTTGCTGGCCCCAAGGCGCCTCGTGAGGCTAGAAAAGCTGGTGATATTCCATCTCCATGAAACAAAGTATTGTGAGCAAAAGGCTGCCTTATTGCTGCTTGCGCCTCCTTTCAATACCCAGACCGCAAAGCAAAACACCAGTATTGGGTCATTTTCTCCATCTCCAGAAGGCGAAGCAGCAAGAGCACAAGTCTAATAGGTGATAGCTCCACGCATTCCGATCAAGGCTTTGGACCAGGCCATAACTATATGAAGGCCGAACAATCTATAAGTAGGCTACATAAAACCAGTCAGTGCTGTCGCCTTTAGTATCCCTTACAGCACCTTGTGATATCCGCTATATGTTTATATTGATCTGTTTAATTTATTAAGAATCGATTGGCTTGCTATCGCCTGTTGAAAGTCAAACATGGAGAGGAGGCAAGAAGATGATCGAGAGTCGTGTCAGGAATCGTGCGGAAAAACTGGATACAATATCAAAAACGGACGATATCTCGACCCTAGCTGCCATCACAGCCAGCAAAGCGCCCTAGTATCTCACCTATGCCTCGCTCCGAAATGGAATGAGGCTGTATCCCAAACCCACTTAGAAAATGATGACTCGCCAAAGGAAGAAACTTATACTCAGCCTATGTATCTCTCAAGGTTCGATATCCATGAAGACAGCAGTGTTCACCCCAGCTCAAGAATACCAAGAGTAAAATCTTCCAGTCACGCAGCTAGGTATCCTACTGGCTGCTCTGAAGCACAAATGAGCAAAGATAATGAAACATTCAACTCTGTTTCATGCAATCCTTCATATTCTCAACATCAGTATTTAAATCAAACCACTGGCAGTCAGCAGCACCTCTTGGCTAAAAGTTCGATCCCACAATATCCTGAACTCCAGACAGGAACAGGATCAATGGTCTCTAACGTCCTGCCATACTCAATACAAAGATACCTGGAGAATGATTCTCAATCCCACGAAATCGACAGAGTCCTGGAACAGGTCGACCGATATTTTCCCCCACAAAGTGCGCCGCATAACTCCAGACGCACCTCTTGATGGATATAGGCCCGTATTTCGGCAGGTTCAAACTCAGCATGAGAGTCAATAGCATTCGTTTCATATTTTGGATTTGCTTGTTCTTTCCCTACTTGCCTGCATTTTCAGGATATTTGTTAACTAGAATTTCTGCTTTACCTTGAGCTAGAAAGCGTTTGCGAGGCCTTTTCCATTTGCGGCCAAAGTTTCCAAGTTTGAATTTAGATATGTGCATATTTTGTTCTCCAGCTAGAAAAATCGTTCTCAAGTTGACACGGTCCTTTTCAGAACAAACATTCCAGGCATATAGTTTTGGATATGGCACTTGATTGTATCATTCCGCCTTTTCGGCTGACTTATATACCGTGAAATCAATTAACTGATGTCGGTTGCCACTAATCCTAACATAAGGAGAGAGAAAAGATGGCGAGTTGTGCGTGTTCAATTATCGCTTAGATTCGGATCTTGCCAGCGAAACTTTCGTTCCTCCATGGCATGCCAGAGTCAGTCTCAAATCCTCAATAAAGTGCAAGTTTGGATCTCTGTTTTCAATATCTTCAAATGTCTGCAATAGGCGGACCAAGACATAGGATGCTTCGGTCAATGCGTATTGTTCTACAAGAGTTAGTATGGTAAAATATTAGAGGTGATGAATGTTTTCCACAGATAAATGCGTCGAATATGGGTAAGAGTATGTGGCTTGCACTTACGACCTAAGCAGATCCTAGGGCCACCGTTGAATGGTAGGTAATTCCATCCCACACGGATAGTTTCCCAGCGGCTGGGCCGGAAGGTAGTTGGGTCTGGCCCGTAAGATTTTGCAGAACGGTGAAGGCTCCAAACTGAGTACAATATATTTGTACCTTTGGGAATCAGAATCTTGTGCTCCCCGTTGGGGCCACCACCGCGAGGTAATGTGGTAGTCTTGAAGGCCTCACGGGCATTGGATGGTACAACTGGGAATAGTCGAAGGGCTGAATGAAGAGGAGAAAATTATGTTAGTATGTAATTTGCAAATGGACACGTATGTTGTGAAAGTAGGTAGAATAACATAGGGTAAAAAGGTCCGTCGGGATTGTGAAGAAATGATACTATAACTTACTTTCGTTGAGAACGTACCGAAGATACTTGATAGATTTAATATCCTCATATGTGGGTTTTCGGTTTCCTAACGTTTCAAGTACTTCTTTTCGAAGACGGAGCCATTCTTCTTTGTGTCTTGCGAGCTGATGGCAGCAGATGGATAGAAGGCTTGCAGTTGTATCTCTACCAGCAAGCAGGATGTTAAAGAGCTCTGATCGAAGTCTGACCGGATCTTGGAATTCTTTTGCAGCCTCTTCCAGGAAAATGTACTTTCCACCTAGATCATGACTGGTTGGTTTACCAGATGCTTGTTTCTGTATAGCCTTTGTCGTAAATTTGTCCAAGTATGCATGCATGTTCTTGCATATTTTCTGGAACTCAGCACCGTCTTTCTGAAGCCAGTAAAAATCTTGGAGAGTAATTCGATGAAGCAGAATCTCTAGATAGGTCAATGTTATTATGTATAAACTCTGGCAGGGAACTATGTTTTTGGAAGGAGGGATCGTACCTGATCCTCGATTAAAATCATGGTAAAATTGGGCTTCTTCCGCGGGACAATCAGGTAACAAACTATTGACACTTTCACCAAACAAAAAATCGGTTGCTATGATGAGTCAATGTCGGGTTAGCAATGCCCTGGGCAAGAAATTGATGTGTTAAAGTTCTGGAGCACTACCTGTATCCATTGTAAGTTTGAAAAACAGTTCTTGAAGGTCGAAGGTCTTGTTTTCAGGGATCAATTTGAACATATTCTGTACAAATGACTCTAGAACCGAGAGATCCTGGATTTGCTGCCTTGCGAACTGTGGACGGAGAACGCTGCGAGAATGGCGCCATGGTTGACCGAGTTCTCCCCCTCCGTACATGTGGGTAAAGATGCCGTCACCAAGCATGGGCACAAAGCTGTTGTACCTCGAGGCACCGAAGCTGAACTCCTCAAACTGGGTTGCAAGAATTGCCTTAATATTCTCTGGGTCGCGAGTCAAGACCATGGGTTTTCCGAACATAGAAATAGAAACAGTGTCACCATGCTTTTCGAACAACTCCATTTCTAATTTCAAGTAACGGTTCTCTTCAACAGCCTTTGCGACTTTGCTGTAGAAATCGACACCAAACTTCACTGGAGACTGTTCCACTTTGGGAAGTGGTTGAGTCTTTTCGCGCAATCGAACCCTTCTTAGCTCGAAATAATCGAGAGCAGCAAGGTATCCGTAGTATAGACAGCAAGCTGCCACAGCAGCAGCGATCAACGGCATAAACATTTTGGAATCCTTTTGCTTGCTCAGTTCCTAGAAAGGAAAGGTGGATAGTAATTCAGATTGTAAGTAATCAAGAGTTGTGTCGAATACCGAAGTACTCCGCAGGCAGCCACGTATTTATATTGGGTTTCTGAAGTTTCAAAACCACGAGTGGGAGGGGCCGGAACAACTAGAGGAGCTCTGGAAGACGGGATTGAATTCATATTCATGGCCTTATTTCGTAACCACTCCACACGTCAGGACCAGGGGTTTGAATTGGTTTGTACAGGTAGGTATTCAGCTTGTACACCCTCCATATCTTTTTGGGCGGGCTATGTCAGAATGTAGTTGATTTTGGGGTCATGATGCTCCATGCGAAAGTTTCTCGCTTCCATCGGCATTTACGGCCACCGCAACGGCTCATAAATAATGCCATCTGATCATGACAAACTAGGAATCGTGTCCTGGCATGAAGGGACTAGTTGTGCCGCCGGGGGAATTGTCTTTCCTGGCCGACCCACATCGTACTGATCCCAGGGGTAAAGACGACTTCTCTGTCAAGGGTGGTGTTTGACCTTGGCTCGAGGTCAACACAGGACCTAACTACTTCATCGAGGGCGGGGAGTCGAGTAACTTCCAAGGACTAGCAAGCTAGGATGTAACTTAGACATGTCTCTTGGGGTGGCCAGAGCAAGCACAGGTGGCACAGATAAGTTTGTAGCCCTCCGAGGCTGATCGACGCTGTGTAGCCGAGCTTGCCACCCCTTCCGCTTGGTGACTGGCTGTAAATAGCAAACAGAGGGCGAGATATTCTCCTAATGGATGCTCTTGTAACTAGTAGAACTCTTGGTCAAGGTGGTTGTTAGAAGTAAAAACCGTTGTCGACGTTGAGATAAACATGGGAAGCCGGTCTTGCTGCCGCCAAGGCCTGACCTGCCCGCCTTCGGACACGAAGTTCGCTAGTAATTTAGACAAGCAAGCGGGTTGAGGACAACGACATCTAGCAAGAGTGGGCAAACCAGTGCTAGAGAGAATCCCACAATCCTTGAGACTTGCGAGTAGAACAGCCGTTCTGGCAGACAGACAACATGACGACCCGCTACCGTGTAGAATGTAAGTTGTTTCCGGCTCTCTAGATGGCAGATGGGGAGGAGTGACGCAAAAGCTGACACAAGGAATAGATGCGCTCAAGGTAAGCATAACAGTAACCCTTGCGGCATATGAGCGGGTTATACCTCCATATTTTGCATCTGCAGTAGAATTTCCATGGCTGACCACAGTCTCCTTCTAGTCACATCGTCGTGACCAACTGGTAAGGCTCCTTGGTCTAGTGAGATCATTAACCGTGTTTCCATCGGTGCCCTGCTTCTGGGAGAACTAAATACTCGGACTGACGTGTTGGACTATGTGTATTAGATTGAATGGATCAAGGTGAGACCAACAGAACAAAATACCGAGAAAGAAAATAGACATGGACATTCTGATTTGGTTTATATAGGGCCTTCTTGCAGTTCCCTTCGTACTACATTCGCAGCCCACCGCTGCTTATAAGGAAAACAGCCCTAATCTCGCACATATTGCCGAAAGGACACATAATAGATATGTTGAGATTATGCGGGATGTCGAACATTTGATCAATGACCACAGTATGTGTGGTTTACATAACTAATACTACGACAGGTACATAACTATAGAACATCATACTGACATCTAAGCATAGTTGGGCTCCAGAAAACGGGGGCGAGCGGAAGATCTACACTGAGACTGCTTGTCCCCTCCGTTGGTACCTTCTTCACACCGTTACTACTGGAGGATGCATTCATATACCAGGACAATAAGAGATTTATCAGCCACAGGCGTTTTGTGCCCCCGTCATTCAATGACATCCGTCTCACACTTAATACCGCTCAGCTAATGGGCCTTGTTCACCGCAGTGAGGTCCAATTGATCACGTTCGATGGAGACGTTACACTCTACGATGACGGATGTTCCCTCACAGCGGATAACCCCGTTGTGCAGAGGATAATGCTCCTTCTAAAGCAAAACAAGAGAGTTGGCATCGTGACAGCCGCCGGATACTCTTCTGCAGGAAAATACAAGGAACGCCTCGAGGGTCTTCTGGAAGCTATCAAGCAATCCACCGACCTCAGTGAGAAGCAAAAGAACCATCTCATTGTTCTTGGAGGGGAGAGTAACTTCATGTATGAATTTGATCCCAAGTCTCCAGATCTGCTCACCTATAAACCCCAGAGCGAGTGGCAGCTGGATGAAATGAAGCAGTGGAAGGATGAAGATATCAAGGAGTTACTTGACATCGCAGAGGCTGCGTTGCGTGATTGTGTTAGTAACTTAAGGCTGCCCGCTGCTATTTTGAGAAAGGAGAGGGCTGTCGGTATATATCCGCTTGAGGGACATCGAATGCATCGTGAGCAACTAGAAGAAACTGTTTTGGTGGCGCAGCAAACTATCGAGACGTCTGACGTTGGCAGGCGCCTTCCCTTTTGCGCATTTAATGGTAAGCTACACACAATCTAATGAGATAGTCCGCCAATACTGACCCGTTACGGTTTAAAAGGTGGAAGTGATGTCTTTGTAGATATTGGCGATAAATCATGGGGTGTCCTTGCCTGCCAGAAGTACTTCGGCGGCATTGATAGGTCCAAGACTCTGCATATAGGTGACCAGTTCCTGTCTGCCGGAGCTAATGATTTCAAGGTACACTTCCCTCCCTTATTTAGTGGATTCACCAACTTTAGCTCCTTTTTGTCCTAACTGATAATCTCCACTCCAGGCACGGCTTGCGTGCACTACTGCATGGATATCTAATCCTGGTGAAACGGTGCAACTACTTGACGAACTCGCTGCGCTGGAACAGGGTGCCAGGGCGTGACACCCTGACGTAACTATGATAGCACTCTTTAAAGTTATATACGTTGGTAGTAATAGCCCAGCAAGCTTGTGAATCTTTGCTTGATATGTTCAACTAAATCATTGAAACTAAGTATATGGACAGTAAAGGTCGTACATGTGAGGCTTCTTTTTAATCACTCCTTAGCCTCAAGACGTCGGAGGGCTTCTTGAAGGGTGATTTGAGGCTCATCTTTAGTCTGATCCATAGACCATAGATACTTATTTTCTTCCACCGTGTTGGCCGTCGAGCTTAACGACATACATAGCAGTTCTAATGACTCTTCGTTTAATGTCACTTTAAGCTTTTTATTTTGGCTTTGCCCGGGGATATAGGAAGTTAGCTCTCCATTCTCGGCAAAGATCGGCTCCCAAATTGCAGATTTGGTGTTATTCTCGTCTGCACCGAGTGAATTTGTCCCGGTTTCTCCATGGGATGTATTAGGTACAGCAGATACGGAGCTCGTATTTCCACGGAATGGGATATTTTGGACAATATCCAGGGTAAACAAATAAAGAAAGTATTCTTTAAGATCCTCACGGGTGCCAAACCGTTGGGTAATGCGACCATGGGGCAAGGACGAATGGACGGTTGAGACGGTAAATTCAGTTCCCAGGGCGGCAGGACTGAGGTCAGTTCGAACCACAATGTTGTAAAAGTTATCCTGGCTGTAGAAATAACCGGTCATCCTTGCCTCCTGCACGCTAAGAAAAGTGTCGACGAGGGACTCTACAAGTGGTATAGCTTTACCTTGATTGGTGGCAGTTTCCTGGGTATCCCTGGGAAGTGGTTTATTTTTCCAGTATCTGTATTTGAGCCCTGCCGAAAATAGGGTAGCAGTGATATTATGAAGGCATGAGTTAAGCCACTGGAGGTGGGATCCATGTTGTAGGTAGGCAATGCTGGGTTGGAGGAGAGGGTATTCTGCCGTTGGACGTTTTTTTATTGATATGGCAGTTGGTATGGAAGTCCGGTGGCGGTGATTCTTGCGATGTGCATGATTTAATAAAAGACGAATTGAGCAGGCAATTGCATGAGCGAGGTCGTTAGCCGGAAGCCCTTCAGCCTTATCTTGGTCAGAGGTGGCATCCTCGCCCACTGGAACAAAGTCGACCAAAACCCGGCGGTTATCACTTAAGTGGAAAAGGATTTGATTCTGTCTTGTTTCAACCCCGTGTCTAAGGAGGGACCTGGCTTCACGATTCAGTTCGTAAAACAGTTCCTCTTCAAAGAGAGAGTCCCTAGCCTGGTGAATGAAGGTCTCCTCTGTGGATGTATTGTCATCATGTTTGATGCAGGCCGGCTGTGATACACCCACGATATTTTCATTGTCTTGTATTCGAATACGCACGGCTTTCGGAGGTGTTGCGTGTATCCCTTGGTCAACGTACAATGATCCATCACCCGCCCGTCTCAGGGCAGACAGTCCGCGATCCCTAAACACCGGAGCAGCTTTTCAACGGTAAGTACTGAGGATAGGTGAAATTCTAAAGGGCTAGGAGAAATATGCGTACCTTCGAGGAAGCCATGCTGCACTCCTAGACTTTGCCTCTCGCGGGGAAGCCGGCATATCTTCCATCCCTTTTCCTTGATTGCTAGGACTTCCGACCAATACTTCGTCTCCGCAGCCACTTCCTTCTGGAGGCGAGTAGCAGCCTCCAGGAGGTTGTTTGCTGCAGAGCTAAAACTCTCCAGCTTCCATCCCTTAGAGACAATCTCGATATCCTTCTTGTTTGCCTCAGTCTTTTCGGGCGTCTTTACCAAGTCAATACCGAGAGAGCCGCTAGGTATTTTTTGCTTGACATAGGGGGTCATGGAGACCTCTACCTGGCGCGGCGCATACTTTGAGAGGGCAAGGGAAACGAAATCGAGGGCATAGCAAGCTTCGACCTGAGCCTGACTAATTCATAGGTCAATACCTGGCCATATAACTTCAACTCAACAAATAGGCACTCACGTCGCAAACTCGAGCATCTCTGACCGACTGGTGAAGAGCCGCTGCTCCCTGTCTTCGGCATCATTTCCAGAGTCTTCCGTCTCCTGTATATCGGGCTCCTGTTTGCCCGACTCGCGGAGGGATGCAATCTCCTGGGACAAGCTCTCTTCGGTGACATCCTTGAAGGAGCCTCGCTGTGCATTGATTTGGGCGATTCTGATGGGTAGAGTGTCTGGCTCATCGGTCTTCTTCCGAACAGGCCGTAAGGGTAGGGAAAATGAGTCCGACATCTTCAGGGCAGGCTATTCAATACCGCAGTCGAGCTCGTGGTCAAAGAACGTCTGGGCGAAATGCCACCTCCAATGCGCTTTGGTTATGCGATTGACCAAACAGAGTCCTCCACAACAGGTATATCACGACTCATTCCCCTATCACCCAAGAAACTCCATCACCGTATCTTCCCTGGTCTTCTCTTCCTTCAATCCTCTTCTTCTTCTCCGGTCGTTGTCTTTGTGCTTCCTGCCAAACCACCTGCTCGGTCGTCTCTTTGTCTTAACACCTTAATAAGCACGAATTATGTAATATAACGGTAAATAATTTTCCCCTTCCATTCCCAAAACGGACTAGCCTTGCTTATTCATCAAATGAAGTATCAAGAAAGTCTCGAAGTCTAAATTTATCACCAAAAACACGTGACAAGTTCGAATCCTGCGACTCTGGAGTGACTTTTCCTCGTTTTTAGAGACGACGATGACGTTTAGATATCAAAAGAAGGACGATCACGACGAGGCAGAGACGAGAGGAAAAGCAGGCGGGAAAAGGGGCCGACAGTGCCCAGCGATGGTTTTCCTTTTCTCCTTTGTCTCGATGCCTTGTTATCGTCGGGGCCCGTTAACTAAGCTTCCGCTGTCTGCGTTGAGGTGAAGCAAGGAAATCCCTCCCACCAAGAAAAACAAACTATATAAAGATAAGAGCTCCAACCCAAAGGCACCTCACGGCGGGCCGGTCGGTCTTGAACAGCATCTACAACCCCAATTGAATACTCAGACGGCGGGGCACTGCATATCACTAGACGGTGACATATACACGTTGACACGCATCGCCGGTTGAGCGAGAGACCAAGATGGCTGCCCCTACGCCAGTGGCGGCTCCAGCGAAGCAGCGTCGCATCGCAGTGCTAACTAGCGGGGGAGATGCGCCTGGAATGAACGGGGCCGTGAGAGCAGTCATCCGCATGTCGATTCACTGTGGCTGCGAGGCTTACGCTGTCCACGAAGGGTACGATGGCCTGGTGCAGGGAGGTGACTACTTCAAGCGGATGTACTGGGAAGATGTCCGGGGATGGCTGTCTCGTGGCGGAACGTTGATCGGGTCGGCTAGGTGCAAGAGCTTTAGAGACCGCGAGGGCAGACTAAAGGCTGCTAAGAACATGGTCACTCGCGGGATCGATGCCCTTATTGTCTGTGGTGGTGACGGCTCGCTGACCGGAGCAGATATCTTTCGTTCCGAGTGGCCCGGCCTGCTGGAAGAGCTGGTAGAGAAGGGAGAGCTCACCTTGGAACAGGTCGAGCCCTTCAAGTCGTTGAATATCGTTGGACTGGTGGGCTCGATCGATAATGACATGTCCCTAACCGATGCTACTATCGGCTGTTACTCGTCCCTGCATCGGATCTGTGAAGCTGTAGATGAGGTCTTTGACACCGCCTCGTCCCACCAACGAGGTTTCGTTATCGAGGTCATGGGTAGACATTGCGGATGGTTGGCATTGATGGCTGCTATCAGCACTGGAGCGGACTGGCTGTTCATTCCCGAGATGCCTCCTAGAGACGGCTGGGAGGATGACATGTGTGATATTATCACTCAGGTATTGCTTGCTACGACAGTATGGGAATTTCAATATACTAACAGTCTATAGAACCGACGAAGAGGCAAACGACGAACTATTGTTATCATCGCTGAGGGCGCACAGGACAGCAACCTTGAAAAGATCACGTCCAATAAGGTCAAGGATATCCTGAGTGACCGGCTGCAGCTAGACACCCGAGTCACCGTTTTGGGACATACACAGCGCGGAGGCGCAGCTTGTGCCTATGACCGATGGTTAGCTACACTTCAGGGCATTGAAGCCGTCAAGGCCGTCCTGGAGGCCAAACCGGGTTCTCCTTCTCCAATGATCACTATCAGAGAGAACAAAATCGAAAGGACTTCCCTGATAGAGGCTGTAAGGGTAACGAAAAGCGTGTCAGAGTCCATAGCAAAGAAGGACTTTGCTACCGCTATGGCGCTGCGAGATTCCGAATTCATGGCTCTCCACAGGGCATATATCAATACTACCACGCCACATCACCCAAAGCTGCTACTTCCAGAGGCGAAGGTATGGCTCGGGCTTGTTCCCCTCACTAAATCGAGATACTGACCATTTACTTGCCTATAGAGAATGCGTATCGCTATTATCCATGTCGGAGCTCCGGCGGGTGGAATGAACCCTGCTACTCGAGGCGCCGTAGCATACTGCCTGGCTCGTGGCCACACGCCCATTGGAATATACAATGGCTTCCCGGGTCTCTGTCGACACCACGATGACAAACCCTTGGGCTCAGTAAGAGAAGTCAAATGGCTTGAGTCGGACTCGTGGGTCAACGAGGGTGGCTCAGAAATTGGTACTAACCGCGGTCTCCCCTCAGAGGACATGGAAACGACTGCAAAATGCTTTGAGCTCTATAAATTTGATGCATTGTTCGTTATTGGAGGATTCGAGGCATTTACTGCCGTAAGCCAACTGCGAAAGGCAAGGAAGGACTACGATGCGTTCAAGATCCCTATTGTCCAGCTACCGGCTACCATCTCCAACAACGTCCCCGGAACAGAATACTCCCTAGGCAGCGACACCTGTCTCAACACGCTAGTCAACTTCTGCGATGTCATTAGACAGTCGGCTTCCTCTTCTCGTCGGCGAGTGTTTGTAATTGAGACGCAAGGTGGGCGATCCGGGTACATTGCCACCATGGCTGGTCTATCTGTCGGGGCGTACGCAGTTTATATCCCCGAAGAAGGCATCAACATCAATATGCTTGCCCACGACATCGAGAATCTACGACAAAGCTTCGCTACTGACCGCGGCGCCAACCACGCCGGCAAGATCATCCTACGCAACGAGCGTGCCTCCGCGACATACACCACCCAAGTGATTGCTGACATGATTAAGGAAGAAGCGAAGGGACGCTTCGAATCCCGCTCTGCAGTCCCAGGCCACTTTCAGCAGGGCGGAAAACCTTCGCCCATGGACCGTATTCGTGCCCTTCGCATGTCTCTCAAATGCATCCAGCATTTTGAAGAGTACGCTGGTAAGAGCCGTGACGAGATCGCAGCCGACGACATGTCCACCGTTGTCATTGGTATCCGAGGTAGTGAGGTAGTCTTCACTCCCCTGGGAGGTAAATATGGCCTGGAAGAGACGGACACCGACTGGGAGCATCGACGCCCCAAGAACGAATTCTGGCTCAGTTTGCGGGGAATGGTTGATACTCTGAGCGGCCGGCCCAATGGCAACCAGAAGATGAATGACGCATGAGACCGACATGAATGACCCTTTTTTTCCTTTTTCATCTCCTTTTCTACGTTCAAGATGTCAACCTTTGGATATATAGCCATGTAGAACCCAAGGACACAGTGATATCATTTTCCTCGTATAGCTCATGATCTGCGCGCCAATCGGCTCTGTTCCTAGCGAATCCACCACGTAAACTCATAGCTAGTGGAATATATATTTGAACGACATCTCTCTTCTGTTCTGACATCGAACAGGACACAGATGAGGCTGTTGGTGCGTATGCTGGTGATGCTGATCTGTGACACCGTATCGCTTGGTGACAGCGGGATGACGTCCGTTCTGCCGCTGTCGATGACAAAAAACAGAAAAAGGATGCATAGGTATAACTATCTCAGTTATACCGTTTATTCTATGCATATACCTGTATATATGATACATATATGCATATATATATATAATGAAATAAATTCAAAAAGAAGGTGACCACTTCATCGAGAGAGACGAATTTTGTTGTGCGACGGAGAGTTTTCCCCCTTTCTTTGGTTCTTCTTCCTCTTTTGCGGATGAAGTCATCGTCGATTCTTGTTAGCCTTCATGCGCTTCGACTTCACGACTTCACTTCGACCTCTACAGCCTCAAAATCCCTGCATACATACATCTACCTTGGGCTGTTCACGCTGTCTATGCTTAAGAATAAGCTAGACTCGCTGTAATAGTCGCTTCGTACCAGGTTGTTGGCCTTCATGCGCACTAAGAGGCGCCCAGCTCGTACAGGCTGTACCTTGACGCTGGCGAAAAGCTGCTGATAAAGGTTTCTTGGACATGGCGCTGAAGCATATGCCTTGGTTATCTTCTCGGTGGGCGATCCTGCTTCTTCTCTTGCAGTCCTGGATTGTGACTGCGATTAAGCTTGATCTGGAAAGTGATGGTAGGTATATTCTTTCTCCCGATAGAGTGTGCTAGAAGACTAACCACATGGCTACTTATAATACACAGAGTCAATCAAACTCGCCGCAAAGACAGCTGCCCAGGGGATGATGAAGTACTATACCGGCCATCAACCAGGAAATGTACCAGGAAACCTGCCCGACCCCTACTACTGGTGGGAAACGGGCGCTATGTTCGGCAGCTTAATTGATTACTGGTTCTACACGGGAGACAGCCAGTGGAACGACATTGTCACCGAAGGAATGCTCTGGCAAGTTGGCCCAGATAGCAATTTTATGCCTCCCAACCAGACCTTGACTGAAGGGAACGATGATCAGGCATTCTGGGCCATTGCGGCCATGTCGGCCGCTGAACGGAAATTTCCTAACCCCCCATCCGATAAGCCGCAGTGGCTTTCTCTGGTAGAAGCTGTTTTTAACTCGCAGATTCCTCGCTGGGACACCACAACTTGTGGCGGAGGCTTAAAGTGGCAGATCTTTCGGTTTAACAGAGGGTTCGACTATAAAAACACAATATCAAACGGTGCCTTCTTTCAGATGGGTGCTCGGCTGGCTAGGTATACCGGAAACGAGACATACGCAAAGTGGGCAGAGAAGGCGTGGGATTGGTCCAGGGCTATTGGACTAATAAACGAGAACTATCAGTTCTTTGATGGCTCAAGTGACACATTGAACTGTACAGAGCTAAACAGGCTCCAGTGGACTTATAACGCTGGAATATACCTCCTCGGAGCAGCTGCCATGTACAACTATGTAGGTTATAGTGACGTTGTTCTACCTCACCTCGTGAACTATATATCTAACGTTAATAGACCAGCGGTAGTCCCAAATGGGAAGAACGAGTACAAGGGATTCTCGATGGCCTCCGCCCATTCTTCCATCCTGAAACTTATGTCATGTCTGAGATTTCGTGCGAGGAACAGGGCAATTGTGAGACAGACCAGAGATCGTTCAAAGCTTATCTCGCCCGTTGGATGGCAGTTAGTACTCAGTTTGCCCCTTTTTCAACAAACTTCATCATGCACCGGCTTCGAGCATGCGCCAGAGGAGCAGCAGAGGCATGCACCGGAGGCGACGATGGAACAGCATGTGGGCTTAAGTGGACATTCGGAAAATTTGACGGCAGCACTGGGGTAGGCGAACAGATGGCTGCTATGGAAATCTTTCAATCCAATCTCATCCGTAAGGCTGTACCCCCCGTCACCCAATCTACCGGCGGAATAAGCATGGGCGGTCCAGGAGGCTCTGGGAAAGGGAAAGGCGATGGGCCTAAGATACCCAGGCCTATTACGGGTTCGGATAAAGCTGGAGCAGCTATCCTTACGCTATTAATGCTCTGCACTCTATGCGGAGTTTCATATTCAATGGCTGTTGGATGATCCTTCCCATCCATTACATTAACTATCTATCGGTTTTCTGAGCGTTTACCTCGCTCTTATCAGGTTTATTCGTGATGTTCTTTCCTCTCCCTTTTCTTTTGCCCCTTTCACTACTGTAAATATTTATTGCTGCTTACTAGTTCAATGAATTCCATAGTGAACACAATCCATATTACATCTTACTTGTTTACCCTCCAAAAAGATATAAAAGGTATTGAAAACATGCCTTGCATTAGAAATTAAAAGTTCAGACTTCACACAAGAGATATATAACATATTAAGCCACAAAATGAGTGACACTTTTTAGGACAACGGATCCCCCAACCTACTACTTCCACCTCGCCACCTGGATATTATAGATTATGACAAAAGACATATGGGTCAAAAGAGGGCATTGCATTGTAACACATTCGAACACTGCCAACAGCATCGACCACCTATCTCCAATAGCCCGTTGGTAAATACATACCTGTCTCTTTCCCAGCACATCCCATTTCATATTTGACATGGCTCCATTGCATCCCGCCTGGATGTATACATTTAGTGACCATTGGCACCTCAGTATACATCACTAGCTAAGAGGGCAGTGGAATGGAATCACAGGTTAGATATGCCGCCCATACGTATCATTGCGGGCTGTATCACCAGACCGACGCATCTCCTTATGATGACCACCATCATACGAGCTCTTCTCGCGGTGATGGCTCATGACGTTCATTACCTCTAGGACTAGGGAACAGATGCAGAACCACCTAAGAATCAACAGTCAATAGCCACACTTATTTGAAGACTTGGAACGGAGGAACTGAGAAATACTAACATTGCTCCTATGGTGAAGGCTTCAATAAGCCTCTTGTACTTGCATTGTCCACCTCGGGGCGTATTGTTGGCACAATCACTCCTGCTGTAGTCTTGTACGGCAAATATGAAGGCAGTCAACCACCTGTAGTTGTAATTGAATCGTTTAGTAAGTGTAATATCCAACGGAGGTATGGTTCATCCATACAGATAGGAGAAAATGAGGTCTATGAAGAAAGTCATAAATCCTAGTGTCCTGATTATAGGCGAGAGCAGGCCTGGAAGGAAGAAGAAAATTGATAGAGAGGCCTGCATCACGAACAACCTTATCAGCAACCATCCAGTGTAAGCCACGAAGAGTCCAGGGAGGCACAGACAATAATTATAAAATATTTGAGATGGCCATTGGTTTCATAACGATTGACGAAGTAACCAGAGACTCCAAGAACGATACCAGCACAGGCAAACTGCATCAAGCGGCTGCCCATCAAAGCTGCACGGACAATTCCGGACATGAGTCCCATACTGGCGGTATTTTCTATCAGGTACTACACTTCAAACTAGATGATATTCCGTATAGTTCGAAGCCGTAGAGGCCGTTGTCTTTGCCAATAAGCGGTATGCCAATAAGTAAAAAATGGATATTCCAATTGAGATTTCAATTTCAAGTGGACAACAGAAGGATCCCAACCAGAACGTGTTAAAAAGAGGTGAAAAATCCGCGGAATCTGATGGCAAAGTCTCCTTTTAAGGGAGAAGGGGAGAGGAGTTTGCCTCAATAGCATAGCTAATCCACAATTGAGGTAACTAAACAGGAGACCCGGTGGCGGCCTTTGACTGGGGTCTTCTGCCTCACAGGCAAGGGAACTGTGCCATGGAATGGGCAGCCAGGTCAAAGGGGGCCGACCGGTTTCTCCTAGTTTTGCGCTGCTCTGCTTGTTGACGGTGATGACTTCATAAAGCTTCCTCGGGAGTCAAATGGCACTGGGGTATAAGCTTCTTCTAGACGACGGTCGTTCGAGGCGGCCAGACGTGCCACTTGCATCATTCCTTACGCAATGATAGGTAAAAGACTGGAGAAGAGTGGGATAACCACAGTGGTTTGGTGATCGATATTGTGTGAGGGCAAGCTGGAAGACGGTGTTGACGATGTTGACGGTAGAGAAGCGAACGGATTTCTTGCCCAGTTGAATTGAATTAGTCAAGGAAAGGGGTGGCCACCAACTAACTCTTTGATAACCATGAGGGAGTTACTGTAATACGAATAAGGATTTTTGTTGTTACAGAAGAATTATCCTACCAGGAAATCTAGAGAATCTAGCTTGGGCAGAAATATCATTATTTTGAGAGTATTTTTTAACTATCATAAAAGCCAGTTCGTTGCCATCTATATCTCATCTGAACCAGGAAGTCGATTCTTTTGCTCCATAATCAAGAAAGGAAGAGAAGGGAAAAGGAATCTAACCGACCAATACTTTTATCTCGCCTTCCTTGAGGGCCCCAGATCCAACAAGCCTGGTGACCTCTACGGAAAACACGCCCTTCACAGCGGCACCATCTTTGCCGGCAGCAGTAAGTTTTGATGCAACAGTGGCCAATTCTTCGTTGTTGATCTTGCTCATGATCAGCTCGACATCACCGAGGACGCTGTCGATCTGAGCTGCAGAGGGATCCCCTTCGGCAAAGTAGTTGACATCCTTCACACTGCCCTTGAGAACACGCTTGTTCTTCTTAGCAGCGTTTTTGGCGGCTTCTTTGGCCTTTTTACCCTCAGCTCGCTCAGCTTTGGCGGCTTCTTCGCGCTCCTTTTCTAGCCGTTCAGCCTCAAGCCTGGCATTCTCCTTTTCTTCCGCTAGTCGCTTTGCTTCAGCCTCCTTCTCGAGTCGTCGCTTGTCCTTGCCTGCACGCTCCTCCTTGCGGAACTTTTTAATACGTGCGTCCGCGGCGAGGGCATCGTCAACAGTTCGTCGTAGTCGGGCAGTGTCTTCGGTCTTCTTCTTCTTACGGGCGTTGGCGTTCTTACGCTCAATGTGGCGTTTGTGATCACGGTTCTCATTGTCATCTGGGACATCCTCGTCCTCGTACTCAAAGGACCTCCAGCTGTCAAAGTTGTACCAAAAGTTGTAGAAAGCCTCGACCTCCTGCTTTGTGCTGTTATCGTCTCCAATCATAGGAACAGGTTGAACCTTGGAGAAACGAGCCTCAGCCTTGAAGAACGGATGCCACAACTTGAAAAAGTCTCCTTTCTTCTTAGGGTGTGGCGGTTCAACATCCGCAGCGGAATCAACGGAGTCAAATTGACGTCGGCGGATAGGGTCGAGTAGAATTTCAGTGGCCTTCTGAATGCACTTGAAGAAGCTGTCATTCTCATCACCAGCACCCGCAGCAGCCTTCTTATCGGGGTGATGTTTGAGGACCTTCTTGCGGTGAGCCTTCTTGATCTGCTCGGGGGTAGCTCTCCATCGGTATTTGCTAAGACCGAGCACAGCGTAGTGATCTTGTCCCTACATAGCAAATGAAGCAGTTAGCAACAATATCCAATGGTAAAATATCCGACTGACTACACACCTTCCAGTCTTTAGCATCTCTCTGTAGCATCATCGGGTCTTCTGGCTCGCTGATCTCGTCGGCATCGTCTTCCTCAATCTTCTTGACATTCTCCTGTGCAAGGATTCGCTCATCCTCAGAGAAAGTTCGTCTATGACGCTTCTATAAACATAGAAATATACACATTAGAAAAATGAGCGTTATAATGCTACTATTTTATGCAATTGGCATGACTTACACGGCGGGCATGGGCCAAAAAGTGCGGTCCAACGGGCTCAACGTTGCGTCTGGTCGCAGCGGACAAGCAGCCCACGGCCTTGAAATCCTTGTCTTCAGCAGCCCAGCCTTCAGGGAGGCGCGGGAGCGGTAGGTGAACAGCCTCTGTGGTCGACATCTTGTCGTGGTCTTCACTTGTCTGATCTATCAATCTCTTCGTCTCTGCCTCTTTCGCTATTCAAAGTGGGATGAAGTTTTTGTCAAGAGATAAAAAAAAAAATCACGAATGTGGCGCTAGTCCGTTTTGGGTCAGCGTCGTCTCGACTTTCGAGATGAAGAAAAGACGAAGAAGGGACGAGTTAACACTAAAAGTAATAGCTGGTTTAATAACCGGAGGCAACCAGGTGGTTTGTTCAGTGACTGTTTATATTTCTCATATTACTCTCTGTATTATTTTCTTCCTTAAAGAAATTTCTATGGCGGCGGCAACCAACCCGGTATCCGCCCTCAGCGCATACCGTCAGCTTCTTCGGGCTACTCGGATCGCATTCAACGGTATGCGATTTCCTTGCTGGATCAAATGTGCTTAATATGCTAATAAATCTGTATAGGTGATTACCCCGTCCTTTATGCTGCCCGAACAGAAGCCCGCAAACAGTTCGAACAAAACCGACAGCTCGGCGTTGATACTCCTATGAAAATTCAACATGCACTTGAGACGGCGCATATACTTAAAACGAATATCGTCCAGGGGACAAAGATAGACACTAGGGAAGAGGGCGGAGAGAAGGTAGATCGATATTGTATGTCTCCGATGAGCTACTGTGGTGTTTGAACTGCATCTAACCGATTCTCTACTCACAGCTTTGCGGATACATGAACATACGGAGCGCGGAGATAATGATACTATAAAAGCCGCTGGTCAGAAGCCAGTCAGGGTTGGAAAGGGATGCTGCTCCTCATAAAGCTGATAGGCATCTAAATGTTGCGGGGGATTGTTAAATCCTGATATCAATTGGAATAATCGGCTTTTGGAATGGAGGCTTTTGGATGCATTATTTGACGGTTTACATATATACCATTCCACTTCGAGTTAGCCATGTACCATAGACTGTCTTGATACACTTATAAAGGTCAAAGATAACTGTATCTTATTAAATGATCTCATTTCTTTGCATGATTCCTAGTTTTACACTTCTTCATTACATAAACGCCATCACGAAAGACGCCGATTGCCCCCAAGTAACAACACATTAATAAAAAAAGAAAACCATTGGAAAGAAAATAATAGCCAGTATCAATCCCCGGCCATACTCGCGTACTGAACCTCTCCACGGCCAGGCGGCGGAGCCACGACGTAACTCTGATCACCAGTCTTGACGTCTGACTCTCCATCTACACCTTCTGCAGATGGGCCCTGAGCAATCGCTTTTCTATGTCCTCCACCCTTGGTGGCAGCAACTGTCTGCCTTCCATGGCGTGCATTCTGTATCCGCTCGTCTCTCTCCATATTATCCAAAGGACGAGGCTTGCCCCATTGAACTCGTAGTGGGCACCCCTGAACTACCGCTATGCCTTGACACTTGGCTGCCGCTGCTTCAGCTGATTCCCGCGATGCATAATTTATGAATGCGCAATGCGATCTATGCGAGCAGACCAGGGACCTGATGGTTCCAAAGGGAGTAAAGAATGTGCGGAGGGCGTGTTCGGGAAGGTCGTCCTCCACCCCAGTAATGAAGAGGGAGGTAATATTAGGATCTGTGGGTGGTTCGATGTCCTGGGGTCCAGGAGGTCGCTGAGATATAGGGGGATATGGTCGTGTTCCGCGGCCTCGGCCACTGCCTCTGCCCCGACCCGCACCGCGGCGGAAGTCACTTGTCCGCACAGGGCCAGGGCCAGGTCCGTATCCTATCCTTCCCTGCTCAGAAGACTGTTGTCCTCCGCCTGCTGCCGTGCTGGGGCTATCGGCCTCGCCGCTAGCCTCTAGTCTCCTCTGTCTCTTATAGTAGGGTTCGCTGTTGGCCAGCCGCCGTAACAAATCTCGCGCCTTCTCGTCTGTCTTTTCATATTCTTCAACGGCTCCCCTGCCTTCTTCTAGCTCTTTTTCGTGCTCCTGGGCGTAGTACTCTCTGTTAATCGAGCTCTGTGGACCTGGAGCAACCATCTTCAAAGCGGCATCTCGAACGACGATTGGCAGACCAAATGAGAGATCTAGCATGCAGCACTGGCAGCAGTTCTTCAGCCGCGCGCATGTCAGGCATATGTTCGTCGCCTTCGTTCGAGACGTCCGGTCTGCCTTCCATCGAAAGACGGTCATGGGTCGGGTGCAGATTTTACATTCCGCCGCATAATCTTCCTTGAGCATCTGGACGTAGGGATTCTCGGGGAGACATTGCTCGCACACGGAGGGGAAATCGGTGGTCTCCCATCCTGACCGGTTGATATCTTGTTTGATCTGGGGAGGCATCTTCGCGTACAAGAGAGCTATACTGCCCAGTCTCCCCTCTCTTTTGTCTATCTTCGTCTTCTCTGGTGTTTCGTTTCTTCCCACAAGTTTTGTTTCTCTTGATTCTTTTTTCTTCGAACACCGAGATATGATTAGTAACTATCATTAGTCACTTATATTAGTCATGTAATTAATAATTATTTAGTAATGACTATCACATGGTAATGGCATGATTCCCAAAAAGGAAGAGCCGTGTTCCGCATCACATGACTAATTGACGGGCTAAACCTAAAGTGGACAGCTGTGATGCCAAGACTCAAAGCCCCTTTTGGGAAAGTTTTTTTCTTTTCATTTCGAGATGCAAGAAGGCGAACAACAAGATATCAAATTGCCAACTCACAACAACCCCCTTTTTTTCCCCTTCGCCTAATATTTAACATCTTTGAAGGCTGTTGCTGCCCACTGTCTACCTTGATCTGAAAGGAATTAAAATAAATAATATATACCACGATGTCGTCTACTCAACTTGAAGCCGAGAACCATGAGCGTGATGCCGCCTTTAACAAGGTCCTGCATGGAAACACCTCTAAGGCACAGGGTGGCCTTGCCGCCATGATGGGAAAGGATAAGAAGGCCCAGCAGGCTGCTGTTGATGAGTATTTTAAGCATTGGGATGAGAAGCTCTCTGCTGATGAGACCGAAGAGACCAGAGAGGTGCGCAATCCCCACCAACTAACCCCCCTACTCTCAAGTGAACGCAATACTAAGTGTGGCGTGGCATTCTTTAGGCACGAAGAGCTGAATATGCTACTCTGACCAGACAGTAAGTTTCTCCGCCGGTTATCTATATATTTGCAAGGAAACGGGGGGGGTTCTGACAATCCTATCTAGTTACTACAACCTAGCCACCGATTTCTACGAGTACGGATGGGGATCCTCATTCCATTTCTGCCGCTTCGCCTACGGCGAACCTTTCCGTCAAGCCATTGCCAGACACGAACACTATCTAGCACACTCGATCGGCCTGAAGGAGAACCAGCTGGTACTTGACGTTGGCTGCGGTGTCGGTGGCCCCGCTAGAGAGATAGCGAAATTCGCTGGCGTCAATGTTGTTGGCTTGAACAATAATGATTATCAGATTCAGCGTGCCACCCACTACGCTGAAAAGGAAGGCCTCTCCAAACAGTTGCGTTTTGTTAAGGGTGACTTTATGCAAATGTCCTTTGAACCAAACACTTTTGACGCCGTTTACGCCATCGAGGCTACCGTTCATGCACCCTCTCTAGAAGGTGTTTATTCTCAGATCTTCAAGGTTCTCAAGCCAGGTGGTGTGTTTGGTGTTTATGAGTGGGTTATGACGGATAAATATAACAACGATGACCCAGTTCACCGAGAGATCCGCCTTGGAATCGAACAGGGAGACGGTATCTCCAACATGGTCAAGGAATCCGTTGCCGTCGAGGCCATGAAGGCTGCCGGCTTCGAGCTCCTCAAAGTAGAGGATCTCGCCAACCGCCCCGACCCCAGCCCCTGGTACTACCCTCTGGCTGGTTCCTGGAAGCACATGTCCTCCCTTGGAGATGTTTTCACTATCATGAGAATGACCTGGTGGGGCCGTTCCATCGTCCATCGCTTCCTCGGCTCCATGGAGAAGGTTGGCCTCTTCCCTAAGGGCTCCCAGAAGACTGGAGACAGCCTTGCCTATGCTGCCGATTGTTTAGTCAAGGGTGGAGAGATGAAGCTATTCACCCCTATGTTCCTCATGGTTGGCAAGAAGCCAGAGTAAATACCCAACCTACTCTGTGTTGTCTATACGTTACCTTACGTTTACTTTGCATGATGATTCACATTTGCATCTTTATCTTCCCCTTCCTCCCTTTTACTTTCTTATGTTTTCATATACATGTTTTGTTGAATATGCCTATTTAATACTAGGTCAAACATGACACTTTTTTGCCTGTTCACTTCCTTCTTTCCCCTATTGATTATATGGCTACTGGTTATTTGGTACAAAAAATTATCCAATTTCTATTCATTTATAATTCTTTAATATATGCCGCCATATTGTTGGCAAAATGATACCCAAATACCTAGAATAGGGGCCTTTTTATTAAAAGTATATCTCACTGTCTGGAAGGGTAAAAATGTTAGGGCTGCCAAATTGTCACTCTGGAAGAACACAATAAACAAACACCTGTTTTAGTGTCCTTTTCCCGCCTCTTTTGAAACCACTCCCAGGCTATTAACAAACTACGAAGAGGTAGTGGTGTCCCCTTTGCATCTACTGCACTTCTCTTTTCTTCTCATATCCTCTTTCTCCTATCTTCTTTGATGCGTACTTTGGACCTTCTCGGCGCCAAATGAGAAATATCAAAATGCCGCGTCCCTCCCGTGAAGCTCCCAGTGAAACCCTTAGCCCCCTTGAACAGCTTGTCCCATTTATCTACGAGGGACTCTGCGGTGTCCGCCATCCAGGAGTCAATGGAGGAGACGGATTGAAGTTCTCCTTTGCCGAGTATGCCCCCCGAGCCATCTGCCTGCCTGGTTTTGGCCATACCCCTGAATCTGCCCACCTGGCCTGTCGTTTTGTCGCGAACTTGGCTGCACGCCATCACGCCGATCTTCTTACCATGAAGCCCTGGGACTGCCAGTTTTGCGGTGTCAGAGCTTCTACGTTCAACCTGGTGGTCGTCTCGTTTCTCTCCCCTGAAGTTGGGACTGTTGATCCTATCCGTCGCTCTGTCTGGGGCTACGGTGTGCCTATTTGTCGAACCGCCGGGTCCTGCGACCAAAAGGCTGGTCGTTTAACAGCTGAGCTACGCGATACCTATATTTCTGGCCTTGTCATGCCGTCTTCTCCCTCGTGTATGAAGTGTGGAAACACTGAGGACCTCATCCTCTGCAGCGGCTGTAAGGTAGTTCGGTAAGTTAATCGCTTCCTGCACTTCCCCTGTTCGGCTTGACTCAAGGCCTTGTATTAGGAGTTTGAAAGGGTGATGGTAGCGATCTCAAGGTTTTGTCAAAGACAGCGTGCTAATAATGTCTTGCTTCTTAACGTCTCATAGATATTGCTCACCTGAATGCCGCAAGGAGCACCATAGAATCCATAAGAAAGACTGCCGGGCCGCCCAGCGTGAGAAGTTAAGGGATAAAATACAGGAACACCTACTGAGAGAAAGAGACTCTCACTTTTCAAAGTTTAAGGTAAGGTAGTCCTAGAACCATGAACCTTTGCTGTGAATATATGTGAACAAGTTCTAATAGAGCATAGAGAGTCTTCTACTCCTAGGTTTTAGGAGGAGAAGCCAAGAGAATCAAACACAGAGGAACAATTTAAGCAGAGCTATGGCTACAAAGAGAGGGGAAACTTCTAATACTTTAATCTTGTGTGAGCATCTTTTTACATTCTCTAAAATATCTAAAAGGAGCCCTATGCTTAATGGACGGATTTTACCTATCATAATCCCCTTAGTTACGTTCTTAAAGCTCGAAAAGTACTCTTTATTATAGTAGCTCTTATATCTACCCAGTTTCCTAACCCACCAGGCTCGCCAAAAACTTCAATAACACCACCAAAACTTATATCAGGTTTAATACCGAAGGAGCACAGATTCATTCCTTAGTGCCCGAGTTTTGCGACTTATTTAGAACACCTATTTCTGTTGGTATTATTAGACACCGTACCTAGAAAGGCAGCGGGATCATAAGGATGATAGTATTCCAACACCTTCTAATCAGGACAATATAGTATAGGAAGGGAATCTCCTATTTTATCTAACCAATGGCGATTCTCTTGATGCTATCTCATTACGCCATCCCGTTAAGGTGACCGTGCTCCTTTACTTGCCTAAAGTCAACAACTGACTGAAGGTGAGCTATGTACTAGTTAGTTAACTACCTACGCAAATAGGAGCTTTGCCCACTAGATTGAGAAGCTAAACTTTGTTTTTTCTAAACATCTAACGTTGCAACATTGATATCTCAATAACTAGTTGTACAATGTGGGCAATAATATAACAATAGTGATGTTCCCCTCCGGTTATACTGCTTAGTTGCTCCGTTAACCCTCCTTCACTGACCCTAACACCAGAATCCGTTAATCTTCTTCACACCTCGAAATGATGCTAAATTGTTGACTTCTGGCTTTGCTGTCATAGGTTCTTAGCTTTAAAACCAACATCGGATCGTTGACGCTGTGGCGTTCCACGGTCCATGCTAACGTCGAGCCTGGCTTAGAAGGGTCGAGGAGAATAAATGAGAAGACAGCGTCCTCGTGCACTTCGACGAGGAATGTCGATGCCCACTCTGAGTTCAGGATTGCAACCTCTCCATCCCGAGCCTGTGGGAAGCGAATGTGGTTCGTCGTTTGGTTGTACCGATCATCGCTCTGGACGATGTGCAATCCGTCGGCCATTGGACCAACCCGGTCCATGAAGAACTGGTTGCGATCGTCGCTTTCGATGAATTTAACGAGCTTTCGAGCCGAATCGAACTCAGCCGTTAAGCCATACCTATGGCTTATTATTGTGATAAAAGAGAAAACAGATACTCTAGCGGCATGGGCTATACCTGCCAAAAGAAAGATGTATGCTAGAGCAATTTGCATTTTCGGATTCCTGGGTTGAGGTCTGAATGATCGAAGAGAAAGGATATATAATAGAGGATTGTATACCGCTGAGATTGAGATAACAGATTGAGATAACATAGGAGGATTCATTGTCCTTTAATAACCACCGAATGCTCTGCGGAGGCCAGATGTTCAGGTTCCGGGTTTTCAGGGTCCAAATGCTGAACTGGTGATTGTACTGAGACATCACCGTTCATATCCGTCTTGCTCGCATTAGCATATACATAACTATACGAGGTAACAATGCAGCATCCCCCTAGCTGGGATACATATAGGCAAAAGCGAGATACGCAGTCCTGACTAGGCCACCCGCTCCGGTTCGGTTCATCCCGGGCCAGCTCGAAGCGGCATCAAGCGGATTGTATGACTTTAATGTCTATATAACGTTGTGACGCCGTCTCAATCTCATAACTGCTCAACACGTTTGACTTGGGTTCCTATACTATACCTTCTCTTTTGCCAATCCTCAATTACAATGCACATCTCACGTCTCATCCTACTATTTCTTGTACAGATTTGTCTGTCCTTTGAAGACTATCAGTATATCCAAAATGGCATCTATACAATAAGCGATAACTCTACTGGTCGATTCGCATCGGTTGGCACAAGTCCTGTTGACGGCATCGTCGAATTCAAGTTGAACACCAGCCATAAATGGCGTATTTGGCAAACTAAATTTACGTTGGCTTTTGCCTTTCACGTAATTCGAGACGAAGACACCAAGAAATATATCCACTTTCCAGAGATCAAGGACGGCGCAATCGCTGTCTTGAGCGACACCCCCTCGTTGGCCCGAGTAAATGAGATTCATCATACATCCTATGACTGCAATTTCTTCTCAATTGGAGCGGATAACCGTCGACTCTATTGGGTCACCGAGCCCTATAGTAGCGGCGTTCCTACCATGGTTCTCAAGCTTAAGGTAGACACGCCAAAGTCCCTAAGATATACACTCGTTCCCAAAGGGCAAGACTAGCTGAATAATGCATGGAATGTTGGAGTTTAAAGAGGAAGCAAAGCAAACCCACAAGCACATGAACTGAATAATGAGGCGGATTTGATATCCAATTTTTGGAAAGCCAGTAGGGATGGGTATCTTTCCAAGTGAGTGTTTTCTCGTATGATTCTATCAATCTCGCGAGGTACGGGAAACCCTGTTTGCATGGGAGGTACTCCGGGGCATATTGTAAACTAACCATTTATGCTGAACTTAAGGGTATACACAGTCGAGTCAGATCGTTTTTAACTATTTCTGGTTACTGCATAGCCAAATCTCAGTAAATGTCATCCAACCTGGAGTTTTGTTCAAACACCTTAGCATGGTCAAAATAACTAGGTTGTATTCCCAGGTACATGTATTTCATTTCGAAAGGCAGGCTTATAGAGTATCCTATCTAATATACAAGGTCATATTCGATAGCTCAGCCCAATTCTCTGATAACAGATACTCTGGCTGCGACTAGAAAGGACGTTCGTTTCTTGCAGGTAAAAATAATTAATTCGCAATCCAAGAACCCCTGTCCGTTGAATGCGCCCCTAGTAAGTTGACTTCCCAGGCGCCCTGTTAATATGTTCTTGAGCCGCCCTTAGCCTTGCTGAAAATTCCTCAGACTTCCCTCGCTGGGCTTTCGTCCATCAGGGTTCTGTTAGCAACATTTGTCACAGGCATTATAGGGCGTAGTATATAGGGCCAGTACTTATATTAAACGATGGTGTAAGTCAAGCATGTACAAACGATGGATAATTGTCAATGATCCAACCCAAGTTAGGATGCAATGGGGTTGATGGAAAAGGAAGCCCCATCTTAGGAGCTTACCCCTTACGAGGCAAGGGAGAGAATGTAGAAGATGCAGAGCAGAAATTTGACTGTCAATACCAGCAAACTTATCTAAGACTCTTCCATACTCTCCGTAAACTCCACGAGTTATTGTTTTTCCTGTCAGGATGGAGAGAGATCACAAACGTCTATCCAATCAAAGAAAAACAGAACGCAATGCGCTAAAGATACAACTAGATTAAGCTTTTAAGCCGTCAAAAGTCAAGACTTTTTCCGTCATGTCGGAGCTTAATAGACGCCGACTTTCCGGCTGAGTCAGCAGCGTTTTCGTCCTTTTTTCCTCCCATATTCATCTTTTTCAACTCAATCTATTAATTCAGCTCGCATCAACAAGTACTTTTTCAGCCGTACGTGCAATGGGGTGCCTATGAAGCTATTTTGACTCATCAGCTGTGAGATGGACCCAATGTTATTACCGTCTCGGATACACCAGCCTCTGCGGATACACCAGCCTCTGTAATTTCCTCACCGAGATGTCGGCGCCCAGAACTTCCGTCTCGGGGCCGAAGTTAAAGGTGCTCCGCTCCGAACCTTAGGAAGGGCCCAATCGTCGGAGTTTAGAATATCAAGTTTTCTTCTCCGTCCACCCTTTAGCTCAGGCAGACAGACCAACTCGGGGCCTGTTTCAAAGTGTTAGCTAGTTTGAAGCCGGGATAGAAAAAGAATCATTCAAAAGCCGCAGTATATAAACAGTCATGGCGTGCCTGTCAGCATGTTGTGGAACTATACCTCGCACACCAAGACCGTTTCAAAATACAAAGTATTCGAGACCAGATACCATTGTTACCCCAATCAGACTGGCTGATACGCCTATTTTTCCATACTACCTACTGACGAGTATCCGTTGCTTCACTTCCAGCCATGGGGGAGCCCGAGAACCGTTCCCTCGACGAGGAAAGCAGTGGCACTGGTGAGAAGGCTGTCCTGCGAGATGACTCCCAGTACCCGTCAGCAAAGAAAGTTATCCCGATCATGGTAGCACTATACCTAGTTGTGTTCCTTATCGCCTTGGTAAGCTAATCCCTTTCAACCCTTGATAATCCATAATGCATTCTCCTAACGTCACTGTAGGACCGAACTATTATCGCTACTGCCATCCCGCGAATCACAGATCAGTTCCATTCCATCGATGACATCGGCTGGTATGGCAGCAGCTACTTACTCACTGGATGCTCTTTTATGCTGCTCTTTGGCAAATTTTACCAGCTTTATTCACCTAAATGGGTCTATCTTATTGCCATCGTGATATTTGAAATTGGATCAGCAGTGTGCGGCGCGGCTCCCAACTCAACCGCTTTTATCATTGGCCGAGCTATTGCTGGTCTTGGCTCAGCTGGTGCCTTCTCAGGGACAGTGATTATCATCGTCCATGCTGTTCCTCTTCGCAAGCGGCCTATGTACACTGGCTTGATGGGCGGCATGTTTGGCATTGCTTCTGTTGCAGGCCCGTTGCTTGGTGGTTTGTTTACCGACAAAGTCACTTGGAGATGGTGTTTTTACATCAATCTTCCCATTGGGGCCGTTACCTTGATTATAGTCACCTTCCTCCTCCGCATCAACATTCCTCGAAAGAGTACAGAAAACCTGACATTATACCAACAATTTCTTAAATTGGACCCCTTGGGCACTCTTTGTTTCTTGCCGAGCATTATTTGCCTACTTCTTGCCCTTCAGTGGGGGGGTACAACTTACCCTTGGTCCAGCGGGAGAATCATCGCATTGTTTGTTATTTTCGGTATCCTTCTCATTGCCTTTATCGCTATACAGATCTGGCGCAATGAAGAGGCCACCGTCCCACCCCGTATATTCGTCCAGCGAAGTGTCCTTTCAGCCTTCTGGTTTACAATCTGTCTCGGATCTTCTATGATGACAATCATTTACTACCTCCCCCTCTGGTTCCAGGCTATCAAAGGTGTAAGCGCTGTCAAGTCTGGAATCATGAACCTCCCCACAATCTTGTCTCTCGTCATTGGAGTTATTATGAGTGGGGGATTAGTCACAGCAATCGGCTATTATGCCCCCTTCATGATCGCCTGTTGCGTACTTTCGTCTGTGGGCGCAGGCCTCTTAACCACTTTCCAGACAAACACTGGCCACGCAAAATGGATCGGCTATCAGGTAATTTATGGTATAGGCCTGGGAATGGGAATGCAGCAAGGCTCTGTCGCATGCCAGACAGTGCTATCCAAGTCTGACGTGCCAATTGGCTCTTCTTTGATTTTCTTCGCTCAGCAGCTTGGTGGAACGATATTTATTGCTGTTGCTCAAAACATCTTCAGCAATGAGCTCACTTCCGGTCTCCACCATATTTCTGGCCTCGACGCCGGCATGCTCGCTCAAGTTGGCGCCACCACAATACGAGACTTGGTTAAGGATCCAAACACTCTCAGACAGGTATTGGAAGTGTATAACGACGCGGTGGTCAAAACTTACTACATTGCCCTGGCAACGTCGTGCGTTGCTATTTTAGGTGCGCTCACCATTGAGTGGAAGAGCGTCAAGGGACAGGAAAAAGCATAAGTGGTTTGACTGTGATGACAACATGAACTTACTTCCACACTCTCCTCTGGATTTATATTGATACAAGGGCGCATTATTAGGAGTTGGCTGGGGGTCCGTTTGTTGATATAACTAATAATATATATAGTTAGCTAGAATAATGTACATATCCACACATAACCCCTATGATTCAGAGTCTTTACTGACGCGGGAATTTTCCGCTTTGAATAATGAGCACTTTTTCACTTCTGGCCGGAGGGTCTGACGAGACAAGTAATATCAACATAGTCACGATAGGCGAGAATGATTAGTTAGCTAAGTATCGAATAGTTTTAAGAAACTGGATTCTGGCCTTGGATAAAAGTCAACAATATATATAACCCACTCTCTTATACTGCGACACTGCCATTTTACTGTTACTGAAACTAGTATTCAGCCATCTATAGTAGTTAATAAAGACATCACATTAAGCTAAGCTAAGCTCTTACTAGTCAAAGTCAAGATCACTAACGATCGGAGTCCCAACCTCGGGAGATCGCCCACACAAAGTATATAGAACACCCGTCACTAATTTTGACAATTTTAGATTCCTTCGTACCTCTCGACAGGTCCACAGTTTTGGCGTCACCGACATTCTGGAAGTTGTCAGGTTAACCTTGAACTAGAAGTTAGGAATTGTGTAGTTGACAGTGCACATGGACTGAGACCATCGTCCCTGAAATCCTTATGAGCTTGTGGGGTACACAATCTTGACAACATGATGATGAAGGCACACTATGTTTTCATACTTAAATCCACTTATACCCACCTGTCTCTTAGACGAAAAGACAGCATCCCTGGTGACCCCATGGAAATGTGGGCCTACTTTGCCCGTATTTGTACTTCCAAAATTGGAGACACGTATGGAAATCACATTAAGCGATCCAACTCGATAAAGGCCAGGGGGAGATGCGTATCGAAGCTCGTTTGCGATAAGTTTTGTTGCGGTCTTGCAGGTTGAATTTGATTACCCCCATTTATCCAATATAATCCTATATATCATATCATAAAGCGTATTGACATATGGTTTATGTTGATCCCCTTTTGGACCAAACGAGTGAGTCAGGCTGATGCTGCGTTTTCAGCACACACTCTGTAGAGCTGGACGTTGATAGATCTTGGAGGCTCAAGCAGTTTAACTTTGGGGCCTAAAAAAAAAGTATCATGTGATTATAGCACGCCAAGAAAAAGTGTAGTATAATGATGACTCAGCAGCCAAATACGTAGGTGCGTAGAATTACAAATAATTAAATCAATGGGACCTTGAAGATCTGGTGTCTATACAATAGCTATTTATCTATAGAATCAATATTTAATTAAATTAAGATAAGGAGTCATGATGCTGGTTGTGATACGCTAACCAAACACTGGCTCCAACACTATTTGACAGTGAGTCAAGGCTCCAGCTATGTAAGGAAAATGGTGGAACACGTGACTGTCCTTTTCGTCAGCTGAAAACCTTCCAGTCGCGCTTCTTAAAGTGCAGAAAATGACGGTGGAAGATGTTGCTACGATGCGCATGGAGAGAAGCTGCCTCTTACACTAGCAGGAGAGAATCATAGGCTGATAAGCCCTGCATTTTTACGAAAAATACCCTATCGTGATCTGATACACACATTATGGCGTCGGTAGTGGCGGCGGATGCCCCTCCGCAGCTAAAGCCATATGCCTGTGTTTTATGCCAGCAGCGCAAGGTCAAATGTGACCGTCAGAGCCCATGTTCAGGTTGCCGCAGGTATGAGATCAACTGTATATACCGCCCGCCACCAGCTCCAAAACGGCGCAAGAGAAGGTCCCCGGAGGAAACCCTGCTTGCTAGGCTGCGCAAATACGAAGAGCTCCTCGTTGGATTGGGAGTGGACGTGAACAATATCGACGAAAATAAGCCCGATAACCATCCTGCAGCTTCAGAAACACCCGCTGGCAGTGGTAGTAAAGCAGAGCCTGATAGTGAGCAGGGAGAATTGAAAAACCAGTTTAGCCGAATGATAATCGGGGATGGTAAGACACAACTTCTCGAGAACAGCCTATGGGTGAATTTGAGCAGTGAGATTGGAGATCCCGATACGATTTTGGACACAGCTGGCGACAGTAGCGGAGACCCTTTCCAGTCAACGGAGGATTCTCCTCGCTCAGATGGGGGTGAATTCATTATTTCTGGATCTACTGGGGGATCGGGCAGCTTACGCGCGTTACATCCTGATACAATACAGGTATTTAAGCTATGGCAAATATATATCGATAATATGGACCCAGTGACGAAGTTGTGCCATAAGCCGACCGTCCAGCAACAGATATTGGATGCAACATCAGACTTGGATAATATTTCCAAACCTGTCGAGGCACTCATGTTTGGGATTTATACATGTGCGGTTGCCTCTTTGCGGGAAGATGACTGTATTTCTCGACTCGGGGAAACACGAGAGGCGCTACTTGGCAGGTTCCATCTGGGAGCCAAGCGTGCGTTGGCCAGGGCAGACTTCCTAACTAGTTTGGATTTGACAGTGTACCGAGCTTACCTTTTATATTTGGTATGTATTATGGTCACACCTATACGTTGTCTTTAACTGATGACAAGAATTCAGCTTTCCCTAAGAGAATTTGTAGACGCACAGACATTGTGGGTGTATAGTGGTGTAGCGATGCGGATAGCACAACGCTTGGGACTCCACAGGGATGGCGCTCGCTTTGGCCTGCCTATATTTGAAGTTGAGATGCGGCGGCGCCTCTGGTGGCCCACAGTCTATTTTGACGGTCTCTGTGGGGAATTATGCGGCATGGGCGCATCCCTAGCCGCTGGCTCCTCTTGGGATACCAAACTTCCGCTAAACGTCAACGACACTGAAATTACCCCCGGCATGCGAGACCTACCGATAGAACACAAAGGTATCACGGAAATGAGCTTCTGTCTGGTGCGATATGAGGTAGGCCTGCTACTTCGGGACTTAGCTACTCGGAACACATTTGACGGAGCATGGGGAGCAGTGACCGACCAGTCAGTGACGTTGAGTGACCGACTCAAACGTATTGACAGCTTGGAGGCACTTCTGCAAAGCAAATATATGCAATATTGCGATACGTCGATATCCTTCCACCTATTGACTTGGATAGTCGGCTACAGTTGCATTATAATGCTGAGATTCCGCGCACGCTCATTCTCAGCCGATGCCCAGAAATCTCAAGAGGTCCGCGATGCTTTGTTCACGGATACCCTACAAATAATAGCAAACTACCATACTTTCCGCCTGGATCCAGGGGTCCAACGATATTACTGGCATGTCAGTGCACACTTCCAGTGGCATGCCTTTATCCACCTACTAATCGAGCTTCAGACACGTACGGAAGGGAAACAGGTTGACAGCGCATGGCAGGAACTTGAGAACGTGTATACCTCGAAACCAGAGCTGTTGTCAGAGACCAAGAACCCGCTTTACATTGCGATTGGAAACCTGGCTTTAAAGGCTTGGGATGCAAGGAAGGCTGCTCTTGCGCAATTTTCAGGCGGCATTAACCAAGAGCCCATTGTAACCCCTTTCTTTATCGAACCCCTACGAGCTCGGCGCACGGCATCTACTAGTCAATCATCGGCACCGTCACCTCAGACAGCGGCTACCGGTGGACAAAACACTTCCCAAACATACCTGCCAGCTGGTGGTCAGAGCCAGATTTCAGCGACACAACCGCTATTCCCACCTGCCAACATGGCGGTACCCACATACGGAATATCCAATAATCACGGGATGATGTCAAACATCCCTTCCTCCGGTGCTGCGACAACCTATGCGCTTCCGGACTACCCTGTTGACTGGTCTCAATGGGAGACCCTCTTACAAGGATCGGCAGCGGATATAAATTTCGAGATGTAACGGGTGTTGTGTCATGATGCCCATGAGATGGAAATGTATAATACGAACTCTACTATAACAGTATATGCCCTCCAAATTACATATCTTCACTTTCCCCCGTACTTGGCCTCTGCTTCAACCCCACATATTGAAAACACAAGCAGCCTTGGAAGCTTTGGATAAACTTGATCTACCTCGGAAAAGCTTCGGCCCCATTATTCGGTAATGCAGACGGATATACTCCATAGAACATGGAACAGCTACTTGACCACTACGGGAATCTATACTACTTTTAGAATTAATGGATACTTGGTGACATGGAAGCAGCAACGGAAATATCCACATACCGATCAATCGATCAGAAAATCGCGGTGACCTAAACTCATCTCCACCAGTGAAACTTGGGAAGAGGGGATCCCGCCACTTATATCATCATGTCGTTGTGGCGATCACCTTGTCGTAGAACGGCGGTGGGAAGATGGGGGTATAATATAAGGGGTATAGAAAATAAGTACGCCCTACCGCTGCGAGAGATGGGCTCTTACGAGTTCGTTTCACCAGCGTGTGTCTTCTGAGACTGCAGTGATGTGCTGCCAGCGTCTCTGATTGCCTAGGTGTCTTCCCGACGGGAGTGCAGAGGCTTGTCCCAGGGGTCAAGCGCTAAGCGGCAATAAGCCCCACTGTGGGTTTTGTATCATATATGATTGGCGTTAGTTGTCCAATGATATCTTTTGATTACCTGCCAAGAGTGTATTAGTGTTATCACATGGTGAGTTTTGACCATATGCTTGGCGAGACACGGTCATGTGAACGACGTTAGAGCACAGGGTCCAAAGCTTATATGAGCTAAATGATTCTCCCGTCTTTCCGATGGTAGAAGCAGCCGCAAGAAAGGCGGGCTTCTATACGCCGTACGGTCAAAGAGTTATATCAGCTGTACGGAGTATGCAGCACCTAGCCGAAAGCCCGACTGCAGGAAAGAACCCGAGTGGCATTTTGGCTGGACTTTCGGTGTGCACAAGGGGAGGCTAGCTGAGAAAATGCATCCTCGCAATTGGCTGCAGGCTCGACGAAAGTCCAGCCACCTTAGCCGTATCAAGTTTAGTATAATGGATCCTGCCGGCCGCGGAGCCGATGGGCCTTCGCTAAGCCTAAAAGGGAGCCTCACGCGATAAAACTCTGTTTCTGGCTTCGTTTTTTTCTTTTACTTCGCTTCTCTGGGGGGGTTTTTTTTTCAGTGTTGATGGACGGCTTCATCGTTTCAATGTGGTTGACTCACGGGTAGCTAGCTGGGTTGGCGAGGTCAATGGGAAGTGAGAGAAGGGGCAGAAGGACCTCACAACGGCCTTCTGATCGACCGATCGGCCTTGTCAAGCGGCTGCCCGTCACGCAATCTGACGCTATACGGAGCAATGGCTGTGTCTCGTCTTCTGTGTCTTGGGCGGGTTTCCATCTCTTGCCACTAAACTGGATGTGGGCTTGGTTTGGTCGGTCGTCTCGTCTTTCCCCGATAGCTGGCTCGTCCTCTTTGCTGCATCTAGCCACATATTATGGCGGCTGCTGCGGGTCTCTGGGGAAGGAGAAGCAGGAGGAGGAGCTTCTTCCACCATGAGGCCCACGAATAAGGCGTTTTTTCCCTTCGCTCATCGTCTTTCTCCACTTAGGCCTCGAGTGTATATAAGGCGTCTTGTGCATCTCTTCATCTCTTCATCTCTCATTCACTTCATTCCCTTCCGGCTTTATTCACTTATCCTCTTCATAGCCGTTCTTTTCTTCCTTTTGATACCCATTCCAGCAGCGTTAAGCCAGTCTTCTCTCGCGCACACACACACACACTCTCTCTCTCTCTTAACCAACGACCCCCACAGCTTTCCTGTATCAGGTAGTTATTAACAAGACGGCCACTATGGCGGAATCGAAGAAGCCGAATGTGTTATACATCATGGCAGACCAGATGGCTGCCCCTCTGCTGTCCATCTATAACTCATCTTCCGTCATCAAGACCCCGAATCTCGACCGTCTAGCTAAAGAGGGCGTCGTCTTCGACTCGGCGTACTGTAACTCACCTCTATGTGCGCCATCTCGCTTCACCATGGTCTCTGGCCAGCTTCCTTCTCGCATTGGAGGCTACGACAACGCCAGTGACCTCCCCGCAGACACTCCCACGTACGCCCACTATCTTAGAGACCAGGGCTATCACACTGCTCTGTCCGGCAAGATGCACTTCTGTGGTCCGGACCAGCTGCATGGCTATGAGGAGCGCTTGACCAGTGACATCTATCCTGGTGATTATGGCTGGTCTGTGAATTGGGATGAACCTGTAAGTCTTTATCAGTAACATTAAAGAAGAGACCAGAGACAAGCTCTATAAATGACTTACTCTTACTGCTTACTGTGACTTTTCTATCCGACTATGTATATATATATATATATGCTGACTGGTGCAGGATGTCCACAAAGACTGGTATCATGACATGTCCTCTGTGATGGAGGCCGGCCCCTGTGTGCGAACCAACCAGCTTGACTTTGATGATGAGGTTATCTACAAGGCCAAACAGTACCTGTACGATCATGCCCGGCACCGTAAGGACCAGCCGTTCTGCCTCACGGTCTCGATGACACACCCACACGACCCGTATGCCATGACACAGGAGTTCTGGGACCTTTACGAAGGCGTCGACATCCCATTGCCCACGACCGCGGCCCTCGACCATGCCAAGCAGGATCCTCACTCCCTCCGCATCCTGAAGATAATTGGCCTCCTGGGCAAGGAGATCCCAGACGAGCGTATCCGCGCCGCTCGCCGCGCCTATTTTGCCGCCTGCAGCTACGTCGACACCCAGATCGGGGCTCTCCTGACCACGCTGAAGAACTGTGCCCTGGACGAGAACACCATCGTCGTCTTCTCCGGCGACCATGGAGACATGCTTGGCGAAAGAGGGATGTGGTACAAGATGTCCTGGTTCGAGATGTCGGCTCGTGTCCCCATGCTCGTGCACGCCCCGGGACGCTTCAAGCCCAAGCGAGTGAAGGAGAATGTCTCGACGATGGACCTGCTGCCGACCTTCGTGGCCATGACCGGCGGCTCGCTGTATCCTGGCTTGCCCATCGACGGCGTCTCGCTTATGCCGTACCTTGCGGACGACGACGCTCCCGGAGAGAAGACAGACACCGTGCTGGGCGAGTACATGGGCGAGGGCACGCTGGCGCCGCTGGTGATGATCCGTCGAGGCCCCTGGAAGTTCGTCTACTCGCCCATCGACCCTCCGCAGCTCTACAACGTCGAGCAGGATCCGACTGAGTCTACCAACCTCGTCGCCAACATGGCACTACCAGCACTCTCGGACAACTCTTCCAGCGGCGTCACTGGCCCTGCTGCTCTGCCTACGCCTCCCACCGAATCCCCTCCGGTGCTGAAGAACCCAGCGGCTGCCTCAGCCCCGTCAGCTCTCAGCTCCGTCCCAAGTCCCCCCGTGATAGGCAAAAAGGCCGCTGCTCCTACGGCCGCAGAGATCACCTCGGCCACGGCCACCAACGACATTACTTCTCTGTTCAAGGCGTTCTTGCAAGAAGTTCATACCCGCTGGGACTTTGACCGGATCCAGCAGCAGGTTCTTAACTCCCAGCGCAGAAGACGTCTGGTCTACTCTGCCCTCAGCAAGGGGCGCGTCACTACCTGGGACCACACTCACATCGTCGAGGGAAGCTCCGTCTTCATTCGAAACCACGGTAAAGGCCCCTTGGGTGATGTTGAAACCGTCAGCCGCCTGCATGTCCCCGTCTCCGTTGGCCGCGAAGTGCAGTACCGTCCTCAGTAGAATCTGATCTCATATTTCCGGGTATCTCACTCTGCATGTATTAATGACTTCTACGATAACACGATTTTTCTTTCTTTCTCTTTTACCTTGTTTAGCATAAGATAACGAGCCTTGAGGTGGGATTGTGTTGATTCTGCGTTCAAAAATGAAGAATAAGGTGTTAACTTTACTACCGCCACTACCCCTGGATAGTTACCGAATGAAGAAGTATTAACAATCATGCAAAATCCCGTTTGAGTTCTATCCAGTTTCATTATATCAAGTAATGTGACAAGAAATGTAGCAATACAGGTATATGATAAGAGTAAAAGATAATGTAGCAGGGACTTATGTGCTTCCATGGACCAGCCTTCCACCAACCCAGACGGCCTTGACATTCCTGTCATCGCCCGTCCACATCCACTTGGCAATTCGCTCGTCCCAGCTCTCCCATCCATACACGCACACTCTGCTGGCATGTTGCAAATCCAACATCTCCGGAACAGCAATCCTGTTCGGGTCACTTTCGATGCTAGGTCCAAGTTCAATCATCTGCGCATCCCAGAACATCCCCCTTTCGAACCCACCAACTTCGTCCTGCATGTTCAACACCTTGGCTCCGCCCCTGGTGGCTAAATACAGCGACTCCTCGACACTGAGCTTGTTGCGGCGCCCATCGTCCTTCCCACAGTGACATGCTACCAGCCTAGAAACGAGGGAGGCCTGTCTGGCTGTCTCGAGGATGCTTGGGCTGTACCCTCCGCTGACATCTGTACCCAGACCGACGTTGATGCCGTCGTCGAGCAGGACGCGGACGGGACACATGCCAGAGCTTAGGGAGGTGTTTGATGCCGGACAGTGGGATATCCCTGCCGACCTCTTGCGGATAAGCGCTCGTTCAGACTCGAGCAGGTGTACTCCATGCGCGAGGACGGTGCGACGGGTGATGAGCTTCGCCTGGTCGTATACCTCTGCGTACGTCGAGCAGCCCGGGAACAGAATCCTGACGGCCTGGATCTCGTCTTCGTTTTCACATATGTGAGTCTGTACGTGGGTTGGCGGGTCGGTAGAGGCAGCAAGGTCACCTAGCCGAGCGAGTGCCTTGGCGGTGCAGGAGATGGCAAACCGAGGAGTGATGATGGGCTTGACCAGCGTGCCTGACGGGTCCAGACGGTGGATGTAGGCCATTGACTGCTTGGTTGCGTCCACCATGGCAGCTGTCGATTCGTCCCGGTAGAAGTCAGGACAGGTGTCGGGATTATCCATGCATACTCGGCCAATGAACGCTCGCTGGCCCCTGGAATGGCAGATGGTGGCCAGCAGGTTGGTGGCAGGGACGTGGATGGTTGCGTAGTATGCGGCCGTCGTGGTGCCGTGGGACAGCGTCCGGGCCACGACGGCGTTGTAAACTGTATGGGCTCTTGTGGTAGGCGTATCGGGAGCGTTCTTGTCGCCAAACGACGCCTCCATCGGGAATGTGTACTTGCTCAGCCAGTCAAGCAGAGTCGTTGATCCGAAGATTCCGGAATTTGGGTATTGAGGTGCATGAATATGCGTGTCTGTTCAACCTCATTAGCTTTCAGCCGTTGGACAAACATGGATGCATAGCTGTAGTTATATAGTTATATAAGTGATGGGTGTCTTACCGATGAAGCCAGGGAAGAAGAAGCCGTTCCTGTCTGCCCTGGACTGTATCACTCTGACTACCACTGTCTCTCCAGAGCCATCCACCTCGCTGTCGTCGAAGGCCAGCCTCCATCCCATGCGCGCGGCCAGCTCGTCCAGCTCTCTCCGGCCCCTGACCGCCCAGTCACACCCGGCAATGCGCCCATCCGAGTTATCGACCCAGACAGCGCCGTCGTTGACGAGCAGATCGTATGCCGGGGCGGTCGTCGAGGTCGCCGGGGCGGTCGGCTCGCGCGGGAGCTGGATGAATGTGCCGTGGTAGAGCGTGAAGCGGTGGCATCTCGCCGCAGCCACCGATGAGATCTCGCCCATGATAACTAGGTAGTTAACCACTAACTAGATAGGATGATATACACTGGTTAAGTCGTCTGGTTTATGGTGTCGCGGAAGGCCTTTCTGGTCCCTTTAGTCTCTCGGTTCTCTCCGGGCGACACGCCATCGATGATGCACAGAAACAGGCCGGGACGGGGATGTCGCACTTAAGTATAGGGAGGTTATAAGGCAGTTGCTTATATAGCTCCTCTCAACCGGCGCATCCCAGGTTCTTTCTTCTCCTCTCTTATCACTTCTCGGTGGCCTCCGGCTGGACGAACCGACTAAATAACTAGTGGCGGCGAAGTTGCGCGAGACTCGGCGATGCGCAAGTCGCTGTTAGTTACGTCACTGCTAGTTAAATAAGCCACTCCAGAGCAAGCAGCAGACGAAGCCGTCTCTATCTTGCGGCCATCTAGGAGCTCGTTCCTGTCTCGAGCCAGCCTGTTCGGTCATGGCTAAGGTCGAGGTCAAGCAAAGCATCCCAAGGACGCCGTCGAGTTGCTGCTTGTCACGAAAGCAGGCGAAGGACACGACGGCGACCTCCGCTGGGTTAACTAACTAGGTAACTAGCTAAGCAAGCTAAGTCGGTAAGGAGAGCCTAATATATAAGAGAGACTAAGTAACTACGTCTCTACTCTTTTACCACTTTATCTTAAGCTTTATAACTCTCCAACTTCTAGTGATAATTCATTGACCATTTACTCATGGCATATACAAAGCTATGCCTGGGAACAAGGTAGAAGGCTTGTGTGCTCTAGGACAGAGACGAAGAAGGCCTGTTGGATAAGTAAGTCCTTGTGTAGTTATCTATCTGGTAGTTAGTGGACTTAGTAGGACTTAATATTAGTAGTTAACTAATATTTCGATTTCCATTTGTCGCACAGGAAACTATCCTGTATGGAAAGTTCAAACTGGACGAAACTTGGGCTTTTGGGGCTCTAATAGTTATCTGTTAGCATAGAACGATATTCGAATATAGAGTGAACTTGCCTTGAAAAGTAGTTAGTGTTGTGCCTTCGGTGCCAGGTCTCTCTAGTTTCCACTCGCTCGGCAGTAAGAGATGCAACATGAACACAGGAAGCAGTGCATAAACCCACGCCATCTTGCCAAAGGACTTCTAAGTCTGAGGGGTTCTCCTCTTCCAGAGCTTCGGAGGGGACAAGCCATAGTACTAATTCAGTTATCAATGGAAAAGCCGACGATGTATCAGGAGAAGCAAAACTTACGCTTAGAGTACTGTAGAGGATGTAGAAATTTGTTATGCTTGGGGGTATTGCCCGATTGACTAGAGATGGAAGCATAGCAGGTCAGGTTAGGCGATCTTCTCGCCCTTTTCATATTTAGTATCATCGTCAGTGTCGTATGGTATGCCCGGGTTCCTATCTATGATCCAGTTGGTTAGATGATAAACAGAATGTGTTAACTAGTAGATACCTATATGACTTACCCCAATGACCAGCTTTCTTCAGGAACTCCACCAACTCCTCCTGCGTCATGCTTTCTATTTTTTTGAGGTGCTCTTGGAACACCTGGTGCCTGTCTTCCTTGCTCATGATCTGGGGTTTAGAGTCAGATGGCGGAGAGGACACACTAGGATTGCTTGTAGCGTGAGTCAGAGCAGGGGAGCCGGAAAATTCGCTTGATAGGGATTCGGAGGTGGCTTTCACTCTCCTTTTTAAGGGAGCCATTGTAGTTATCTGTAGTTGCGGTCTGTAGTTATATTATTTTGCAGACCAGGTGGTATTTAATCCTTGGAGAAAGCTATCAGAAAAGCGAAAAGAAGAAGGAGAAGAAGAAGTAGAAGGTAACCAACTAACTGGCAGTCGCTAGGGCAAACTTCGCGTCATCGAGTTGCTATCTGGGTACTTGTTTAATCACGTGATGCTATAACTAGGTATCAGTTACCTAGATACGTGAACTCCACGACTCCTGCTCTTCCTTCATCATCACAATCAGCCTGATCATCATCATCGTTGCTTCGCTACAGTGCCTGGTATCCCAGTCAAGCCCTGCTTTCTATATTATACCTTGCTGAAAGGTTTATTTTTCTCTCCTTAGTTACCCTATGATGGCCGATAGTTACGCCGTCCCCACTCAGCAAGTTGAAACCTCGCTTTCAAAAACGCGTAAAACGGGACATCAGATTACGGCTCAAACTCACTGATGCCCAACTACGCCTTATACTCCAAGAAATGCAGGACTCGGCTTCCTTGCAACTAGACCAGCGACCGGCTTTCGTTCGCCAGTTTATCAAAGAAGACTGGCTTACGGATATGGAAGCCGCTCAGATACTCTAGGAGAGTGTTCTGGTCCGTATTATCATCATTCTGAGGGAAAGTGATTGCAAAGGGTCGGTCGCACCATAACTATATAGTTATCCATGATAGCCTTGCCTTAAGTGCTGACTTCTTATTTACTGTTGGACTACAAGGGACAAAAAGGCCTAAATGCCCCAAGGAATCCTTGGGTATCTCAGTGCGAGTCGTATAGCCAATGGATTCCAACATTTACTACCTAACTCTAGTCTAACGGAGGAGTTTGACTATGCCAGCGGGGCAGCTGATGGGCACGGACAAATAATTCTCTTTTGGCGTGATCAATGCCCAAAACTCCCTCCAGTATTAGCAGACTTGCCGATATTCTCTCTCAAGGAATCTGAGTATGACCCTAACAATTTCGTGCTCGAAAATGATACGCTGGGAATTAGATCTGGAGGTAAGCTTTTTCCTGAACCTAGCCCAGTCAACCCGGACACCGTGAACTTTGGCACAATTGGCTTTATCATAACGCTGGATACGGGATTGGAAACAAAGCATGCCATTGGAACAGTTGGCCATGTTCTCGGTGACACAGGGAGGACACTTTATGTTAATATCGATGGGATCCCCGTGACGCTAACAACAGTCAACCAGTTTGAACGCATTGGTGGAAGACCGGTCGCTAGAAGCCGTTGGCGGATATACCGCTCCGCTCTCGATGAGATCTGCCTCCTTGATATACCCTCTACCATTGCCGATATTCCTCTCCCTTGTGTACTAGGAGAAGTGAACTGCCATGCAATCCTTGGGCTCTCACCAGGTGCTCATGCTATAAGGAGTCCTTCTACTATAGATCCGGATGGACTTAGGGAATGGTTACGAGTGAATGGCCCCTTACTGTGTACAAGTATGGTGCTAGTACAGGAGCTACGGAGGGCCTTTTGACGAATACTCGTGAGGACACTCATGGTCACTCGCAGGTATTACCACGGCCTACGCTGGCTGGCTGGTCCTCATCCTTGTCGTCTTCGCTCTCGTCAATGGGCTCCTCTTTGTCCACCCCTGAGCAGGGCGAGAGTAGGACCTTCTACATGTCTGTAAAATGGACAGCCCCAGACGACCCATTCTCTGCCCCAGGAGACTCAGGAAGACTTGTCTTCGCCTTGTCCGATAATAATTTCGTGCCCTTAGGCATACCTTACGGAGCAGATGGTGATGTGAGCCGTGCCTATCTTCTATATCCATGATTTACAGAAATTGAGACTATACTCGACTGTGATGCATACTTTTGCGACCCGACTCAATGCCAGCTAGGTATTGCAACTTCCTCGGTGTCTTTTCAACCCAACTCAACCAGACAGGTTATTTTTATGGTGAAGTATATGTCTGAAAATTGAGCAGTGGGGGGGAAACAACGTTTCTGCTCAGATTCTATAAAAGTTTCTGTTTATGACTATTCATTTATCCTGTTGAAAGAAGCGATGGTGTCCCTGGTTAGGTATTCTCTTTAATCAAGCTTAAACTATTAAGCCTTCTTCCCACCATCTCTCTCTCAAGTTTGGCTCGTTATTTTTAGTAAATGGTTACCCAAGTCGTCAAACCCCTGATGTAGGCGCGGTTCCGTGCACATCCAGCGTTTGGCAAGCAAGTGTAGATCCCTAGGGGGGACAAGGGCTACGCCACCCCCGCCAGAGCGACGGCCAATAAGCAGCCTACCGTAACTGTTGGTGATAGAGGGGGCATAGATAATTGATGATGCAGCTGCAGCTCCAGGTAAAATACGATAGATAGCAGGGGGAAAGTTTGTGGTTGTCGGTTCTTTGCCAGGATCCTTACCCCGGATGTGTGATAAGCAACTCGCAGCAGGCAGTCACAGCGATCCTCTTAAACGCTACTACTATGAAACATCCTATATATAGTTCAAATCCCTACATAGGAAGAAAAATTGTGCAGTAGCCCCTCTCTCTGCGGCGTCAACTAGGCAGATCTGAAAGGGCCAGAGGGTAACTCGTTAACTATGTGTTACACAATGCATCAATGCATTTAGGGTCGTTCCGTGCATAGCATTTCCTAGCATCAGCCCCATCACACCACACATGATTCCACTGTCCGAGGCATTGCGACGGAGCTAGATAGAAAGGGGTAAATGGGTTGAACCATCTGCTAATGAATTGGTCATTGATTGGTCCTGGACTCATCCATTGCCTTGTCTTGTTCTGGTACGCTGCTCCCGAATGGGCGCTTAGAGCATCCTGGGGCCCGCCTGAGACTACCCCCTCCCCTTCTTTGCATGAAGATAATGCTACTCGGCAGGGCAGTGCAGTCTGAAAATATGGGTTCTGTGAGTCCGTTGTTACCAGGTAGCATGATAGTTAGACAGGCTACTCCAACTTAAATACCCAGGGCACGCTCCAGTATATCCCGTGGCATCTCCATAGCATTTCCATAACATTTTGCTTCTTAGGTATAGGACGCAAAAGTGCCCGTGCCAGTGCCACTGCTCACAATCTTCCATCATGGGGCAAGGAATTCGTCACTTCGTTGGGGTCGAGAGCTCGAAGCAATTGGCCTTCGTGGATGACCTCTATAAGCTTGGGGTTAATACCAACATCGAGCTTCCCGAGGTAAGCAGTATCTTTCCACACCCTCTAGGAGCTTCATTAGCAAGCCGATGCTGATGCTGATGGGTTATCTGCAAAGCTTGTCGTGGTTGGCGATCAAAGCACCGGTAAAAGCTCTGTACTTCAAGCCATCACGGAGGTCTCATTTCCCGTTGATGAAACTATGTGCACACGGTTTCCCATAAAGATCTCGTTCAGGCAGACCCGGGTGAAGAAAACCACCATCAGGGCTACAATATTTCCCGGACCAGTCTCTCAATTTGACGACGCCCTGACAAGCCGGACGAAGCTGTTTCTTATGGAAAGAGAAGAACTAAACCCCAAGGCAATGAAGGAAATCGTGGAAGAGGTGAGAACACGTCTTTTGCTGGCTCTACATTTTCCAATTTCACACAGGGTCTCTGACCTGAAACCAGGCATCCAGAGCGATATTTGGCGAGAAACAAAGCTCGCCATCCAAGCCTAATGGACACACGACGTCTTCCTCGCAACTGATGCTTAGTGATGCGACTCTGTATATTGAGCGATCTGGCCCAGATGAGATGCACTGGACAATTATAGATCTTCCTGGGCTGATAGAAAATAGAGGGCAAGGGCAAGATGGATCGACTGCTGCTGACAAGCGGCTGCGCCCACGAACTAATGCCACAATAGCGGAAGGGCTGGTGCGCACGTACTTGAGCAACGAGAGAAACATTGTCATGTTAGTCAAATCCGCCAGTTAACTAACACATCAAGAGCAGTGAGCGGCAACTAACTAGAGAGCAGAGTTGTCGCAGACCCGGTCGATGTTGAGCGACAACGGATTTTCAGACTGATCGAAGAGATACCTGGGCTCCAAGAGCGTTCAATCGGGGTCCTTACCAAGTGTGACAGGAAACAAGAAACGTCAGATAAATGGGTATGTATGGCATTCCAGGCAGCTTTTCTTCCCCTTTGAACTTCTCTCCTCCCGAAATTTTTGCTGTTCTGACCGCATTGACTGATGGATTCAGATGATCAAACTTCTACGGAATGAACTGTCCACAGTTTGCCATCTCAAGCATGGTTGGTTTGGGCTCCGAAACAGAACACCAAAAGAGAGCGGTATCAGCGATGCCGAGCGTGATGAGAAGGAAGCAAAGATGTTTAGTAAGGAAGAATGGGCAGGGGTGCCACGCGATAGGACGGGAATCAAGTCATTAATGGCCTATGTTGACAGAGAGCGTCGGTCGCAGCTTCAAAAGAGCATCCCTCACATCCTTCATGAAATCCGTGAGAAGCTCCAAGGATGTGAAGCCGAGCTTGAGAAACTTGGAAAGGAACGGACTACTCCGCTGGCCCAACAACTATACGTCCAAGGATTCTGTAATGACATGCAGAAAATGGCCGACGCAGCTTTACGAGGCCGTTATGAAGACATCCCATCGGATAGCCTTGAAGCAATGCTGCGCTTCAACGTGCAAAAACACCTTGACAAGTTTTCCAAAGACATGAGAACAGCAACGATGGCGTTGCACTTTACCTGCTACCACCAAGATTTGATCAACCTTAAACATGCAAGCTCGGATCCGACCGTATGGGAAGCATTGGTTGAAACAGCTGACGGTCTGTACTCCGAGATATGGAAAGAAGCCCAGATCTGCCAGGCCGGAAGTCTTCCTGGAAGTATTCATCCTAACATTGAGGAAAACATATTCCGAAAACAGTCAGCCCATTGGGAACGTATTTCGAGGGAGCTTGTTGAGAAAGTCAGAGATTCTATCACTGGATGCTACAACATCCTTTTGAAGATAGCCATTCCAGAGGAAGAAACCCGCAAGGAAGTGAACCGTGCAATAGAAAAAGACGTGGAAGCTTGGAGCCGACAGATCGATGCGGCACTGACGGAACTTGTCAATGATAATCAGAAACTGCGTTTGAGCACGTATAATCCCATATTCATGGAGGAGTATCAATACGCTGACCGACAGCGAGGCGAAATACTCCTCCAAGAGCCGGCGGTCCAAGATGATACCGACACAGAGAAGACATCATCATCATCAACCGCTGAAGCTAAAGATTCTGGATATGCCACGCCGAAGAGCGGTGGACCCGGGAGCATTTCAACGAAACTGAGCATAATCCTATACGTCCGCGCGAGGTTGGAATCCTACTACCGCATTGCACTGAATCGGTTTGTCGACAATGTGGCAATGCAGGTTGTCGAGAGGCACGCATTAGGCCCAAGCTGCCCAATTCGCACTGTGTCCGCCGGGTTTTTCCTCCAGCTCAGCTGTGGCGAGCTCGAAGCTATTGCCGGAGAACGCAATTTCGCGAGGCGCGCAGAGTTGCAGCAAGAGCAGTCTCAATATCAAAAGGCTCTGAAAAACTGGAGAGAATTCAACCAGAACCTGTATTAAAGGTCTGGTTGTGAAAAAAAGGGGCTGGGAGAAAATATTGGTTATGTTGTTAGGAATAGCCAACAGCCGTTCCTTAGCCATCGCCTATTTCATGTGCATCTCTATTGGAAGACTGTATCCATTCCATTGCGTAGTTAGATGGTTAAATAAATTGACTTAAATAGTTAACAGAGTGGAAGATGGATCATGTGTGGATTGGATTGTGCGCCTCGTACTTTTACAGTTGGGGATTTTAACTGCGAAATCCTTATCTCCTGTTAGTTAAATAGGAGGTAGGTACTCGTACTGGTGGCATCGTATTAACTACCTAGGTGCTTAGTTATTTGGTTATATGATAAGAATCTATTCATACAGCGGGAAGAGCAAAGGGTCCTGAAGCAGGCGGTCCATGTCCTCAGCCCGAAGGCGAAGAGAAACATCCACGCCATCTGCAGTCCAGGAGCTTCTTCCATCAGAGAGATCCGTCTTCTTCAAGGGAGGCGCCTCTTTTATCAAGACATTCCCATCCATGTCGGGGACGACGCCCTCTGCATACCGAATACTGGGAGCAGACGACGAGCTGAACCCGAAATCAACCTCGTAGATACCCGCGCGCGCCCAGGTCGTTACCAGGATATGGCGCCGGCCCAGGAAGGCCTGCCAGATACGCTGCGGCGACTCTTCGTAGGCCACGCTGTGAAGGTGTGCGGCGAGAAGATCCGGCTGGCTGATGTCCGTGATCGTCTGGCGGATGCGTTGTGCGATGGCCTGAAGAGCGGGAGGCTTTGATGCTGACATCTCTACGTTGACCATGATGATGGGTGAACCCATGAAGGACTTGTCAAGCTTGAAGGCAGGACGTACACCGTATACGAGATCGCAGTGCACTGGCCGGTTGTCTCCCTTGTCATCTTCTAGCTTGCGAGCGCGGTTGATGCATGACCAGACATGAGCCAGGATGGCATCGTGCTGGCTGGTGCGGGTTTGGACTGCGCCTGTGCCCTGAGAGAGTCCAGTGGCTGTTGCTGCCCTTGATACGGCTTCTACCTGGCGCCGGTTGAAGTGCACAACATAGTGTGAGACGGGCTCGGCCACATTCCATTCAGACCACGGCATTGGCTTGCCGGCTGGAGATATCGTCTTGCAGGCCAGGCCGTCAGGCACCTTGACGGGCCAAGGGGCACCGGGCGAAGGCGCCCACCAGTCGTAGCGATGAAGAGGCATGCTTTTAGTCTTCTGAATGATAGCCGTGTCTGCCTCGATGGCATCGATGTCACCTGCGGCCAGAGAGTCTAGCAACCCAGGCTCAAACTGAGGCTTCAGGGCTGGACACGGGGTGTTCGAGAGGACTGACCGACTGACACTGGCCCAGTCCTTTACAAAGTATACCAGAGACTGGATATCGGCCAGCGGATGGGCGCACTTGACGGTCAAAACGAAGCCGCCACAGGCCAAGTTCGTCAGCTGGACTACCAGCAAGGGCGGCGGGAGGAGGGAGACAACACGGCCATCGTCTGCACTAGTACTCTCAGTAGCAGGCTGCAGTGCATTGGACAGCGCTATTGAGGGGATGAATTCGTCAAGTGGTATCTCCTGGCGGTTCCAGGCAGGCTTGTCTGTTGCTCGCGAGGCCGGATAGAGAGCACCCAGAGTGGCCGTGCTATCGGCAACTGTGAACTCGACGCCGGCATCCTGAGACGTCCCGTAGTGGACATGGACTCGTCCAAAGCGCTGCGCATGAGGACGGGAAGAAGAAGAGGAGGAAGCAGAGGGAAATGAAGGCCCTGCTGTGCTGTCGATTGTGGTTATGGCAGTAATCTGACCACTCCATTGCGGATAGGCATCCAACGCAACTCGCAGCGACTGGCGTAGATGGTCCGCCAGGCTGAAGTCCTCGCCGCATCCCGTAGTATTTTCAGGGGCTTCACACAGCCAGCTCAAGCAAGTGGGCGCAAAGTTCACAGTGGTTGCATCCAGCAGCGACAGCGCTATCGTTTGCTCTGAGTCCAGTTTCGTCTTGGGAAATAGTCGCTCAGACTGCAGGATGGAGGTCTTAAAGGGGGCCATGATGGTAGTTATCTAGTTATTTGCAGCTTCAGGCTTGTGTTCTGTTTATTTTGTGACCATATCTTGGGAACAGGATTCTAACTAGTTAAGTATATAGGAATAGGATAGACATAAATGCATCAGAAGAGCAACTCAGGCATGGATGAACATAGTCTCAGTACTTGGAGTCCTCAAGCCTCAGCATCATTATCCCGCAACTACTCATTATTAGCTGCAGCCCATTTTCATCCTTGTTCTTCCTTATGGCTAATTATGAGTAATATCCTCCGTACCTCCTTTTTATTACTATCGAATATCAACCTAGCAAAGATAAATTAATTAGCATGGGGGTCTGAGTTGCCCACGCATGAACCTGTAAGACTCTTTTTCTCTCATCCTTCCTTCCAGTGCAGCGTCTCCTTTGGGTGCCCGGTTAATCCCTGTATACGTTGACCAATTAATTAGCTAACTTCTCGGTAACAACTGGATGAGGCTGAAAACGGGCTAGAAAACTTCCTCAGGGGTGATTTCGCCATTGTATCATTCAATGAATACACGAATTCTTTAGCTAGTTGCCCAGGAGGTAAGAAGACTGCTCGATTTTATCTGTACTCACAGATACAGCAGCCGCTCCAGGATATATCGTATTCGTCCCATCCAATTTGTTATTAGGAGGCTGATCAGATCCTAACGTGATAGATGTCTTCCCCGTCGACTTCATCCAGGTATCCGTCGGCTCCCTGCTGATGCCCGCACCTGGACGAGGGCTACCAGAAATCATACTTCTAGCAGCCAGGATCCTTCCCACAGAGGTCTCGTCGAGGTACTTCCGCGTCTTGGAGAGCCCGGTACGACGAAGGATGCAGAGCGAGGTTAGCAAGAAGAATACTCCGGCGATAACTACCAGGGAGATAAAGGCTAAAACACCATAGCCGTATTTATAGTGCACGCGTCTCTGGTATATAGTTATGGGGATTCCGTTCGTGGACTGTGAATCGCCATCATCACGTTTCGCGAGGACTTGCTTGTTGTTCTTGTCCGGACTGATGCTCCTGGTTCCAGTGACGGCGTTGAGCGCGATATCGGTCCAGATGAGATTCTTGATCTTGCCTACGGTGCTGGCATTCCTGGAAAGTTCCTGCCATAGCCGATACATCGCAAGCTGGTTTCCGCCGCTGTAGCTTTCGCTCGAGCTCGAAACACCTTCATAGGCGGCCCCGAGAGCATCTGTGTAGAAGTTTACCCCTGGAAGGTTCTGGTAGTCGATAGCATTGAGGCCACTGCTTTCGCCACCTCCTGGTAGATAGAGGGATTCCTTTCTGATCGTGGAAATGTTTTGATCCCCCTTCACACCCTCTTCTGATACTAGACCCCATAATGCTCTGACGTCACGAAGATACATCGTGGTATCTTCGACGGCCCATAGTGGCTTGGATTCTTCGTTGGGGTACTGCTTCTCGCGAAGGCCTGTTACAGTCAAGGAGGAGAGCTTATCGTCGGTGCCGTTGAAGCGGAAGTCAACCGTTTTAATGACAGCCTTCGTTACTGAGATGCACGAATACATCGGTACGGTCCAGTTGGATCCTGGTTCGAAGATGAGTGATTCGCCGCCATCAACTCGTTGCGGTGCGCCGTACAGAAGGCCACACTTAGCTGCAATATTGGTTATGTTCGCCAGATCCTTTCCACCCGAGCCGCTGCAAAGAATGTCTATTGTTCACTTATTGTAAGAATCGATAACTACTACCAAAGATGACGGATAAGAGACGTATACTCACTAGCAGAGGAAAAGTTCAGTGAGTTTACTTTCCAGGGATTGGAATAGAGAGGAGGTTTATCCGGAGTGGTGATGTTGAGAGAAGAGAGCTTGGTTCCGTTGACGCCCATGTCCGTCCCGCTGAGATAATATCCAAACAACGAGCTCGTGACGAGACTATCCGGTCGAATGTTAATGGTAGTCGAGCTCGAACCATTTACCTGGAGAGGAAATCTCTTGCCGAGGAATGAATCAAGATACGTGAATGCTTTCGAATCCGGGTCACTTTCATTCCGAAGGTTGGTTACGTTCATGAATGCCATGGACCAGGCATTATTGATCCAGGCGGCCTTATACGCACGATGCCAGAGTTCCGGTCTCCGCTGGGTATCATTGCGGTCCCAATAAGGATACTCTAGAACAAGATTTGTGAAGCCGCCTCGGTCGGTCAACACAAGGTTGGCAATCGGGGAGCCAACGGATTCAGAGCTTCTAAGTGGCACAGAAAAGTCCAGGGTCAGATTGGTGTCAACGCACTGAGTTTCCGGGACGATGAAAAGAATATCTTCAGACCAGGAACTTCCAAATGGCTCAACTGGAGGCGCCGTGTGGTTCCTGAATCCAATCCCTCCATCCTTAGTATCAACGACGAGACCTTCAACGGCCTCTATCCGATCGTTGAGAACAAGGCTGGAAATTTGTCGAAAAGCTCCCACGGGGTATCTTGTTCCATTATCTATGACCAGGCTATTGGGTCCATCATCAATCGTCGAGTAGGTGTATGATCGCCACTGGATGTCGAATATACTCGACACGGAACTCTTCTGGGAGGACAGACCACTTTGAAACATATCTATCACGCGCTGAGGGATCCTGGTGTCATACCAATCGCCACTAACATATGTCCCCGTCGAGTTTTCGGTTGTGGTCAAATTGCCGTTCGAGTGAGGGCATACCTGGGGAGTAAACCCGCCGCAGACGCGACTGAACCGCACATCACCCCTTGCTGGTGTGCCGTAGCCGATAGGGGAGGTGTCCTTGATGTAATGGAAATCCGCAAACTTGGTCTCTGTTTTTGGAGAAACGCCTTCATACAAACCCAACGGAGTCACAACGGCAGTAATACCGAACAGAACTGTGGTAAGGGTGCTGAGCAAGGTAATACCTCCGATGGCCCGAGACTGACCAGTTGTTGTTGCAGAGTCTGACCCGAGAATTCGAGGCCATAGGGAAGAGTGGAAGAACCGGCCAGCTACGGACCTAGTTATATATACCTCAATATAAATATACTGGGCAGATGTATCTGACTTCTCAGTACATAACTGGGGGCTTACCAGGACGCGGCAGGGAGAGTGATGGAGGAATTTCGCTCCGTAAGTAAACCAAGGAGGATAAGGGGGAGGGCCAGCGGTACAAAAACCTGGACTGGTTATAGTTAAAAGAGGAAATCCGTTAGTTTCTGGCATCCGGAATATGAATTGTGAGAGAGCGAAGCCCACCGAAGAAGACGCCCGCGGCTATCATGCCGGAGACTGATCCGACTGAGAGGTCCTTTAGTTCCAGCATCTTGTACAGTACCCCGTTAACGCAGTATTAACCATAGACTGTTGATATAGAGTCGAGGGAGGCAAGAAGTTGTACCACAAAGGGGGGAGCCCGACACAGAAGAGCTGCAGCGGGTGACCCTCGCTGCTATATATATCTATATATAGCGGCCTAAATCTCTCACAGCACACACCCATCACACTGCCTATACGGGCTCATATTAAAAGGCAGCATCTTATTTATCCGGAGTTGTGGGCGATGAGCCAATAATATCTCAAAATTGAGACTCTAAAAGGTAAACCGACAAGGGTCGTCGCTCTTGTTCTTTATGCATGGACGGGTCAGAATTTGGTATCGTAGTTTAGACTAGTTAATCCAACCCAACCAGCCATTGGGCCTGAGCGAGGATCGGGATCGTCATCTAGTTGTCTCCTGAGTCGCGGCTCGTAGAACCAGCCAAAGAGATGGGAAATATAGTGCCTCCCCCTTTATTGTTTTATTGTCGTCGTCAGAAACGAGAAATTTTGGGATATCAAAGTGAGAATAAGCACTTGCGCCGGCGCCTGGAAAGTGGATGGTGTCTTGCGGCTCAACCAGTCACATGCTAACAAGTTAACGACCCCCTGGACTCCGAAGTATTAGTTTACGAGTTACTTCGTATCCAGCGTGATTTGCATGGAGGTCAGTGACGAAACCCTGGGGTCATGACCGCTTCTGATGAAACGTGGACGGTTGAATTTGCGGCGTGGCTCGCCAACTTGCCCGCAGAATCTCGAGATGTAACATATGCTCCCGTATCCAAGAGTCAATCGACATCGACTCTCAATTCTCAAGGCCCTGGCAGATGACCGAGACCGTCCAGGGGTAAAAAGGGTCAGCATTGAATTCTCGGCGAGTTTCAGCCGCAGGCGGAGCGCGTCTCTCTTCCCCTTTTCTTGAAAGTGTATTTCGATCTATCAATAGTTAACCTAGGTACTCCGTATTTAGTAGTGAATGGTAGCGTGTTACACACGACAGCGGCGAGGCGGCTTTAAGAATATCAATCAGGCAAAGGATGAGCTTTTCACCATTTAAGCGCATAAATCTGTAAATTAGTTATAGCGATGCAAGTTCGACCTCTTCGTTCCAATATTTTGAAATAAGTTCCCGTCAAGCTGTAATCGAACTTGATCGGTGATGTTAGGCCAATTCTTTGGTGATATTCCATGCACCTTTAGCTGATCCGGGGTTAGATTTTTGTTAGTATATTGCATCAACTGGTGACCTCCGACGTACGCTCAATCTTTTGACTCAGCCATTTCACAAATTAGATATATAACTAGCAAGCTGTCTTGTCTCACGGATGAGTTGAAGTAGTGTCCTCCTATTAGTTACCCCCTATAACTATACCCAGTATCAGTATTATCTACTGTATCTGCATCGTAGCACTGCATAATATGGACGAGAAATTCGCTCCTTGATCCCGCACGCTGGCTCATACCATGGAAGACGTTGGAAGGATTCAGCTCCGAAGGCACCAATTCATCCACGATAGCACATGGAAGACGACCAAAGTGATACTGTTCGAACATCCAGTCACATGCCCGCCACCAAAGGCCGTGGTTGAGGGTTTTGTTGCGTGGTAAGGATGGGAAAGGGAGAGACGCCATGCCATTGCAGGTGTTGAGCGGTATATCCAGTTGTCGGTAGGTTTGACGGGTTGTCGGGCAGAGGATCCAATGGAACGTCTCAGAAACATCTCAAAGCGTACATTTTCGCAGCCATCTTGATAGGCATATCGGAAGTTATGGTCGTATCAATGGCCGGCAGCGAACCGTTGTTCATCTTTAGAGAGTATTCCTTCGCATGCTTCACGCTGACGAGCGCCTGTCGTCTCTGTCGTAGTTTCTTTCCGGCCATCTCATACACTCCTGGGACGATTTTCATGAGGGGAAGCGTATTGAGGTCACGCTGGGTCTTTCCCTCTAGAGTGCCAACTTGGCCGGTTGAACCGTAGAGTCCAGGGGGGTTAAAGTCGATCGGGACTTGGAGGAGCTGAGCGAGCTATAGAATAGGTATTAGAAAATAGATAAACGGCCTGTTGGATTGATAATACCAGCAAGACCATGGCTTACCAAAATGAACTTCGGGGTTTCGATAGGTAAGAGATGTGATTGATTGCCTTGTCTGAGGGTTTTATAACTACTTCCGGGGAAAATAACGGAAAAGTACAATGAAATTAGAGACATGGCGGCACTGACTCGCTCCACAGTCTGCCAACCAGACAACGGTATCCCGGACATTTCATTTGGATTGGAGCGGTTAAGTCTACCAATCATATTATTCTCCATCTTAAGATCTGATTATTACATAGTTAAACCTAAGAATAGCCAACATTGTGATCATGGATAGATACTTACCAGCATAAACCAGGCCCTTCATATGAACGGTAAAGATGCCGAGAAGAGCACATTTCAAAATCCACTTGATCTCCCTCAGACTAGACTCACTAGGATGCCTGGTTTCCCAGAGAAAATGTGTAAATGTTTGTAGAACTATCATCGGCCCACAAGACTCTGATTCAGAGATATAATCGACAAGCTGTCTTATCATTGGGTCTTTTCTAAACCTTTGCATCTTTAGTTCGTACTGGAACACGGAGGGCGCCCGTTCTTTAGTGGTATTTGCATCGGTGGGAGGCTGCTTGATGATTATTCGGTGGAACCAGCATCATCAGCTGCTAACTAGACATTTGGTATCCTGCCCGGGCGTTGAGATCCAAGACGGCTGCTGAGTCCATACCGGGTCCCACTGGCTCCGTGATAGATTGGTCAGCACCCTACATGCTAGACATTGGTGCAACCCTGATGTAATAGGCAGTGGAAGCCGAGCCACCCGCCGAAGGAACCGCTGGCTGCATAACGAATCCAAATTTCCGACATGATAAGAGCAGTGCTGATGCTCAAAACCAAGCAAGCCACAGAGGTAAAAAAGAAAAAAATAACAACAATTTGCTAGCTGCACAGCTTCACCGGTTTTGAGTGGTATCAGAGCCACACTGGATTTATGACGGTGACGGTAATCTATCGGGGTAAAACAGAAGAAGCCTTGAGCTCCTCGGTTTATTACAATATGGGGTATTCAAACCAGTCATCTTTCCATCTCCTCCGCTATCATGTTCTTCATTCATGCATTGGACGGCTTGACCGCAGGTTCTGGTGCTTCTTCCAAGGCTGTCAATGCAGCCATCTCACAAACTAGTGAGCTCCATGTCACTCTAACAACTAGAGCTAGCAACTAGCGAGTTGGTTATCTGTCAATACAATCAGTGATCGGGTCTCTCCATCGGCGAATCAACAATGTCAGTAACCACTTGGTTACTCCGTCAGTTGTAGAATATTCGAAATGTCCCTTGTATTCGTCGCTGAAACTTCTTGCCTTCCTGTTTAGGCGGCTTTTTAGGGCTTGGAAACTGCCAAGACCAAATTGTTACGTAAACACCCGGTCGTGCTGGTCTTATCAGATCAGGACCCACCAATCGGAGCATCCAGATAACTTTATTTCCCCCTTTAAATATTGACCAATAAAATTTATGTATATCACCATTTTTTCGTCATCTTACTGGCTCGGCGTAATAAAATGCATCATGTGACTTCCCCGAGTGTCGGCCGAGGCATCTTTTTCCCCTCCGAACTCGTTTGGTTTGCTTTTTCCCGAAAAAACAACAACGAAAAGTAGAGCAAAAACTCCGAAAACGCCCTCCACAATCGTTCGTTTTCATCTTCTTCCCCCATCGTCTTTACTGTTGACGATGCTGGTGCTGCTCTGAAGAAGCCTATGCTACTGTTCAATTGACAGCATCCTACGCCTACTTTATACCACAACCCATTACTTTAGCATTATCTACCGCGAAGAATGGTAGCTGCTCTCACGGCCCTCCGCTTCGGCGGTAGGCATCTCGCTGCCCGCCAGACTCAAGCCGCAGCTCTGCTACGAACCACTCCTCGCCAGCTGTCGCCGCTGACTGCCTGTCGCCAATGCCTCCGCTCTGCTACCTCTCGTACCTACCGTGGTACCGCCGGTGTCTACCGCAGCGTCCACTCCAGCGCCGCTGGTGGTGCGACTGATATCCAACAGCCACTAGACAGCTTCCCCCGTCGACACATTGGGCCCTCGCAGTCGTCTGCTGAGGAGATGCTGAGCGTGCTGGATCCTCCGGCAAAAACCCTCGACGAGTTCGTGCATCAGGTGCTGCCAGCAGATATCCTCTCGGCTAAAGAGCTCGGCCTAGCGGACCCGAAGGAGACCGCCACTAAATTGCCGCGGGACGGCCTGCACGGCGGCCTGGGCGAGTCGGACATGATCAAACTGTTTGAGGCGTACAAGAAGGACATCGATACTACCGGTCGGTCACACATTGGATGCGGATACTATGGCACCATCGTTCCCCCAGTCATCCAGCGGAACGTCCTTGAGAACCCCATCTGGTACACCAGCTACACTCCTTACCAGCCCGAGATCAGTCAGGGCCGTCTTGAGTCTCTGCTCAACTTCCAGACCCTTACCTCTGACCTCACCGGTCTACCTGTTGCCAATGCCTCCGTTCTCGACGAAGCTACTGCCGCCGCAGAGGCCATGACCATGTCCTGGGCTGCCCTCCCGGCTAGCAAACAAAAGCAGGCCGGAAAGGCCTTCGTTGCCTCCCACCTATGCCACCCGCAGACTCTTGCTGTCATGAAGTCTCGTGCCCAGGGATTCGGTATCAACCTGGTTGTTGGTGACATTATGGCCGATGACTTCAAGCTTGTCAAAGATCAGGGAGACAAGTTGATCGGTGTTCTGGCTCAGTACCCCGATACTGAGGGTGGTGTCTACGACTTCCAGGCTCTTGGAAACCAGATTCACGAGCAGGGAGCTATGTTCAGTGTTGCTACTGATCTGCTTGCTTTGACTGTCCTCAAGGCCCCCGGAGAGTTTGGTGCTGACATTGCCTTCGGTAACTCCCAGCGGTTCGGTGTTCCCATGGGCTTTGGTGGCCCTCAGGCTGCCTTCTTTGCCTGCACTGAGAAGAACAAGCGAAAGATCCCCGGCCGCATCGTCGGCGTCTCCAAGGACAGACTAGGAAACCGTGCCTTGCGTCTTGCCCTCCAGACTCGTGAGCAGCATATCCGTCGTGAGAAGGCTACCAGCAACATCTGTACTGCCCAGGCACTTCTTGCAAACATGTCGGCCTTCTACGCAGTGTACCACGGGCCCAAGGGCCTCAAGGCTATTGCCGAGCGTACCATGTCTCTCACTGCTTTGCTAAAGGCCAAATTGGTTGCTCTTGGCTTCAACGTTCCTACCAGAGGCAACGCTGGGGGCGAAGGTGTCGCTTTCGACACTCTTGTCATTGACACCAGCTCTCAAGCCGAAGCCGACTCTCTCATGGACGCAGCGCTCGCTTCTTCTCTCTACCTCAGACGAGTTGGCTCCTCCAAGGTTGGTGTCTCCCTCGACGAGACCATGGGAGTGAGTGACGTCGAGAAGTTGCTCTCGGTGTTTGTCAAGTTCTCTCCCTACCAAGGCGCCGAAACCATCGACCTGTCCAAGGATGTTCAGCCAGTTGAGATCCCTGAGGCCGTCAAGCGAACCTCATCTTATCTTACCCACCCAGTCTTCAACAGCCACCATTCTGAGACCGAGATGCTTCGATACATCCAGCACCTTGGATCCAAGGATCTCTCCCTTGCTCACTCCATGATCTCTCTCGGCTCTTGCACTATGAAGCTTAACGCCACCACTGAAATGCTGCCCATTACCTGGCCTGAGTTCTCCTCCATCCATCCTTTCACTCCCACTGCCTCAGTCAAGGGCTACATCGATATGATCGAGGATCTTGAGAAACAATTGGCCAACATCACCGGTATGGCCGAGGTTACCATCCAGCCCAACTCTGGTGCCCAGGGTGAATTTGCCGGATTGAAGGCCATCAAGAAATACCACGACAGCAACGGCCAGCCCGGAAAGCGTAACATCTGCTTGATCCCAGTTTCTGCCCACGGAACTAACCCAGCCAGTGCTGCCATGGCCGGAATGCGCGTCGTCCCCGTCAAATGCGACACTGCAACCGGCAACCTCGACGTTGCTGACCTTCGTGCTAAGTGTGAGAAGCATAAGGATGAACTCGGTGCCATCATGATCACATACCCTAGCACATACGGTGTGTTTGAGCCCAGCATCAAGGAGGTCTGCCAGGTTGTCCATCAATACGGTGGCCAAGTCTACATGGACGGCGCCAACATGAACGCCCAGATCGGTCTTTGCTCGCCGGGTGAAATCGGCGCTGATGTCTGCCATCTCAACCTCCACAAGACCTTCTGTATCCCCCACGGTGGCGGTGGTCCTGGTGTTGGTCCCATCGGCGTTGCAGAGCACCTCCGTCCATTCCTCCCTTCGCATCCTCTCAATGACCACTTGCTTGCCAAGCGACCTGCATCTGTAGACTCTCCCCCCATCAGCGCTGCACCCTTCGGCAGCGCAAGCATCCTTCCCATCACTTTGGCATACATCAACATGATGGGCGCCAGAGGCCTCACCCACGCAACTAAGGTTACCCTGCTCAACGCCAACTATATTCTCTCCAGACTAAAGCCTCATTTCCCCATCCTGTACACCAATGCCAACGGCCGATGCGCTCACGAGTTCATCCTCGATGTCCGCCAGTTCAAGGCCAGCGCGGGAGTTGAAGCCATCGACATCGCCAAGCGACTACAGGACTACGGCTTCCATTCGCCAACCATGTCGTTCCCAGTTGCCAACACTCTCATGATTGAGCCTACCGAGTCCGAGAGCAAGGCTGAGCTCGACCGCTTCTGCGATGCCCTCATCTCCATCCGTGGCGAGATCGCTGCCATTGAACGAGGCGAACAGCCAAAGGAGAATAACGTTCTTAAGCTCGCTCCTCACACCCAGAGAGATCTGCTCACCACAGAGTGGGACCGTCCATACACCAGAGAGGCCGCTGCATATCCTCTCCCTTGGCTACTAGAGAAGAAATTCTGGCCCACAGTTGCAAGAGTTGACGATGGTAAGTTTATTTCCTTGCACGTTAATAAGTTGATAGTTAAATACTAACTTTTGCCATAGCATTCGGTGACCAAAATCTATTCTGCACCTGCGGACCTGTGGAAGACGCCACCGACTAGATACCCCTGCGTCCTCAATTCTTTTAAGCATCTTTCGTACAGCTTTACATCTTTCTCTTTTCTTTTTCTTTTTTTTTTTACCCGAAAAGTTAAATCTGCTGCAAGAAATAAACCAGAAGCAACTCGAGCTTCAACTTATAATTCACCATTCATCATACAGCTACACATGTCGTCATGACCTAAATGTCTCAACACAATACCCCTAGCTTCTGTACTATTTCGCTTTAGACCTCCTCTTCAATGGATAGAGCCATGAGATTTTTTTTTATGTCCGATATCACGTCTATTTTTTTCAACGAGATATGAACCTTTTTATAAGATTTCCAATCTACTTATAAGGCAGACAAGGGGCGGGTTCAAGTAGCTAACCCCTTACTGTGGATGAATCTCCATGAGTAGATTCCTTCCAGACAATCACACCAGGCTTCATCTCACTGCTTTCTGTACTACTATATAACACTTTTTAGCGCTTTTGACGCTCGGTAGAAAACAAGGTTAAAGAGGAACACGGTATTGCCCCACTTTTCACCTTATTTAACAAGCGGGTCTAGAACTTTGATCGCTTTTTGATGTTTGCGGAAAAGAAAGATACATACTTGGGAGTACTCCGTACTTAAATAAGTTATAGCGTCTGCCTCGCTTTATTATACTCTATGAAATTCGTTTATTGAGCGGTATTTCTGATCTATGTTACTGCCAGGCTAATACTGGCCCAACTAAAAATGCTGTTTCAGAAGAGTGTTTCAGAAGATGGTGTATTTGACTCCTCCAAATATGCTGTGTACTTCGAAGGTAACTAGCACCAAAAGTTTGGGTGGTTGAACAATGTGTTTCGTTCTTCTTTTCTTGTTATTTCTATTTGTATTTCTACCACACTGTTTTCTATAACTGGTCTCCAGTTAGTCCTTCGTTATAGTGGACTACTATGCTTCTCCTTAGATAGTAGTTACGGTCGGGAAGTACCACTTGGATCCAAGGACTACAAAACCGTACATTTGTGTATATCATGAATTTGCATAATACCTGGAAACCGTTTCTTTGTTCATAAAGTCTGAGATAAAGAAAGATTATTTCAATAAAGAAAAAGGGGACTTGAGGACCTAAAATATACCCCCTTTCGCAAGTTGTATGACACGAGGGATAAACACAGCTCTGGGGATGGCTGTCAGTTTCTTTATACCACAAGTTGGTAACTAGCAACAGCAGATACCGCCATCTTGTGCGGTGTGTTTCTGCACCTTGGGAAATACGATTAATAACATGGTAACTCTGAACCATTAAAATACTCATTATAAAGACATGCATCGCAGACCAGTAAACTCCGTAATTTCGGCTAAGGCTCAAAGGGGAAACAAGAAAACAAGATAAATCCTTGGTGAAGCCCAAATGCTCGTGATATAGTTCGAAGCGAGAAGGAATAAACAGACTACCCTCCCGTCTATGCGTTTGTTCGTTGCGGTTAAGACATGGTTATTCATTGATTCGAGGTGCTGCTTGGATCTGTTTGCCGGCCGGGCTGACTATTTGGCGTAGTTGACGGTATATAGTCTGGTGGAGGCGACCTTGTCCGTGGAGGGGGATGAGGAGAAGAAGAAGAAGAAGAATAAGAGAGGGTCTGGTCTTGCTTTGCAGCATCTTGCTCCCGGGGGTAATACGGAGGGGCTGGAATATCGAACTGGTCTTCCCCATGCCTCTGCAGACCTAGATGGGCCGGCTGGACAGTTTGGCCAAGGTAAAATGGGACAGCAGCCACGCCGTCGGGGTGCTGTGGCATGGTCTGGCCGTGGCCCTGGAACTGAAAATTCTGGCTGGGTGCAGCGGCCTTGCGCTTTTGTGCGCGGTAGAAGAGCAGGAAGATGGAGAGGACCACAAGAACACAGCCGCATGCGACGAGCACCAGGTTAACACTGTTTTCATGAAAGAATCTCTTGTGGTGTTTGTGCAACGAAGCCCGGCGATGGGCGTGTAGGACAGACATCGTTTGGCTTCCGATAGCTAGTTATTTGACTATCACAGCGCGCGAGCAGTCGGCAGTCAACCGAGCAACGAGGTAAGTAGTTATAACAGGCAAACAAACAAGAAAAAAAGAGGCCTCAAGAGTCTCTTCGAGAGGTGCGAGAAGGCCTCGCCGGTCCTTTATAAGGATCTGCCCTGTCGCCGTGGCTGTGTAAGCATGCGTGGTCCTTTATCATGTTTGCAAGCGTCTTAAGCCTGGGGGCCAGCACAGCGCAATATAACTAACGGCTCAGGAGTCAGCCTGGGAGTGCCTAGCATGGTGTTAGTTATATAGCTAGGAATGTATTAACAAAGATGCCTGCACTTATTCACCGCGGTGCAGGATCCATGCAAGCTGTGTATGACCGTCGAAGCAGTTCGCCCGACCGCGCCCGGCCGCTTCCGCGACGATGATGCTCAGGGGCGCAGGGACGATGCGGCGCGGTGATTCAGCGTGGGGAGTCACTAGCTCTAAGCGAAACGCATGCAGGCGTCGCATGAAGCAGATCGGGCTTCGTCCATCCCAGACAAGGGGGGGGGTTTTCATCGGTTCAGTTTTATCGGTGCCTTAACTAGTTAATGGTCTCTGGTAAGTTACGCTTAGCTGCCTGTCAACGAGCTGCTGAGTTGAGTTAGCCGCGGGTGGCGTTTCGGGTGAGTTTTTAGTGACCGCCGATGGCTGAAGCCGGGCAACTTAGGTAGTTAACTGCATAACTATATAAGAGTCACCAGCTTCGTCTTCTGGCCGGGAAGGGAGGTTAGCGAACCAGTTGCATAGTTGAATGATAAACCAGCAGCTTGTTTATCCGCTGTTTGAAATAACGAGCTGCCCGAGCCCCTGCACCTGCTTAGGAAGACGACATGGACCAGGACCAGTTCCGCTCCGCCGCGCATTCGGTAGTGGATGAGAGTACGCCTTGTCCCTCCCTCCCTCCCTTCCTCCCATTGAACACTGGTTATAAAAAGACAAACAGAGGATAGAGAGCTAACGTCTGGACTGCAGTTATCCGGTACTTCGACAGCCTGCCGTCGCAGCAGGTCCTGCCGGACATCGAGCCCGGCTATCTCAAGGGCCGGCTGCCCGCATCCGCACCGCAGGAAGCAGAGCCATGGAGCCAGATACAGGCGGACATTGAGACGCTGATCAAGCCGGGCGTTACTCACTGGCAGTCGCCCAACTTCATGGCCTTCTTCCCGGCGATTGTGACATACCCGAGCATCCTGGGGGAGATGTACTCGGCCGCATTCAACGCCCCGGCCTTCAACTGGCTGTGCTCGCCCGTCGTCACCGAGCTCGAGATCGCCGTCATGGACTGGGTGGCAAAGGCCCTGGGCCTGCCAGACTGCTTTCTCAGCACCTCCGCGACCCGGGGCGGCGGCGTGATCCAGGGCAGCGCGAGTGAAGCCGTCATCACCGTCATGGTGGCTGCCCGGGAACGCTATGCGAGCACCATGGCCAGGGCCGAGGGGCTGGACGAAGGCTCCGAGCAGTGGGAGGACCGGCTGATAGAGATCAAGTCGAAGCTGGTCTCGCTGGGCAGCGACCAGGCCCATAGCTGCACGGCCAAGGGAGCCCGGATCGTGAGCACCAGACACAGGACTGTGCCGACCCGGCTGAAGGACGACTTTGCCATGACCGGGGATGCGTTGCGGGAGGTGCTGGAGAAGTGTGAGAGGGACGGGTTGATGCCCTACTACCTAACAACCACACTGGGCACCACCAGCACCTGCGCCACGGACAGGTTCGCCGAGATCAAGGCCGTCCTGAACGAGCGGGAGTCGTGGAAGAGGATCTGGGTTCATGTCGATGCTGCCTACGCCGGCGCAGCGCTCATCTGCGATGAGTACCAGTATATCACCAAGGACTGGAGCGAGGGGGTCGACAGCTTCAACTTCAACATGCATAAGTGGTTGCTCGTCAACTTCGATGCTAGGTCTGTATCCTCTTCCGTTATTGTGACTATATCTATATACCTATCCACATGCACTAACTGACCTCTGACCGATAGCTGTTTGTTCATACGCAACCGGGTTGACCTGACCTCAGCCCTGGATATCACTCCTCACTATCTCCGGAACCCTCATTCTGATGCCGGCGCAGTGACAGACTACAGAAACTGGCAGCTCCCGCTGGGACGACGGTTCCGCTCTCTCAAAATCTGGTTCGTCCTGCGCTCATACGGCATCAAGGCCATGCAAGCCCATATCCGCAAAGGCGTAGATCTGGGCAAGACATTCGCCGGCTTCGTCCGGAACCAGCCTGATTTGTTCGAGCTGGTCACTCCCCCAGCCTTTGGGCTGACCGTCTTCCGTGTCACTGAAGCTGCGGCTCAGCGGGTTGCTGGAGGTGACAGCAATTCCGTCACCCGCGAGGTGTACGAGCGTGTCAATGCCGGCAAGGAGGTCTTCCTTACTTCCTCCGTTGTGGGAGGAGTGTATGTCATTCGAGTGGTGAGCGTCAACGAGTTGGCAGGAGAGAAGTATGTGAGAAACGCATTTGATATACTCGTTCGAGTGACCAAGGAAGTTCTAGATAACCAGTCGAGCATCGGAGAGGTGAAGAACTGAAGGTAAAAAAAAAGATAGAAGCATATGCACCATCTAGCTGATAGACTTGCTGATAGATCTCCCCTCATGCATTTTTTCCTTTTTTTTTTGGTTTAATAGAAAGAATACTGTAGTTGCACTTTAGAGCTCGCAGAAGAAATGAAAAAGAATTATACTTTGATTAGCGGAAATAAATACACTGTCTATCATCTATCATCTCACATTCGCTCCCTCGTATACATGTTATAGCCTATTCATACCAATCACTGGTTCCAAATGGCAGTGATCATGCCATTGATGATATCAAAGGTCTCCTGGGGGCGGCTCAGGTAGGGGCTGTGGCTGGCCTCGACGTCCTTGATGTTCCAGTCCAGTTCGCTCTTGTCCAGCATCATGGTCTGGATGGCGGCAGGCACACAGCGGTCCTGGGTAGCTCTGATGTATCCTCGTCGGCCGCCATTGTAGAACTCTTCCTGCCAGGCTGGGGCGGCGCTGGGGCTCTTCAGAACAGACTTGGACTGTTGCTTCAGCTGGCCAACTGCCTTTGCAGCAACATCGCCTGGAACGTCATGGAACAGGACATCAGTTGGGTTCTCAATCGTAAGCTGGCCAGTTGCATCCTATCCATCATGTCAGTAACTAATGAATATACAAATCAGTTGTGATGTATTAGGGGCGCTGAGAACATACATCAACATTGACAAAGTCGTCAAACTTGCCGCCCAGGGCATCGAAGAGAGACATGGACTCCTTGGCCAGGAAGCCAGCAATGAAGATAAGTCCGACGACTCCTCCGCTGGAGCCACGGTCTTTCTTGCTAAGGCCGGCAGCAGCTACACTTCCAATGCAGCCGCCGAAGGAGTGCATGACCAGGACGACATTCTTTCCATCGTCGAGAAGAGGGAGCAGCAGCTTTTCGCGGAGGTAGGCGGCGTTGGTGGCAACGGTCTCGTCGTTAGGGTTGGCAGAGTCAACGCCAGGGAGCTGAAGACAGGCGGTTGGGTAGCCAGCCTTTTCGAACAAGGCGAGAAACTCCTCGTAGTGGGCTGGGGTGTGCCAGGCACCGGGGACCAGGGCAATAGTTGGCTTAGACATGGTTATAGAATGATAGATGAGAGGAGTTTTCCTTTAAAAAGTGTTGTTGTATTTTGTTGTACTCGTGGTGAAGTAGATGTGCTCAAATCTGGACGATGTCTACTGATGGATAGAAAAAGGACCTGAATCGAGGGGTATAGATAGCCTCTTTATATTCCCAGATTCACCCCCTGTGAGGCTGGCTGGTACTGACTTGCAGGTATCTTGACTAGACGATGCAGCTGGCCGGTGCTTCCTTCGGGAAAAGGGCCATCTTCATCCAGGGAGATGCCAGGCAGCACGGGGAATAACTGGGTATGTTTTGATACTGTTCGTCAGTCTTCCTCGGTTATGTCGATGCAGTTACAGAATATCGCCGTCTTTTGAAGATGAAACCAAGCTGATGGTCAGTTGTTGTCAGGTTATAAAAAAATCTCCGTGTTGGCCGGGATGATATAACTATGGGCTGACGGACCCTGGCTGAAAATTAATTAAACCAGACAAACTGTCAGCCTATGGCCGTCCGGTATGTCTACGCCTTGGTGAAGAACGAATAAGGAACAGCGGACATGGCAGACTGGCGGATGGTAGGGAAGATCCAAGGTGGCACACAACACATCGCCCAGCATAGAACCCAGGCAAAGCCGATCAGCTTCTTCCATAGCGCCGGTTCCTTCGTCCTCGAGCCCCTGTGGGCTTGACGGGAGAATGACCCAGTCGTGATCCAGCGGTAGGTAGAGCAGACTGTATCCTCAATCAGGATCCCTAGAGCTTGAGCTGTGAAGAACATCACTATCCCGGACTCCCGCAGAGGAATGTTCTGCATCATATCGATAGGCATGTGCATTAACCCCGACATTAGAAAGATCGCTTGCATCCTGACATATCGAATAAGCAATAGCAAGGCCTTGGACTCGGGTGAAACGCTGTCTGGAAGGGGTAGACGTAGGATGGAATGAGTGATAAAGTAACCATGGTTGTAGAGAAGTACCCGCAACTGTCGGTGCCATACCACGCTGCCTAGTATATTAGCAAACGCAAGTACCCCCCGTATATGTACAACCATAAGCAAGGACGGAGCTTACCTCCAAAAATTCCTAATGGAGTAGAGCTTGGTCAAGGGCCCGAACCAAGGAGGCCAGTCTTGAACCTCACTAATTCCCAGGCTCACTGCCAGCACCGAGGCGAAATCAATAAGGACAACCAGATTCAGGTATCCTGCCGCGGCGAACCCAACGATCGAGCCCAGGGTCTCTCCAAAATCCTGGCCCGAGAAGTCTCCAGCTATGATGCGAGAAAGGATCTTCTCCTTACCGGGAGCAAACTTGACATCCGCATCCTCCAGGGACTGAGACGTGATCAAGTCCAGCAGTAAATAGCAAAGTATAAAGCGTATAGATCTGAAAACCAGGAACTGCCTTTTTGACGTCTTCTTTGCCTTCTCTCGAGAGATGTCGATGTACCCGTTTCGCCCTCTGTCCGTAGAAGAGGCCTCACCCAGCCATACCGCTGCTCTGTAGGCTCTGGTATACCAAGGCAAACTGTCACCCGGCTTGCCACGAGTCCCGTCGCTGGTCTTAGAGCCAGTGTGCCCCGGATAGGCCACCTTTGATATGCAGAGAAGGTCGAACATCTCCAGCGCCAACCTCAAGCCGTAGCCGACGCCAATGACAAAGTTGAGCGGCATGACGGGAGTTGCGTGGACGGCCGTCCGCGACACGACGAGCGTAGGGACTACCAGCACCGGTAACAGCCATGCTCGCAGGGAGGAAGTCGGCGGGACGTAGACGAGGACGAGGACGAGGAGGATATGCGCCGTGATGGCCGCGACGAAGGTCGCGAGGGCGTAGCCGTGGCTGTAGCTGTAGGTCATCTTCAGCTCTCTACTCTGCAGACAGCCAGAGAGTCAATGAACAAGATACTACCACTGTCAGCCATTGAATGAACGGGAAGACGAAGAGACATACCTCTAGTTTAATATAATAGCTGACTGGCCAGTTGTCGCGCGACAGCCAGGAGGCCCAAATTTGAGCTCAACGTCTCGTTCCGCAGCTGCATAGCTAGTCAACTATCAGACACACGGGACGGAAGGGCTTTTCGTCCCGTGTGCAAGCCTGTCGATCAGCTCATCAACGTTACTACGTAGTTGGCTGGCTAGCCAGTGGACATTCATCCTATCCTTCAGCGAGCTCGAAGCTGGTAGGCGAAGAGGAAGAGTCCACGATGAGGGATCAAGGGAAGCTAAGAGTGGCAGACAGATGCCCTAGTGGCCGTAGTCATTTAGCTAGGTAGTCAACGGGTAACTACTTAGCCAACTAGTTATGGTACTCGAAATCACAGGAGAAACTTCTCAATTGCCCAGCTAGTTAACCAATTTGAAGTGAAGTGGCGTGTCAATATATATCTATCATTAAATATTAACCATCTATCTACAACACGAGATAGCGAGGGCTACTCTATGATTTAAATAGCTAACTAGGTTGACCTCAGGATTGACCACTCCGCGACCGTCGCGCCAGTTCCATTGCCGGCCTTGACCTCCGCAGGGCCCAGAGCTTGGTTGCCCCTGATCAGGAGAGTTGCAAACTTGGTAGCTGGCACGGCCGACGGCAGCGTGATGTTGGTCGTGTTCCCCTTGTAGGTCATTATCATGTTGAGATCGATCGTGATAGGGTCGTAAGGATGAGATTGCGGCACCTCGGGCGTTTCCCACACAGTGACTGAGCCGGGGGGTGTTGCATGCGAAAATCCATTGCCCGCATCATCCTCAGCATCCATCACTGGAGGCAGAGGTTCATCGTGCAGTACAACCTTTGCACTGATAGGAGGTGCTTGGGCCCAGTCGAATGCGAAGCCAGAGATAGATGCAGAGGAAGCGTCGTCTGGCAGCGAGACGGTTAGCGATGAGGTTGAGCTCGCGCGTCGAGGTTGCCACTTCGTTGACGCTGCTCCGTCAACAGCTGAGATGGGGAATTGGCCGGGAGCAAACTCGTTAGGTGAATAGACTGGCTGGCACTGGACTAGATTGCCTTCAAGGGTGTTTATAGAGCCAGACCGGCGGTTAGGGATAACCAGCTGACCGCTCGGAGGTAGCGAATACACTGTAATATTGCTTTCCGGCCCTACATGGACAGTGATAGGGGCATTGGCGAACTTCGGATCAGCGCTTGCAAGGGGTCGTCGGTTAGTTGCTCGCTGGATGGTGGTCTGTGTGTAGTTTGCGCTGGCTTCAAACGGCCAGCCGTGCCAGTAAAACGTTCTATACCGTATGTGAGGGATTTGAGGGGGCAAGTTCGGATTCAAATGTAGTATGCCATCGGATACCAGGCGTAGACCCAAGTAACCAAACACTGCAACCTGGTTGGCTCCGCCGTTGCCCGTAAGGAATGGGTATGCTGGATGTGTTCCTCCGTTGATAGACCAGTCATCGACCACTTGCTCGGAGAATTGGAAGAATGGAGCCCGGACGTACGGGCTGAACGAATATTGACCATAGGTATACGCAGAGCACCCTGATGGAGATACCTCGTTGGCAACAATGGAGAATATAGCGTATGTCATTGCAGGGCCGTTTGGCGATTGTTTCGCCGCATACTAGTTATGTATTGTTAGTTAATAGTTTGCTGATTGGAGGTAAAAGTAGGAAAGCACATACGTAGTCTAGGTCACGCAGAGCGTTATCATGCGTGTAGTCTTCGGTATAGCGCAATGGGAAGGTGTTTAGAACGATATCTGCCTGCTTCACCTGCGTGCTACCGTTCATTGTTGTATACTCCAACGTTATTTGAGATGCTGGGTCTCTAGATACTTGCACATTTTGTGCTATCTCACTCCAGGTCTGGTTCGCCCCGAGACCAAACATTTCCCGGAACTGGTTGGCATACTTCAAGGTGGTTGCAATTAGAGGCATTGTGTAGCCGCCACCGTCAACCAAATTGGCAAATTCATCCTGTAACCAGTCAGTATATAATGTTAGTAAAACAGGGTAGATAAGACAGAATCAACACACCGGGTCCGTCATGTTGGTTACTGTCCATTGCGTCCCGTTCTTCTCTACCAACTGCGAAAAGAAAGTAGCAATAGAGTTGTACACTGGGAAGAGTTTCGACTTGAAGTATTCTGTATCGCCAGTTGTAACCCAGTTGTTGACAATCTGCATCCCGATGTCACCATTCAAATGATACTGGTAGTCAAAGCAAGGACCCGTAGCTGTGCATTTGCCAAATCTGCCACTCGTCCAGGGGTATACAGCAGCGTCCGGCGAGAAATAAGTTTTTTTTTTGGAGGAGAGGTCTTGGGTCTGAGCATTTCTCAGTGCCTGCCCGTACTTGTCCACTCGGTAATTGGAGAATATCTGCGACGCTTCAGGGAACGCTACCACAAGGCCCGGCTGCATCCATATATCCGCATCCCAGAATATCAATCCGCCATATGAATCAGAAGTCAGTCCGCCAACCGCGATACTGCCGCGGTTAAGAGGCGCGTTCTTCACTGCGGTCAGAGCATTGTGGCTGGCAGTTGATTGCAGCAGGTAGTAAGGATTCACCACGGATACAATTGATGCCTCGATAATATGGTGGTCTAGTGGCAGCCATTTCTTCCCGGGAATTGTATAGTCCTCTGTAGAGTCACTGGGGAATACGGTAGTCCATTCAGCAATATGGGTCTTTAGGCTCTCTTCGTAGCCTGTCCGCAGTGCCCTTGCCGACGCATCTTTCGCGGCCTGTCTAGGGTTTTTGAACTGGTCCGTGGTCGCAGCGCCAACAAACTTGTCTATCTTTGTAGTCTGACCTGCACGCAGCTTAACATTCACACTTTGGGCAATGGTAGACCCGTTCGTATGAAGATATGGCTTATCGTTAACGAGCGATGATGACGACAAGTTCACGCCTTCGGTACCGGACATTTCAGCATAGATAAATGCAGTGACATTGCTGATACCCTCAGGATTCACAGAGGTATAGATAGCACCTCCATCTTGGCCTGAGCCCTTAAAATCGGTTCGGACTGCGGAGTATCCATCGATAACGTTCACCACACTCACATTTCCGTCTTTGGATGGAGTAATTTCCATGCGCACGAGTGCTTGGTTGACATGTAGTTTATGAGCTACCAGCTGGTAGAAGATGTCATACGTTCCATTGTGCTTTTCTGGGCTCCAGGTATACTGCCAGGTGAGTATTCCACCCTTCATGTCAAGGGTGGAGGTGAAGTTTGAGATGGTTGAATTCTGGACAGTGGCATCGAGAAAGTTGCCGTCACCAAGATCCAAGATTAACCCCGACCAGTGCGGAACACCACTGATAAGGTCGCCTCCATATTTGTTCAGCCACGGGAAATTTGTTGCGTTGATGCTCTGTTGGAAGCTGTAGAAATCAGAAATTGTAGCAAAAGTCTGTCTGCGAGAAAACACGGGCCATCCATTGATCACATCTCCAGACACGGGGACGTCCAGTTCAAAGAACGGCCCGACAGCAGCAACATTGATGCCCAGGTATCCGTTTGCAATAGATCCTCGAGACTGATAGTGGCCCTGGTCAAGCTCGGTGGTCGTCAACCTCCAGTTGGCAACATCCCAGGTGACACCTTTGAACCGGGTGGCATAAACAGGCTGTTCACTGCCAGAGCTTCCCTTCTTCAATGCTGAATTCCGGGCAAACACGCCGGCATTCCGTTCAGCATCAGTCTCTGCTGTAACTGCCGCTATTATTAACAGCAGCCACACTATGCCTGCAACAAGTCTCTATTCAGCCACCAGTTAGAACATGATTCTCAATCTCAATCGCGTCCTGCTGAAGGCGTAACCAAGCAAAGCTCGACTAACTAGTTGGTTACATGTAGTTAACTCACAATATTCGGTTTTCCCATGTTTTATAGACACCTGCCAACTTTCTTTCTCTAGGTGTTATCGAGATACCATCGACGCAGAGAGGCGGGAGGCGGGATCCTTTATATTCACCGCGATACGAAATCTTGCGGCAAGGAAGCCCTGGAAGTGGCACGCAGCGTGCCGACACAGGAATGTTACGCTACCTTAGCCGTCCATTTCTGGCTCAATGATGCAGTGGAAGAAGAATACGGCACAGGAACTGGCATCATCTCATTGGCACCGACCCGGATTTTCGTTTCTTTTTCTTCGTCCATGGATGCTTCTTTGCTCTTCCCAAGTTCCCACACAGCATGAATGACGTAGTTGACTGGGACCGCGCCATGAAAGCGAGTCGCCGAGTTGGTGATGTAACTACTCCGTGCCTTAGCTAACTAACAGGTAGTTACTAGTTAGTTAGTTGAGGCGTCTCTCTGTTGGTTATCCTTATTTGAACACTCGAGAGCCGCAGAGTTGGTGACTCGATGCTGTGTTCGTTAGAAGAAAATAAAGCGACAAGACGTCGACTCTCTGACCTTTTTGACAAGGATCTGCAAAGTTGCTTTTTTCCTCTGCAGCTTCCCCGCTAGATATTCAACTAGTTACTTAACTAACCAGCCACCAAAAGGTGCTTGGGTTTGCCTGAATAATAGCCCTTGGGGATAAGGATATCTCCAAACCGTCGACAGGGGTAGGGAATGCTAGGTATAGCTCGTATGCGCTCGTGGATGTTTGGTCACTGGAAGACTGCAGAGAGTTATCCCATGGCCTGTCCTTGCTCTACTTCTCGGTTTGCTGTCTGGTCCAGAATACGAAAGGTCCCCCGGTAACACAGGCAAATATCGATGCTGCGAATAGCGAGATCATACGGTTGAAACAAAGCCATCAACAACGCGGTTGCCCTCAGGGGGATTCATCGTGCTATTTGTAATACCCCGGAGATAATAATAAGCAGGACGCAGCCGTTATCTGCTACTTTGTTATGGCTGTTTTGCTTACTCTGCTCGTGTACCGAGTACAAATGACGGTTCTATTCTTCGTGGGCTGATACAGCTGCCGTCTCCTGATCGCGAAGCACCAAAGGACCATCACGGCCCAGGTGAGTCTCTTATCAGACGTTAAAATTAGCCATCTTTGTCTATTCGGGTAGCTAGGATATCCTATAAACGGTCATACGCATTAGTTATGGACAATTCCTCCATAATTTAGGTTGTGGATTTCTTAGTTACCGAGCCGTTGCACTACCTCGGAAGAGTTGCTAGAACAATTACGAAGTAAACCAAAGGATAATAATGCTCGTATTAGTTTATATAGTTGACGCCTTTGAACCAGTGTGAAGAACTAGTGCAAATAAAGGAAAATCCGTTCTTCATCCCCAACTACAAGACCCTGGCTGTTCTATCTTCCCCAAATCCTTGATTGCAGTCATCACCACAATCCGCAACTGAACAGCTTGGCGAAAATGTGGCTTCTAAACAGCAAGAGTAGCACCCCGATACAGTGATCGCGAGGTTATCTGAGCAGGTAGGAGGGTCAGTTTAAGAGTCGCACTTTAGTAGGAATCTCAAGAATCAGAAAATTTCCAATTTATTGAGGATTGGCGTCTTATACTTACGATAAAGGGGGTGTTTAAACCCCTTGGTGTCCCATTTCGGTTCCACCGTACTTGGAATTGGCAATCGGGTGCTCTGGCATGGAAGGCGCATCCTTGCCTTTGCCAGGGCAATTATAGATTCCGCCGTAAGTGGTGTTCATCCAGCCTCCGCAGTTAGGACAACGATTGGCCATTCTGGTTGGTGAAATAGTGGAGCTTGAAAGTAACGACTATAAAAAAGATGTTTTTAGAAGGAAAGGTAGTAACCGAAGTATATCAAATTCTGAACTTGTTCAATCGGATGGGAAATGGCTTGCAATTGTTTTATGTTATATTAGAGCGAGTATCAAGAGTCAAGCAAAGAGACAAGGACGGCCTTTTATATCTTCATCCACGTTGATAATCGAGCCCATGGCTGATCTTTGCTGCCTGGCCTCGAACCAACGCCGCAGCTCGCTCTTAGATGCTAGAGGAGGCTTCGAAAAGGCAAGGCAGATGAGCAAGTAGGCTTTGCTACCTATGCAAAACTGTAGCGATAATTAGGCAGAACATCTACATCCCCCATACAATATGCCTTGTCACAATTGACTCAGAATCAATTGGGGCAGCCGTTCTTGAGAAATTTAATGCATACCCTAGTAAACAGCCTCACATTTCAAAGCCCAGTGGGCTGTGCCGCATAGACAACAGGCAACAATATCGACCACGGATAGAGGAAAGAAACAGCGTGGGCAACCCTGGGCTATGTTCTGGTCACCATTCTGTGCCGTTGTTGTTTTCGCTTGTCTCTTTTTCAACTCTGGGCCCCTTGTCTCTCTTCTCAAAACCTGACAAATTCCCAGGTGACGTCAACAAATCTCGGGACATTGGGCTATGAGACTAGAGGGCAAACACGGCCTCTCTACCCCATGCCTACTGTGAAACGGCTGAGCAGAAAGAGTAAGCCTAAACTAGTGGTCAGCAGGATGAAGCTGTATCTTTGGCATGCAAGTCGTACTGCGGAAATAGATGACTAATCTAAAAACAAACATCCAAAAGAGGACATCCGGCGCGTAAAAAGGGAGGGTTGGGGGCCAATCACAACCAGCATAGGTGTGGATCGCGGCCAAACCTCAAGGTAAAACGAGTTGAGGCTCTTTTACAGCCACCCTTTATAACGAGTTAGTTAAAGCAAACACAAACCAACACCACTTCCACATTTACAGGAGAGCAGCAGGCCTCACCCTCACTTTATTCACCCAGATATACCGTAAGTGGCCTTCGCGATGAATCCCTACGAGGCAGATCCAGCTAAGATCCCAGAGACGGATCGCTTCGCAGACGTCCCGCTGTATGGCCGCTACTATCCCAGGCCAGACGACTTCAAGCCTGACAAGAGGCACTGCAACTCTACCACGCCTGAATCGCTGGCGTACTGGGAAGAGGTGCTGAAGCTGTGTGATACCACAGTCCGAATCTACGAAAACACAGACGGAGGTCGCGATGTTTTTGCCCTGGAGGTGTGATTGTTAAGTCGAGTCATCTCAAGACAGAGCTCAAGGGAAGACGTGCATGCCGCGATTACTCGCTGGCTGATGCGAATGAGGTCAAAGCTACCGCGCTGGTTAAGGGGATTGTGAAGGATATAGCTATCCCAGAGATATATTTTGCTGGAAAGGTAGGCCCCCTTTTTTTCTTGTTTTCTACCGTTCGTCTTGGATATATTTGCTCTTTTCCTGGCTGGATCCGACCTAACGACGGTGAATGGCAGATTAATGGCCAGGCTGTCCTGGTGCAGTCGCGTATCCCAGGTGTTGGATTGAATATTGCTTGGCAGTATATTGGAGCGGACAAGAAGGCATCGTTCAAGCAGCAGGCAAGGGACTTTCTGCGCCTTTTGAATGCCCAAAAGTCTCCCTTTCCTGGGCCATCATACGTTGTCCCGGACTCAAAGCCAACGGCTCACCGAGGGATTCAAGATAAGGAAGCTGAGATCCTGTTCCAGAATGCTGATGTCAGCGATTGTGGGCTAATGCACAATGACCTGACTCATTCAAACATCATTGTCGATAACGATAAGATTGTCGGCGTCGTTGACTGGGAGATGGCGGGTTATTTTGGATGGGAGAGGGCTGCCAACGTTCACCTGTCTATTAGGTCATTGACAAGAGAATGTTTCGCACACTTGGATCTCGACGAGGAGTTTCTATTAGACATCATATACTGGAACGATCTGTATGACACGGATCACTGAAGTGTCAATAACTTGCCCATGTTAGGGTTTAGACCTGCCAGACTTTTCTCGTTCGTCTCATGTTCTTTTGTTTTGTTTTCTCCCCCTAACATTAACTAAAACAGACTTGGGTATTCAGGTTTAAAAGCGTAGTCACAAGTACTCAGATAGTTCAACGACGAGTAACCAATTGATGGCCTATTATTTGGATTCAAATGCATGTAGTGATGATAGGGCCGCAGAGAGACCTGGAGGTCAATCGTCATCCTCCGCCGCTCGAGCGGCCGATGGTCTCGGTCTCCCCTGTGGCTGTTGCGCGGTGATTGCACTCTCCCACAAGTAATCTCCGGTCCAGTCAGCTTTACAAACGGGACAAACTTTAGCTTGCTGCAACCTGAAGAAAGTTGCGAATGCAATTCTGGTACAGACGACCTAAACATTTGCGCGTCGAACATCGTTGGCCTAGTAAACGCGTAAGTGTCATGGTAAGGATTGAGAAAGAGCCAGGGAAAAATATCATACCACTGTGATAATCTCTTGGCATGCAAAGCATGTCTTTATCTTGTTGTTTCTGGGAGTGTCCCCGTTCTCATCTTCTTCGTCATTATACGTATCGACCAGCCAGCCTCGAAGCTCCATCAATGCTCGGGGTGAGAGGCTATAGTACGCCTGCCGGCTCTTTTCTAGCCACCCTTCGGATACCAGGCGGCTCAGCATGTCTTCGGCCTCCCTCATGCTCAATGGCTGGGCGGCACCACTCTGAGGGGCAGCCTCTGACTGTCTCCGACTGGCATTCGTTACCGTGCGGGCAAGTCTAACGGCTTCAATGGACGAAACGACCATGGCTTCGCAGCGAAGGGTGTTATTCGATTCGAACATGGCATCGAGTAGCCGCTTGACATAGGCGATCTCATCCGCGCTGTACGTCGTGGCAAGCTGCATCAGCGGGTCACTGGTGGTGTTGATGAGGGCGTACACACGCGACTGCTGTGTCTGGTGAGCAGTGCTGCGTATCTCAAAGTCAAAGGCCGATATGGCCGTGTTAATGGCAGCTATGTATGTATTCAGGTCTGTTTGTGTGATGTCTCCCGGCAAGATTTCTCTCCCTTCTACGGATCCACCGCGGTTAGCACGAGTATATCAACCCATTCACGCTGACAGCGTGGGTTGAAAGCAGCAAGGGAGCAAGGGCATATATACCGCTCACGGTGAAGATGGCAGAAAGCACGGGCCTGGCCTCCTCCAGCGTCATGGTCGATCGCGCCATAAACGCCTGCAAAAACGCGCGGTGGCTGTCGTCGTACCCTGACATCGTGAAAGCCCTGACTCGCGTGCTATGGACATTCTCCTCATCTCCTTCGTCTGTGAAAATATATCGATTGCAGCTTATGATAAGCTGTGTACGTGCAGTTTTTAGCGCGAAACTGTGATGACTCAGCAAACTATAACTAGTTAACTATCATAAGCGCCACGAGCATCCACAACCAAAAGTCGCGAGAGTTAAAATCAAGACGGGGCTTCGAGAGCCCAAGCTATGTGATTACAGATACCAAGCCTCTAATAGCTAACCCACCAATGTCGCCCACCTATAATGAAGTCACACCCATTGAGGACCGGCTTTTTAACCATATACAAAACAAACCTGTGATAACCCATGGTCTATTGAGCGATATTTAGCGTGCCGCCTACTCAAGGAAAACAGCATATCATGCTACCTCTGGGCTGAAGATGCTTTAGCATACTATGGAGTGCTCAGGGGCGTCTTCGACATACATATTGTTGAGGATGATATCAAGTACGCAGCAGATGCAGTTATTGAAAGAGGCTGGCACCCTCTACCCTACCTTCTGACTTTAAAGCGCGGTACGCCGATATTAAGGAGGCAACTTGCTATCTAGTCGAACCACAATGTAAGAGTGCGGGCCTTTTTGACTCTGTGGTTGCTCTTACCGCAGCCTCTTATTGGGATATCAAGCTTCCAGACATTACCACACAGAAAAGCTGGCAGTCCCAGACAACTGCCGAATGGCCCTACATCGACTTCTAGATTCCTTCGTCCAAAAATGGCTAGATACTTCAGATGCGCACTATTTTTTCTGCGGCCGTATAAACTGCGTGCTCCCACCGGCAAATCATGGATGAATTATATGCTATCCAGCCCGTAATTACTGTTGTCTTAAGTGCTGTGATTATCGCAGCTATTGTTCTGAACACCCTTCTTCATATTCTACTAAGGAGCATTAGTTGCAGTTCGTGTTTATAGATGACTCAAACTTATGACACAAGGTGGTTTCATTTATTGTTAAATAATCTTACTTCGAGCATTTAGTTTTTCGATATTTGCATTCAAACTCTGATCAGCCAAGATTGACTGGCATTTGCATTGAGTACTCCGTATGAACGCCTGCAAGAAAGCGCAGTGGCTGTCTCCTGACATCGTAAAAAGTCCTGGGTTTCTCACACATTCATTTTCCCTTCTCCTCGGCCTCCTTGGCCTTTTGCAGCTCAACAAGGAGCTTAGGATAACGCTGAGTCAGCGTTTTGTAGATGGGGCTCGGTGAAGATGGCAGCCAGCACGGGCCTTGCCTCCTCTAGCGTCATCGCTGACCGCGCCATAAACGCCTGCAGAAACGCGCGGTGGCTGTTAGTGTACCCGTCCCCTGGCATCGTAAAAGTCCTGGCTGGGTTCTCACACATTTATTCTCCCTTTTCCTCCGCCTCCTTCGCCTTTTGTAGCTCCACGAGTAACTCAGGATAACGCTGAGTCAGCGTTCGATGGATGGGCCCCCACTTGACCCCATTCTCCTCCTTGGTCCCGTGCCCAAAACAGTGCACCAGGGTGTTCCGCTGCCTGGTCATTTTCTCTATGTCCCTATAAACCCCGGGATACTTATCCTGTGTCTTCTTACTTACCCCGTTCAGATTCTCAACGACGCTCACCATTTGCATGGCGAGCGCCCCAGCAGCCATGTGGGTTGGAGAACCCTGCTTCGCTGCCTGCAACACCTTTTCATAGGTTAGCACCCTAGCCACCTTGTTAACAAAACATGGGCCGGTGTCACAGTTACGTACCTTCAACGTCAGGTTGTGCTTGCTCGCAAGCTTAAAGAAGACATGACGCCCTTACGGACCGCGTCGAAGCGTTGTACAAGTACTCCATAGGTTTGAAGCCATCTTGTTTCGTGATTCACCATATGTTTTTGTCAAGAAAGTCGATGGTTTGATTGAAGATGCCATTTGTGGGTGCCAAAATAGGCGTGGGTGAGGCTGACTAACCAACTTAATAGTTCCATTGCCAACAATATAGTTAACAAGTCTCCTGCGTCAATAAGCGCGGGCTCGCCTTTTGGGTCAGCCATTTGACATGCATATATTTGACAGAATTCTTACAAAAGATCGTACGTCGTTCTGTCAACAGAGAAATGTTGTTAGAAATATCCCCGGGTTGACTTGACCTCTACTCCTGCTACTTTAGGCATATATACCTATTACGGAAGTCGCGATGTTCTCATCGATGTTGCCTACACTAAGCTACTAGCCAGCTGCCTAGTTGGGTTGATTTGCGAGCTCCTTGAGGGTGGATCGCCCAGGCTTGCAGCCTCTTGATATATTGTAGGAGGAGAATTTGATAGCTACCTACCTAAATACCTAGGTCGCTATATCTCGAAGATGTCGTCTGCGAGCTCAAATAACTAACTAACTAGTGAATTGGTTAGAGCTGTTAACTATATAATTGCAAGGTAGATTTTGACACGCAGTAGCTACAATTACCCTGTCTACTTATTTGACTACGTAGTGGATTCGGATAGAAAAGCTCGCCCATATCAAGCAGGATAAGGATGCTCAGTTTGTACTCTCTGTCCGAGCGAGTGATTGAAGATGCTCACTCCGCGGAATTGTGTCTTCGACGCTTGCTATCACAGACCTCTCGATCGCTTTGCCTACATTGTCCAACGTCCCTCTACCCGAAGCTGTGGCGAGTCTCCAGAGAGACCCCCATAACTGAGCCGACTGGCCAGTACCACACTTCAGCTGTGACAAATGTGACAAATGGCCCTTCCTAATTCTTCCGATTTGTCTTCGTACACGGTCGTAGTCATCGTGCTGGAATAACCCGTGGAAAGGGTGGGACGAATCCACGTCAATAAGGTCTCTATCGATTGTATCGAGCACGGCCATAATACGTTCCAAAACATCTGACGGAAATGAAAATCCGAAACAAATTCCTAGATGGTCCATCAGCACATGGAGATCGTAGGTCACTGAAGTATGCCGCTTCGTACCTCTCGAGACTTCTCCCGAACAGCAGCAGTGATATCGTTTATATCACGCACAATAGATTTGAAACGCACCAACCCGTTTTCCAAAATATCCCGCCATTGCCGACGCACTCGCACTATCACAGGGTCGTCATCTGATCCAAAAATCGTCCTAGAGCATAAGACTCGAAAGACGGCCCAAAAATACGGTACTTCCTTGGTGTCGAACTCCTCGACCAGAGCCTTTCGGCCCCATGCCACAGGGAGAGCCTCACAAAGAGCCCGTGATAATCCGGGCCGTCCCTCCGGGTCATCTTCCTCGGGCTCGTGGAGAACGGTCACGTCCAGTTCACTATAATCGTTCTCCTCTCCCACAGCGAAGTCACCGGATACCCCTGCCCATATTACTCTTGGAATGTTTTGTCTTAAAACTGGAGCAGCTGCGGCCTTGAGCATAGACAAATCTGTTGCTACAGGGCGGGGCGTTGTAGTTGTCTCTGATGGTATCCCATAGCCTGATACTCCCCTCAGCTGCTGGGCCCCCAGGTAACAAGGCCACCCGCGTCCAAAGCCAGGGCATGTCCGACGGATCGGGACGGACGAGTGCCGCATGGCCATGTTGCGTATTCTGTTCATGGGGTATATTTACTCCTATATCTATTAAAATATGCGAGAAGTTATATTTCAGAGATAAACATTATAAGAATCATGACATTGGATAATAGACGGCTTAGGATAATACAGAATATTTGCCAGGGATGTGTGTAACAAACTTCGAAAAAGTGACGTCACTGGCAGCCCTAAAACCCGTTGTCGTTTGTTAAGCTTAACTAGCTAACTAACTAGCTGGTGTTTTCAGGGGTGAAAATAATTATCCAACACAACGGCTGAGCCAAAACAGTGAGCTTAAATTAGTGGTAAGTGTATATTTGACACCTCTCAGACAGAACGCTGAAGACGCAGAATATGCATTGTTAAGACATTAAAGCTTGCTGCGAGTCACATCTGCTTCGAAACCAAGTCCGCTCACGTCGGCACTTGGTTTCATGCCAGAGATCATCTCTGCCATAACCTTGCCCGTCCCCAGACTGAGCGAGATTCCCCAAGGGCCATGCCCGGTGGCCATGAAAAGTCCACCAGAAACCCGGCCTGCGTCCCCTGTAATGGCATCTCGCAGACGGGCAACAATCGGCAACCCGGACTCTATATACGGGCGGAAGCAGAGGGCCTCTCTGACCACCTCGAGATCGTCGACGTTTTCTCCGCCCTGGTCTGCCTGAGGGCGACCCATCAGGATGCGAGCTGCCTCTCGCACACGGGCTAATTTGTCCTTTGTCATGAGAGAGTGAGCATCAGTGGCTACCTCCGGCAGTGGGATGTCTAGCCCGTTCAAGCCAGCAAGATATATTTCCGCATTGGTTCGAGAGAATACTTCCGGGCTGAACCCACAGGACTGCGGATGAGTGGTGAATACTGCGTGACTTTTCCCTCCGTAGACTTCCTGCTCCTGGCTGAGAGTATGGCGAGGCGACCGGAAGACGAGAGAATATCCGGACAGCGACAGCACGGGAATATGGGCTCTGGAAAGTGGGAAGAGAGAGCTGAAGGCCCGCGGAGTCCATGGCCCAGCAGCAAAGACAATATTAGTGCATGGAAGGCTGCGTTTTGCGTGAGTCCTGGTATCTTCTATGACCACCGCAGATATCACGCCCAAGCTTGAGTCTTTGGTCGTGGATATAGCCCTGGCCGGATTGTGGACCTGTACGCCTCGTTCAATGCATCTGGCCAGCATAAATTTGCACAGATGTAGGGGGTCTCTGCAGCATGTTTCTCGGTTAGATGGCCCATGTCTCTCTTATGATAACTAGTTAAATGGCAGCTTGCGACTAATGACTTGACTGACACTTGTGCAACGGAGTCCTTGTTACTGATCCTTTCTACCGTACCGCCTTTCTGTCTCGTCAGCCATGTGGGCGACGGGTCCTGTTCGTCTGCCATAGATGCATCGTCGACCTTGTCTTTGGCCGCAGCTTCAGCCCGGCTTGCCCCTCGACGAAGCCAGTCATCGCCTCTCGCACAACCATCCCGTCCAGACCCTCAACCTGGAGACTCAATGCGATACTCGGCATGTATCCCCATTTAGCTGCTCCATCGTGCTCGGCGGCGAGTTGCTGATGCAGACCAAAGGACAACTCTCCCAGCTGTTCTAGCTCTGGAGCATACCAGTCTCGAGCGATGAACCCCGCTGCATACCCTGATGCGCAGGAGAAAAGCTCCCCAGATGAGTCGACGATGTGGATCTCTCCCGGATGATTCCTCTGTATCTCCGGGTCGGAAAGGAAATACGCAATGGAAACGCCAATGATTCCGCCGCCAATTATAACGGTCGACATGCTGCTGTCTTTGAAAACTCGCCGGGCGATGGTGGTCAACCTGACCAACCCAGCCACCACCTATTAACTAGTTATTATATACATCTTTTTCGCAACGTCCACGGCTCGCTTCTACGCTATTCTACTACCCCACAGTCTCATGACTCACTTTGCCGAGCCGGAGAGGAAGGAAAAGTTGGAGTATGAAAACTTGGTGATTTCCTGCTGGCGGGCGTCTAGACCATTGAGCTAGCTACTGGGTAAGGACGGAGTACCGAAGTTATAGTTAAGAACCTCGGTAAACTACCTAGTTAACTATTTGAGTTCACCCGGGCATTCGTCCGAGAACGTCCCGGCCCAAAGGCCCAGCCTTGAACCCAAAGAGGGAAAGAAAAGAAAACTCAAGACATCGGCGCGCCATCCTTTATATAATGTGCGAATGGATCGTTCCTCCAGTCCACATTGCGCACGTACTCCATCCCTTCGCTCACTTGGTTGCTCAGCACCGTCCCGTACACGGCGTCGAGAAATGCAAACATCAAGTCGATACCCGCCGACACTCCCGATGATGTCCAGATGTTCCCGTCAGCCACCCATCTCGCCTCAGGCACCCATTTGACGTTCGGTCCATGCTTGATAACCCTGTTGTACACCTGCTTGTTGGTAGTCGCATGTCGTCCATCTAATATACCCGCTTGTGCTAGCAGTTGAGAACCGGTACAAACGGTCAGGATGTACTGCAGGCTTGGATATGTTTTCTTGATGAATTCGATTGCTGGGCCAATGTCAGGGCTGTCGGTTCCATAGCCGCCAGGGATAAGCAGCACGTCGAGCGGCGGTGCGTTTTTGAATGTATGCGTGGGCAGGATGGATTCCCCAAACGTAGATCCGAACTTGTTTATCTGTGCAGACCGGACCTGGGTTGAGACTGGATCCATTGTTTCGGCGATGATGGACAGATTCAGCTTTCGAGCCAGTGAGAACAGGTTCAGTGCGTCGAGAGGGCCAAAGACGTCTAGCGACTGGAATTCGGGGAAGAGCAGCAACCCAAAGTTCGATGGAAGACCATCACCGGCTGTTGGTGGTGGTAGAGGTTGTGAGGTATTATTAGACAGGGCTTTGACTGTCGTGACAGATGCTGCCAGTGCGCAGATAGCAGAAGTTATGAACCGCATTTTCAATGCCCCGGGGAAGTCCTGTTTGGCTGGTGATTCAAACTGTTATACGCAGTCTCTCTCTCTTCCCTGGAAGAAAAGCAGCTGTCTTTTATATCCTGCTGCCCCAAACGACGACGTTTGCCTGCCAAACCCTATGCGATAAAGATTGACCATCCTAGCAGTCCTTGCTCCCCTTTCACCGCAATCGTACTCCGATCCGGATCGCCGATAGGGATTGAAGCTCCACACTCCTTTCAACATCAGAAGCTGAGATGATGAAGTCCGCATCCACGACTGGTGGATATATGCCCGCATCCGTCTTTGTTTCGCGACTTGTCCAACCAATACGGCCATCTCTATGAGACATTCCTGGTAGTTTCAGTTCCAGAAGCACCTTTTCCATTAAACTTCATGCTGACTGGTGACAAAAAGATTATGCTCAATTTCCCGTCAGCTGTATGACCAAAGAATGTGTCGGAGGGCGGATTGAGGCATATCCGTTCCATTATTCTTCGTGTATTCTTCCACATCAACGCCCTCCAAGGCCGAATGGCAGGTGAGCATCCGCCCTTCCCACACTTGAGCATCCGTCTAGGGCGCGCCTTGGTGACTGAGCTGAGTTGGCGAACAAGCTAAGGTGGCTCCCTGTGAAATACATTATAATGAAACCACGCGCAGGGACAATGTCAATTCCATCCATTAAACCCAATACTTTAAATACGTGATCAACAGCAATACGCCCAACCCCTACGCCGATCCCTCTCGATGGTCAACACTGTAGGTGGTTAATGAAAAACATGTTGAAGGTCAGCTACAAAATATCATATGATAAGTATAACTTTCTATATCAATAACTAACAAAGAAAGTGCTAACTTGGCTTATATTTAGAGCAATGCAGTGGACTCGGCTAGTTGGATAGTTACCCGGTTTAACGAACGAAGTCTAGAGCATGCAACGAACGACTACCACGCACAGTTAACTCGTTACACGTCTGATCTTCACCCTCAAAAAAGCAAAATAATCGACTTCCTAACGAGTTATTTATCTAAGTGTTATAGCTTTCCGGGCTCTTAAGCATGCAAGGCTGAAATGTCAGTTAAATTATCATCCCTGCGGAGAGTATGCAGCTTCGCCCAGGCTCTTCTGTTCGCCACCAACGGGGTTTTCCCCCCAATGGCCTGATTGTGTCTTTTATCCTACCTATACGGAGTATAAGCATGCCCGTCTAACATCTGTTCAAAAGACTGGCTGTTTTGTCGTGACTGAAGTAGATATCAGATTGCGTGATTTACAACTTAACAACTAGGCAACTGATTACTAGACGCCAAATACCTTTATAGCTAACCATTTCAGTTACTTTTCTGTCCTAGCAGGGGTTGCTACATCGCCTCAGCAAGGCAGGCTCAACTCAGCCGCATGGAGAAGGGGGCTGCGTTATCCATTGTCTGTCGCCCATTTCTCCTTCTCCGCGGGCTCGAGAATATCTGCCTGTTTGTGAAGTTGAGCGAACAGCCACTTCGCTGCCTGTTCGCCTGGTCCCGTCCGTTCGGGCTGGGCAAGGCTACGAAAAATCATGAAACTATCTCGCAAGTTAACTCGTTACGGAGTGGCTGCCGCCATGGCAAAGGTGATTGGGAGCGATAAACGACCAAGTTTGCTCTATATCATAAAACTAACTCCCTTTTGATAGATTGATAGCGACTAGGCGAGAGAGTCGTGGTATTTAAATACGCTCTATAGTCTCCCAACGAATACCCCAGATTCAAATAATTATCTAGTTGCCTGTATAAACCGCCAATCTCGCAACAATTCCATGCTTAACTAGTTAACTAGTCATGGCGAAAGGTTGGTTGGTGCTCTCCACCGAATGGAAACTCGAAGACGTACAGGCTGGTCTGAATGTAATCATTTCTGTCATTTGCGTCCTTGCAGCATGGACTACTTCCCGGTTCTACTGGCAGAAAGGGGCAACAACGTTTTTGAAGACGCGGAATGCAAAAATGCCCTCGCTGCTGACGTTCTCTACCCTGGGCGAAATCATTGATATTATACAAACCTTCAGACGGAGCCTCCTATCCTCCCACCATTCCCGTATCCTCATCCAATGTGTTATCATCGCAACATTCTCAATCGCTGCGTTACTTTCTGGTCCAATCTCTAGTTTTTCGACAAGGGAGTCGTCCAGAATATATACAGTAAACGTGGATGGCTTTCTTACGACAACACATCACGAGAGCATTACATCTGCGATAGTTGATTGGAATCAGACCCTGCACAAGCTGGACAGGGCATCATTTCCACCTGACCAATTACTCGATTTCCTACCCGCCCCTAACTATGACTGGCGTTATAATGGTGGCCAATGGAACTCAACTTGGACCGCAGAATGCGAGTTCGTAGAGCCCGCTCCCGTCCCTCTAACATCCTTCGGCGACCTCAATGGTTTGACTCTGTTTGACCAAATACCCGGCCTGCTTACAATTGTTCCTTCTTGGTTTAATGACACCTCAACTCGTCGAGTCCATTGGGTTAGCAGCGGTTTCTATGACCAGCAAAACCGATACAAGGACCTCTTCTTATTCATCTTTGGAACCCGGAATAATAGCATCATAGCTCCAACGCAGATTAACATCTCAGTCTCTTGTGTTCACCTGCATAATTCTCCGAGGCCAACGCAGGAGACTGAGGCAACGTGGGCAGCAGGCCCAATAGAACTGGCTGTTTATTCTCAAGCGAATTGCCGCCTCACCTACTCCCGGCCAGCGACCGACGAACTCCACAGAGCATTCCCGTGGACAAATTCCACTAATCAAATAGTCGCAGCATATGGAGACTATTTTCATGCAGATTTGGTCAAGAGATCGACGTCCGGTCAACCAATACAGCCGCCATCCAGCCGGGTCTTGTTTCAATTCTACCAAGCATACCATATCACGAAGGACATTCAGTACGTACATAAGATATCACGCCCTATTGATGTTTCCCAACGCACTGTCGAGCTTTCCATTGTCTTTCTAGCAATTTTCATTCTCCTCACGATTATAATACTTGCGCTGGTCATTCGTTACTTGTTGTTCTGTCGACGCTATCACTCCGGGATAAATCCCATACCCGACTCCAGGTTGGATTGGATGCTGCAGTCCATAAAAGAAGCCTCGGTTTACGCTAGTAACCCTGACTGGCAAGAGGGTAAACCGTTGGGCACATACACACACCTGAGGCATGACCCCATCCCAAGACTTGAAGCAGCAGTGTACGCCGATGAGGGTATTATTATTCCATCGTGATATGTTTGACCAATAATATTCATAATACCTGTGCTTGTGGCATCCATTTTATATAGTCCTAGCATTTCGGGTCAGATGGGTCATTGCATGTCGAAGGAGCTGGAGCTAAGTTTACGACCATGTTTGGCTATGTAGTTAATTTGTTAACTAGCTAGTTATTTAGTTAACTAGTTACTTGCAACCGGAAATGAGTGTAACTTATGAATAAAAACCGTGCAACAACAACAGCTTTTCCACCATTCAATCTACACGGAACTCTTCATTGGCCCTGGTTGCGTCAAATATAGCTTGCGATAAAGATGCCGCAATTTTCCAAGATACCATTATCTTTTCAAGGCTTTCGTAGGGCCTCGCGGGCTTTTTGCCCACTGGCTCATTAGGCCGTTCCTGCAATGCTCAGAATTTTAAAGTTGACACGCAAAATAGCAAAGGTTTGACATCAGGTATTTAGCAATTAGTTATCATCTGAGCTAACCTATGCCAGCAGACTGGAACTCATGCGATGACTTATTTTCCTTTACGCGTGGCCGTTTTGTTTTAGCCAAAGCAGACCAAATTGCACGCCGCTACGTCAGATTCAACATGAATGAACTTATTCGGATTGCAGCTCAATCAGTAGGGGCCGAAACTTGCGTTAATGTACACAAATGCCCCGATGGCATGTATAATAAATGTTTTGTCTTGACTATGGATGATGGGCAGGAGGTTATTGCTAAAGTCCCCAACCCCAATGCTGGCCTCCCGCGTCTCACTACAAGTGAGGTGGCTACGATAGACTTTGTAAGAGCCTCTTTGATCATTCTCCTTACCATATCTATAATGGCTAATTCTTGTAGGCTCGCAATGTACTTGGAACGCCAGCCTTAAAGGTGTATACTTGGGATTCCAGCACAAGCAACCCCGTCGGTGCTGAATACATAACCATGGAAAAATGCCTGGCGTCCAGCTCAGACAAGTTTGGGGCAGCATGGAGCTTGTCGAGAAGATGAACCTTTGCCTTGACGTCGTTCGATATCAGTCTGCCTGGCTTTCCGTGGCCTTCTCACAGTTCGGAGGGCTGTATTATACCCGAGATATTCAAAATTTCAACTCACAACAAAAAGGTCACCTTTATATTGATGAGAATGGTAACAAAGTGCAGAACAGTCGCTTTACAATAGGCCCTATTACAAGCCGAGAATGGCTCGACCATGGGAGAGCCGACTTAGAGTGTGATCGTGGACCATGTGAGCAAACTTATTTCGAACTATCAAATAGACGCGGCTGGTACTGACGGGTGCCCTTAGGGAAGTCTGTTTATGGCTACTACAAAGCAATAGGACTTCGAGAGAAGCTGGCTATTCCAACTTTAGACCCTTTACCAAAGCAGACCGTTATGGTATGTGGTCCTGGCTTCTATCAGCCCGATCGAAGTAAGAAATTATCTGCGGCAGAATGGTATTTACTGATATTTGATGCTCTCCTTCCTATTGAAAGCGAGAGCATCACAACACCGTGTCTTTGGCACGATGATCTCCATGATGAGAACATATTCGTTGATCCAAATAACCCTTCCAAAGTTACCGGGATCATAGACTGGCAGTCCGTCAATCTTCTCCCACTTATTTACCACAACCCCGACCCTTCTTTGTTGGCTATGACGGCCCAGAACCGGAAAATTTGGACCGCCCTGAACTTAGTAATATTAGTCATCTGTCGGAGGAAGAAAAAGTGGAAGCAGTACGGCAATTCCATGAGAAAGCGCTATTCATAGCCTCACGAAAGGTTATGTTAAAAAAGGTCCCCAAGGCTTACGATGCTATTGAGTACCAGCAAACGGAGTGTTTCGATCTACTCGTATTGGCACGCCGCCTGTTTGAGTTTGGTGAAGCCCATTTTCATGCACTCGTCGTAGAATTACGCGAGGCATGGGCAGGACTGCTAGCAAACAATACTAACACGAATCATACCAAGCCCTTCCCCATTGATCTTACTGAGGTTCAAATAGCTTGGATTGAAACAGATTGAAACAGATTGCCAAAAGGCAATGCGTGGAATGCAACTTATGAGTGATTTCAAAGCTCGACTTGGTCCACTCTGGCCAGACAAAGATGCAGTAGGTCATGAACAGTATCAAGCGACCAAGTCTGCCCTTCTTGCACTGAGAGAGGAAATAATACTGGAATTTGGAAAAGCTGAAGCCGATAAGATTGAAATAGCACGCCAATGGCCGTTTGATGACTAGATTTTGCCAATAAGATTTCACAGCATTAGAGAGTTACCTTCGATAGTTAAGCAGTACTGAGACGCATAGTAAAGGTTGAATTTAAAAGGTAGTTATCAAATATGCCATTCAACCAAGAAAGTCTGCTCTACACTAGTCAACTAAATAACTAACCAGTTAACAAGTGGTATAACTATTAATATGATAACACAGAATTAAACGAATGCATAATCCTATTATACAAGTCCATAGCAGCCGGCGATCTGAAAATCCCTTCGGGGTCTTGCCCATCGTCAATAGCAGCCTTCCATAGCCTGATGATGGCATCGCACTTTGGCAGGTAGGTTTGGCGGTAGGCTTCAAAAGCCTCAAGTAGTTCAAGGTCGGCGCGGGCATCTGCTAGAGCCACCATCTTTGACCCGTGGGAGATCAACTTGCCATAGCTATACGGCATGCCATATATGTCCTCGAACCCGCTAGACCACACACCAAACTCAGAGGCGTCATCGGTAATAAATTGCACAATGTCAAGGTCTACGAGGACCGAACCGCCATAGACCAGCGCGTTCCGTCGGTATCGAGATATTGAATTGGGAGATTTGTAGATGGGCCTCCGAAGTGTCATCATGGCTCTGATATGCTTTTCCTCTGACAGTTTGGCGGACTGCTCCAGGGCGTCTAATCGCCGCTGCATGGACTCGAGGGTTTCGAGGAGATCCAACCCTTCCATGTTACCCACGAGACGTTTTGTCTCGTCGACGACTATGTCTGCCGCGGGTGCCATTTCCAGAAGTTCCTCTCTGGTTCTTGTTTTGAGGATACACCCTTTCAAATTCTACAAGTAGTGTTAGAGAGTGCTATAGCTAGCCATCGCATAACTAAAGCATGCAGATGTCTTTATAAACTTGTTCTCGCCAAGCGGCGTTGGTGGCGGCCAAGCCGATGACGCATGGGTGAGGTACGAAATTATGGAAACTCCGCTGTTGTGATTATTGATGTAAATAACTAGTGATGTTCAACGAACCGTATGGTGGTGGAAGTCATTACTAGCGGCTAAATTCGCCTGTATCATCTTCTAGGGAACTGGTGGATCTGAAACTCTGGACACGGTAAGTAGTTAATCATCTACCGGTTTTAGGGCGATGGCATAGCTAGCCGCCTCAATCCTGATGAATATCACCCTGGACATCTTCATCGTGATGGTTAAGCAATCTCTGTTGGACTAGGGAGATGCGGAGAGGTTATGTGGTCTGCTGTCGTAGCGTGGACAGCTCCTAGGCTGACGGAAGACAGGATACCCGCTGCAAGGCAACGTCGGAGAGGAGAGATGAAGTTGAAGACGAGCTGGGCTCCAGGCCATAAGACAGAGAAGATAGAGAGAGGAAGAAGAGGAGTTAAAGAAGGAGGAAGAGGAAGGGGTTTTTATATGTCCCTGATGACCATGTCAAGCAGTGAAGACAGCGTCCTTCACCTTAAGGGCGCCAGGCGTCACCACCGCCAGTCACCGTTTCTGCTGCGGTGAAGCGAAGTCGGTGGTGAATATCAATCGGACCATCCAAGTGATAAATCCTGCCTTATTTTTACTTATTTTTACTACCCACTACTGTTATAGCTGCTGCTGCTTTCATCATCTTCATCCTCTAGGCTTAATTCTTGGCTCTTGGTCACCACAACAGCTTATCCAAAACATACCCGGGTACCTTCAACCTGTTGACCGCGAGTGTACCTAGGTAGGCTCACTCTTTTGGCTCAGCCGTTTTGATAGTTATCTCAATACCCCTCCAAAAAACAAAATCTGGGAGCTACCTATCTCTATCGAAGGACGATAGCACCATCAAGCTTCTCAGGCATCGGTATCATTCCTACGGGTCTGCGACATGAAAGGCCGTCAATCCAGAACAACCTGAAGCTATATCCTTAGCCCTGACTCCCGCAACTTCCTTCCGTGACTTCATGTGCCTTGTCATGGGGCCACCGGGCACTGGGAAAACGACCGTTTCTACTAAGATTTGTGAGCACCTATACGATCTCAATGTAGCAGTCTTGGTAATATGTGGCTCAAATCATGGGCTTGACGTATTATCAGCCCGGTTGGCGAATACCTTGAGGCAAAATATGCAGGGCCACCCATCACGTACCCCAGGCTTTTACCGTCTCGACAGCGATACTAGAGAGGATGCAGACCCACAGATGGCACTAGGTGTAGCATCTACCATGGCTACCGATACTTCTTCCTTTTTTGAGATAGTGGCCACGTTACAAAGGACAGGAATAGATGAAACTCGGTTCAGGCTGCTTCAAACATCAATTGAAGCGTCCCTTGCAACTGGTAGCTCGGTATCCTTGGGTGCACACATCCTTGCCCGGCTCCAAGTAGCTGCGAAAAACCCAAGTGTGGTAAATGCAAAGGAACTCGAACTTCTCCAATACATAGCATACCGCATTTTGCTCTCCCGGAAAGGATATTTATTTGCTGAAGTGGTCACAGACGTGCCGGGGCAACCAGTGACGCCATATTCACCCAAGGCTCGGTTAAAAAGTAATGAAGATTCCGATACCATACTCAGGGAACTTATGTCTGAGGCGGGCGCAGCTTGGTTGAAGTTACAGGAGTATTATATTTCTCAAGCCAAAGTTATCTTCTGCACTGCTTCGACAGCAAGTCGAAAGTCACTCCAGAGCTTCAAGCCAGCAGTTGTCATCGTTGAAGAAGCATCTCAGTTGACAGAATCGATGTGTTTAAATGGCATAAGCAAATACTATGCGTCGTTGAAAAAGGTCGTTCTTAGCGGGGATTTATGCCAGCTCCCTCCTACGGTATCATCTTTGGGGAAGAATGAGTTTTGTAACCCAGAAAAGGTGTCACTATTTGAGCGTATGATAAAGACCGGTGTACCCCATACCATGCTACGCACGCAGTACCGCATGCATCCTGACATTTCGGACTTCGTCAACGCTACTTTCTGCAGCAACCCTTTAGTTAATGGGTCTAGTCTGAGACGGAATAATTCTCAGATGTTCTCAGAATTCATGACGAAACCGTACTCGACCTCCCCTGGTGCATCATACTACATGGCCGTAGCCAATTCTTCTGTTTGGCAGAGGAAGTGGGGAACCTCCTTGGTGAATCCCAAGTATGCCGTTGCCGTTGCAAATCTCGTCTCAGGCCTCATAAATTTCGGGTGCCCACAGAATCAAATCCTTGTTCTATCTTATTACAGCGAGGAATTATCGTTGTTGAAAGAGCTGCTCAACCGAAAACGAGGACTGAAAGATATTGTTGTTCAAAGTGTTGACGCATCCCAAGGAAATGAAAAATCCATTGTCATTGTTTCAACTACGAGGGTACGGCTTAGGATTTGTGGCCGACCTCCGACGACAATGTGTTGCATTGAGCTGGGCTAGCGACGGCCTTGTCATTGTTGGTAGTGAAAATATGACTATGGATACGAGGTCATCGAAAGCCACAGGTTCCTGGGGTGACCTCGTTCAGCATCACCGGAAAAGTAAAAGACTCATCCGAGTACAAGGAGATCGTGCCCCATTGTTAAAGGAGCTCCCAAAGTATAATATGACGGCCTTTGTTCCCTTTGAGAGGAACAAGATAGCCAATTGAGAGGCTTCGCAACTCGATCAATCAAAATACCTTATATGGTCAAGCTGATTAGGATAGCTAATCTACAGGTTGATGTCAATTCAGAACTAATTCAGCCAACATCTACGACTAATTGACTATTTTGACTGCTTTACCCTTTATTTTCAGCACATTAAATAAGCCAAGGCATCTAAATATGCCAATGATATTGCACTGAGTATATTACAGCTTCATTTCGATACTCCTGAGGTAGTTAACCCAGGCCGGGTAGCGAGGTTGAGGGAGGATATTCGGTAGCTATATTACTATTGTAGCAAAGCCGTAATGTCAAAATGAAATCTTTGTTGTGTAAAATCAATATCAATACATATAATTAGTCATCAACTGCGCTAACTATAACTAGTTAACTAGATAGTTACGTAATTTACCTAGGTACTTTGCTGAAAAGCTTGACGTCGAGTGTTAAAAGCACCGAGCGAGTCTAACCACTTCTGGCACGGAGCGTTCCCTTCCAACCTCCATCTCGTCGTCCCTAACCACTGTTGACGTTGATAACGCTTTTTGAACCAGCGGACAGGTACGGAGTACTCCTCTACCACGACGGGCAACACGATACCCTAGCTTTTGCCGAATTGGGCTACTCGGCAAAGGAGTATCACGGCGTAGAGCCTCCAGCTGGCACCCGCCTTCCGACGGCAACTGAGCTCCTGGAGATGTGCGCTGCGGATGATAAGCGCCCGGCAGGGCTCGATTTTGCCTCCGAAGCACCGGTGCTTTGGATTAAACATGGTTATGCAGTGTAACTATTGCAATGAGGTGCTTGCTCAGGTCGTAGCTCATCGTGAACAGTTGAAGCTACACTCCCACGCTAGAGCAGTTAACCAGCCATCGTCTATGCTTGTAAGATCGGCAGCAAAACATACATTGTCATGGAATATATCCTGGGAAAACCTGGAAGCCAGATATTAGAAGACTCCTTAGAGCCAGGAAAGAGGTGGCGTTTGCTATACAAGAGCTCACCCCACCAAGCCCTCGCCCCGCCGCCATTGACGAATGCAAGTTTGAACGTCTCATCCTCCGCGATCATGAATCTAGCCAGCATTATGATAATGCCGACCAGCTCGAATAACACTTTAATCTAGTGCGCAACATAATACACCTCGAAAGGGAAGGCCGTCTAGTTATCTCACAAACCTATAACGTCTAACCGCCATGATATATGACCCGGAAAACGTTATTATCGGTAATGACGGCCGTACAACCATCACTAACTATGTGGGGACGAGCAGTCTCCCTTTCAGCTACGTTGGATACGATCTCCTCTTCACGAAAACACCGCAAGTACAATCTGATGTCTTGGGTCGGTATCCCCAGCCCTGATGGAATTGATAACGTTATGACATTTTGCGCTTAGTTCCGGCCCAATGATCATAGGAACAGGCTCTTTTGGGAGGGCAGGCTGACGAGTGCTACGCTATGGAGACCCAGTACCTGGAAATGCTGTTTCTTAGACGCTTCAGTTTCTATTTTTATTCCCTTCTCTTGGCCCCTTATACTACAATCTCCCATTAAGCTCTCGGCTCTTGAGAATGGTTTGAACTAGAATCTGGGGATGATTATGGGGGACTTTACGTGCACTCATGACAAAAGAGAATATCGAATAAATCGGGTTGGGATTTGGACTAGTCAACCCGCCGCTAGCGTTGTCGAGGACGCACAGCTCCTTGTCACTAACTACTGTCGCCATTTGGGGAAAATATTGATCATCTCGTCTACCGGCAGCCTCTTCTCGAGCACTTTATTGCTTTATTCGTCATAAAACCCGTCCCCAGGCATCAGGTTGCATGCCTGTTTAATCAGGGTTTCAAAATCTTCATCACGGGCCTCTATCAACTGTCCACTTATCAAACGCCGTACCAAACACGAGGGCTAAGGGCAGAGAGAGGGGGTTTTGGGTGCCTTATGCTTTGACTCGGAAAAACAAACAACGTTGTTATGTAGTTTTCTTCTGTTGCCGGAATGAGATCGCGCTCAAGCAGCGCATCAGCTTGTGACCGATTTCAACCATCCATGATATCTATCCAAGGCTCCATCCCCTCCTCGATCGAAAGATGCGAAACAGCATACATCTAAATAAACTACACGTGAGTACATGTTGTCAACCTCGTGAGAATGATCTACGTTGAACAGCACAGGCGGGTGCCTTTTTTTATTTATTTATGTATTTGTACTCCGTACCACTGGAGAACGACGACAGGAAGAAGAAAAGGAAGAAAGCTCTTCACAAGGATAGGCTGCCATATACATGTTCTAACTAATGACTGGGTCATCGACTACTTTCTCTCATGCAGGAAAGCGGATAATTTAACAAATAACCAACTTACGTTTCACAAACGCCTAGTTCTTCCGCCAGCCACATCCCATCATGTGCACAACCTTCAGCCGATGCCGCGAGTTACACGGATTTTGATCCGAACCGAGCGAGGGCACCTGGGATGTCTCCGCTGATCAAACATGAAGATACTTCCTTATCTATACCCCGTGCCAATGATATCTTAGATCTTGATAGTCAAAATCGGAGTCTTCGTCTGCCACTTGGATATGGATTACTGGCTAAAACGAGTTGGTTATATATCGGGTAGCAAAGACCCCTCCAACATGATTCTTCAAACCCATTTCCAAGTCGAAGTCTTATTTCCCATATTCACACTCCTCTGATGAGGAGCCAGCAACGGTAGTGAGCTAACAACCACCACCTCTCAACATGCACAAGGAGGAAGAATGTCGGCCGCTACTTGCCTCTGAGCCTAGCTCGGAGTATCAGCCAGCTCCACGCACAAAGAAGGAGCTCCGCAATATTGAAAATGTCACGGTCCCTGAAACGGCGACGTATGGCAGGAATATAACATGCGCGGGGGCATATATCCTTGTTATGTCCCAGATGATTGGCTGTTCAATCTTTGCAACTCCTGGCAGCGTTGTCCGATCGTGTGGAAGCGTCGGACTCACCCTTCTACTATGGCTCACCAGTGCGACTGTCAGGGCTTGCGACCTAGGAATCTATACTGAATATGGCTGCATGCTACCGCGTTCCGGTGCGGATAAGGTCTACCTTGAATTCACATATCGTCGGCCGAGATTTCTTGCCTCAACCCTTTTTGCAATTGCATCCGTTACCTTGGGTGTGTCGGCAACCAATTGCGTTGTCTTCGGCCAGTATATGCTATTTGCCTTGGGGATGGAGCCCACAGTGGCCGCCCAAAGGGGATTTGCGGTTGGTCTCCTACTCACCGTATGCATAATACATGGGTACTTTTACAAACTGGGCATCCGGATTCAAAACTTTCTTGGATGGGTGATTTTATCCATTGTCGGATTCATGATATCCACGGGACTCTATGTTGTGCTTTTCCAGAAACGAACAACCGTCACTGGGAATCCCGAGCTATTCTCCTGGGATGGGATGTGGAAAGGTTCTAATTGGGATTTTAGCGTCCTTGCAACCTCTTTCTTACAGGTTTCCAGCTCTTTTTCTGGACTCTGTACTACAAATGTCGTTCTCAACGAAGTGCAAAATCCAATCAGAACCGTGAAAGTCGTGGGCTTAATGGCATTCATGACCGTTTGCATACTCTATGCCCTCATCAATGTATCCTACTTCATGGTTGTTCCAATCGAGGAAATCAAGGCCAGCGGGCAATTGGTTGCAGCATTGTTTTTTGAACGCGTCTTCGGCCCAGGGTTTGGTAAAACTGTTCTTCCTCTCCTTGTTGCTATATCGGCTGCTGGAAAGGTCATGGTTACCATCTTCTCATCAGTAAGTAAGCATTCTTCCCTTAATAACTTATCCCATGATAATAATAACTTCATGTCTAGGCTCGGGTCAATCAGGAAATAGCGAGACAAGGCTTCCTTCCTTTTTCCCGCTACCTTTCATCATCAGAGCCGTTCAACACTCCTCTCGGGGGCGTGCTGGTTCATATGATCCCTACCTTACTTACGATACTACTTCCACCACCAGGAGACATTTACAATTTCATACTTGATGTTCAGGGGTATCCCGGCGAGTACTTTGGTATTGCCATAACATTTGGTATCATTCTCCTTCGATGGCGACGGCCCGAACTCCAGAGACCGTTCAAGACTTGGCTGCCAAGTGTATGGCTACGATTAGTAGTCGGATTTATACTAATCGTTGCCCCCTTCTTCCCTCCAAAGAACGGGCGGGGTGATGTTCACTTCTTCTATGCGACATACGCTATTGTTGGCGTGGGCATGTAAGTGTTTTCTCTACCTTGGCCCCCTGCTTTATTCTATAGAAGCCATCATACTAATAACGTTGACCAGAATCGTCCTGTCAATCATCTACTGGTGGATCTGGACCATCGTCATTCCAAATAGGAACGGTTACAAGCTCGAGGAGGAGGTTGAAATTCTCGCAGATGGAACAAGTATTACTCAGCTGGTCCATGTCGAGAAGCTGGAGTTGCGGTCCTAAGCAGGGGTTTCAGGGGATTCTACCAACGCCTACTAGGTTACGATATTATGCGGTATCACGCCTTTCGGTCTCACTAAGTATGAAATAATGAATGTTATGAGGTCCTTTTTAGAATAGTTATTTATATAGCTATAATCCTGATGAATAGATACGCGGCCTAGTTACCGGCTGGTTAACCGAAACCTGTCTTTCGACTCTCTGTATAGGTGGATGTAAGCTTATTCAACTTACTTAGAACAACCAGAGTCTTTTAAGGTGACTTAATAATAGCCAGGCGTAGATCTATAGTATACATGTAAGAACACAACACTGCCAGATGCTCTTATCCCTGAAGCCCTTGCTGTGTTGCTCTTCTCAAAGGGCGGAAGTGCCCTACCCACCTAAAAACCTCCACATATAAATAGTTATTTGTTTAACTAACTAATTAGTTAACTAGTCAACTTCTCTCACTTCTTTTTCTCCTTCTTTTCTTTAGGTCCCTATAGAATATAGAAATCAAAACCCACCTTTCTACACGCCAGAAAACAGCCTTTTGACCTTCAAGATGGGCAAAACTATCATCCTCACTGGTGCTTCTCGCGGTAAGAGAGTCACAGGCATGATAAGACGCGTGGGATCAGCCAGCCACTAACCAAGCTGTCCCGCACTGCAGGTATCGGCTTAGCTGTTGCGAAGTATCTCTTGCAGGCGCCACATCGCTGCAATGTGGTTGTTGTTGCCCGCACTGAGGCCCCCTTGCAAGAGCTGAAGGAGCAGTATGGCACCCAGGTAGAGGTTGTCTGCGGTGATATCACCGACCCTGAGGTTACGCACAAGGCGCTTGCCCGGGCCCTCGTGGCCTACGGCAAACTCGACGGTCTCGTTATCAACCACGGAGTTCTGCCTCCTGTCACTCGTCTTGAGCAGTTCTGCCGGCGAGAGTGGGTTAAGGCATACGATATCAACTTCTTCAGCGCCGTGGAGCTTGTACGTTTGGTTCTATGCTTTCTTTCCTCTTCTCTACTGTCTTTGCTAACTACTATAAACAGATCAAGCAATGCATCCCGCATCTCCGTCTGGCTCGTGGCAGAGTCGTCTTTACTTCTTCCGGTGCTGCAACCGGACCTGTCAACGGCTGGGGCATGTACGGCTCCTCAAAGGCGGCGTTGAACCACCTCAACATGACTCTGGCCCATGAAGAGCCTCAGATCATCTCTGTTTCTGTCCGTCCTGGCATGGTCGATACCGACATGCAGCACCATCTCCGCTGCCAGCATCTCGGCATCCTCGGCCCCAAGGACAGCGCCAAATTCGTCAACGCCCACGAGGAGGGCAAGCTGTTGAAGCCAGAGCAACCTGGCACCGTCATTGCAAAGCTTGTCATGAGTGCCACCGCTGATCTCAGCGGTAAATTCCTGACGTTCGTCTTCCTACCCTCATGAACCAGATCGTGTCTTTGTTTACTAATCAAATCGATGATGCTACAGCTGGAACGACGAAGCCCTGGCCAAGTACCAGCTATGAAAATTTACAAACTAAACTGCGCCGAGACCTGAGATTGAAAGTCAGCATACAAATACTTGACAAATGGAAAAACTGGTTGGCAAAGAAATGTCGTAGGAAATAGCTCAGGCGAAAGGTTAAATGATACATGTTGTAATCATTAGATGCAAAGCACCTTAATATTTAGCATGGAGTGAATTTTTTCTTCATTGCTCGTGTGCAGAATAGACTTGGAAATAGAGAGCTTAAACAGAATACAACATACCATTGAACCAGTTAACTTAGAAGAAAGAATTTGAAACAAGAACGATAAACGGGAGTTTCCACGATTTTTATGTCTGTCTCGAGTGTGTCTTTTCCATATCCATTAACTCCTAGCTTCCAGGCAATACAGTTTCATTCTTGTACTCTTTCAAACGAGTCATGGGCTACAGCAAGGTACCTAGAAGCTTTATGCCAAGTTAGCCATGGAGTTCTCTCAAAAAGACGTCAAGAGCTGGGAGGTTGAAGGTAGCTTGGTTCAGGAGTCCGTTTGGCTAGGACAGGTAAATCACCACGGAATTGTATGATAGGGGCGACAACAAAGTTCATCATTTGGATGGTGTGTATAATAAGGTAGAAACAGGATATATACATACCATTAGCATTGTATAGCATTGTAAGCAGAAAAGAAGCTGCTGGTATTCTCGCAGATGAAGAATGTTGGAGAAAGGAAGAAAAAGTTGAAGTTTTTATTTTTTTTATAATTTTTTCTTCAGTGAAAACATGGAAGAAAGAAAATCCGATATGCTGAGTCATCTTCCGAAGAACCTTGAAAGTTAAAAAGAGCTTCAAAAGTTGAAGACGAAGAGAAGAAAGGTAAGACGATAACATTATCTCAGAATATATCTACCATTTTAAGCATATCTATTTGTCCCTAAGGATATTTACTCCCTATCAACCGCTAACTAGACTACGCCATGTCAGACAGAGAATTCGGAGGTAAGTGGGATGCGCGCAGCTCGACTGTGGGAAGGATGCGAGCTAACTTTGCGCCTGCCAGGAAACGATGACCTCTCCCTGCCAAAAGGTACCGTGAAGCTGCTCTTCCGCTCTTGTTGACGATTTACATGCGCTGCCTTGAAGCTGAGATACCGGCTGCTTGTCGAGGATTTATACATCGAGGGCTATGGGCCCGGCTAACCCCACTCTCGCATCAGCTACGGTGCAGAAGATCATAACGGAAATACTACCGCCTTCCTCCGGCCAGACGTTCGCAAAGGACGCTCGAGACCTGCTTATTGAGTGTTGTGTTGAGTTCATTACCCTGATATCCTCCGAGGCCAACGAAATCAGCGAGAAGGAGGCAAAGAAGACAATTGCCTGCGAACATATTGAAAAGGCACTTACCGACCTTGGTTTTGGAGACTATGTCCCTGATGTGCTTGCTATTGCGGAGGAGCATAAAGAGCAGCTAAAGGTATGCCTTGACAGTAGAGCCTGGTACCCTTTCATATCTTACATATATCCCCCCCCCCCCCCCCCCCCCCTCC